CCATTGTAAGTATCCAACCTCCCAAAATTTCAACACTCCTTGTGATGGTTTGACCCCCTTCCGTTTTAACAGTACACTACATTTTTCTGATATAATATCCTACATTTTTCTCAACATACATTTGCATAAAAGCCTTGTGATATTGACGGACTGATTTGTTATTCCTTTTTAATGACCCCTGGGTGCGGTGTGGTGAACTACCGACTGACTTTCACAAGTCGCCAACAACTCAAATGCCTCCACCTAACCAAACTCTCCTGTTCTAGGTCCCCAAATCATATTGCATAGCAGTGTGTGAAGTGGGTCAAATCCGAAGCAAGCAATTGCTGGACGAGTGTTTATGTCGCTGTGACGACTGCCTGGAAGGGACCTATCAAAACGAAACAGGTGAGTTCAAACACCGCATGGCTCAGGGAGCCACATTTGTGAATCTGAAGACTGGCCTCCGCTATGCGCTAGACAAGTTCTAGCTTCCTCCCTTGACTCAGAGGTCATCAGTGCCAAGTAGGCAGAGGCTTAAGGCAGGAAAGAGTCCCAAGGTGTAGAAGTTAAGAGTGCCAGATAAGGTTCTGGGTTCAAATCCCCGTTCACCATGTCTTTTGTGATGGCGCCAATTCCTCCGAATGAACAACAGTCTAGAACAGGAGCGCAAAGGACCACTGCTGTTCACTTTTGCCTCTATCCCTTCCTGAGCTGGCAGAGGGTCCTCTGGAGGGATTGTTTTTGTTCTGAGTCACAACACAGCTTCACCCTCTGCCCCTTTCCCCTCTCCCCCAAGCAGAGACTCAGGCAAAGGGCTCTTTGTAGATGGCAACACAGGCTCCAGCGATTGTCTCTATCTGTGACTCCACGACCTTTGCAAAGGCCCATGCCGAGCTTTGCACAGAGTGTGGGGCTCTGCAAAGCCCCAGAAAGCTCACCAGCTATAAGACACCATCTGGGGGAAACATGGGATTAAAAAATAATTATTAATTAATTATTTCTTCTTCTTCTTCTTCTTCTTCTGCTGCTGCTGCTGCTGCTGCTGCTGCTGCCAGACTTTGCACAGAGACTGAGGCTTGGCCAAAGCCTTTTTCACTGTCCACAATGGGAAGGCAGGGCTCAAAAGCAGAACTGTAGAGCTGGAAGGGACCCCAAGGGTCATCTAGTCCAACCCCCTGCAATGCAGGAATCTCAGCTAAAGCAGATGGGCATCCAACCTCTGCTTAAAAACCTCCAAGGAAGGAGAGTCCACAACCTCCCATGGGAGATGGTTCCACGGTCGAACAGCTCTTACTGTCAAAAGTTTTTCCTGATGCTTAGTCGGAATCTCATGTGACAGCCCTTTGGACACTTGAGGATGACCATTGTATCTCCTCTCAGTCTCCTCTTTTCTAGCTAAACAATACAGTGGTACCTCTGGTTACATACGCTTCAGGTTACAGACGCTTCAGGTTACAGACTCCGCTTAACCCAGAAATATTACCTCAGGTTAAGAACTTTGCTTCAGGATGAGAACAGAAATCGCATTCCGGCGGCGCGGCGGCAGCGGGAGGCCCCATTAGCTAAAGTGGTGCTTCAGATTAAGAACAGTTTCAGGGTAAGAACAGACCTCCAGAACGAATTAAGTTCTTAACCCGAGGTACCACTGTACCCAGCTTCTTCAACCATTCCTCATAAGGCTTGGCTTCTAGACCCTTGATCATCTGAGCTGCCCTTTTCTGCACATGTTCCAGCTTGTCAACATATCTTTCCTAGCCTGGGAGAGATCCCTGCACGGAAGTCCTGGAGAGTCAATGTAGAGACAATAACACTGAGCTAGTCAGTGCCTGCCTTGGTGTAAGGCACTTTCTTCTACTTCTAAGCAGTCCTGCTGCTGACTGAGCTTCTCCTTTCCTCCTCTTCAGGTGGAGACACTTGCATCCCGTGCCCCCCGGGGATGTGGTCCCCTCTGAAGAGCAGCACCTGCTTCCCCCCGCTCATCACGTATCTCGACATCACCACCACCACCATCTTGGCCCTGGTGATCCTGGCCATCGTCGACTTCTTCCTGCTCTTTGGCTGCTTGCTGGTTTTTGCCCTCCACCGTCAAACGCCAGTGGTCAAAGCGGCCGGGGCAAGCTGGCTTTCGTCATGCTGGCCTCGCTGCTGGCTTCCTGCACCACCACCAGCCTGTTCGTCGGGAAGCCCACTGAGGTCACCTGCCTGATCCGGCAGCCCTTGTTCGCCATCAGCTTCACCGTCTGCGTCTCCTGCCTCCTGGTCCGCTCCTTCCAGATCATCTTCATCTTCAAAATGGCCTGCAAGCTGCCCCCCGGAGCCACCAAGTGCTGGGTCAAGTACAAAGGCACCTACGTCTCGGTCGGCCTCAGCTGTGGCCTGCAGGCCCTCATCTGCCTCCTCTGGCTCCGCTTCTCCCCGCCTACATTGCAAGAGGATTTTGTGAGCGAGAGGGAGGTCTACCTGCAATGTTCAGAAGGCCACTTCATGGGGCTAGGAGGGGTGCTGGGCTACATCACCCTGCTGGGCGGCGCTTGCTTCGCCTTCGCCTTCTGGGGCCGCAACCTGCCCAAGAATTACAGCGAGGCGAGGCTCCTCACCACCAGCATGCTGGTCTTCCTCATGGGCTGGGGCTGCTTCATGCTCATCTACATCACCACCGAAGGGAAGGGCAAAGGGATCCCTGCCTTGCAGATGTTCACGGTGCAGACCAGCGTCTACGCCATCCTCTGCACCTTCTTCCTGCCCAAATGCTACCTGATCCTCTTCCGGCCGCAGTTCAACACGGTGGCCCATTTCCAGACCTGTATCCAAGCCTACACGGCCACAGTCAGAAACGCCGAGCAGTGAGAAGCCTTCCTTGGGGTGGGGGAAAAGGCTGAAGCACCCGCTTCTCCCACAGGAGAAAGCCCGGAAGGACCGCGGGAAAACTTCTGCTTCAACAAGAAACAGGGGAGCCTGGAGACAGGGGCTGCACACTTCACCTGTGTTGTAAACATAGGGCGGGTGCTCGGAATCAGAGAACGTCTGTGCACCCGAGGGCCAAATAGCAGAAACTACAGAGCGAGGCTGCATTGATATATTCCAAGCTTCTGAGAATTCGGTGTAGAATTTCAATGGATTTTAGGGCAGAGGTTCAATGAAAACAGGATTGTCGATGGTGCTGCTTGGCTACTGCCAAAGAGCACTGGTCCACACATAAGCAACTCTCTCTGCCGCTTGTCTGTGTAATCTTTATTAGGGATCCTACGTAAGAAAGTGATAGCTGCTCCTCTTCCCTCCACCACCATCAGAAGGCAAGATCAAACGCCCAAGACACCCTCTTTCCAGAATCAGGGCAGGGATAGGGAAGCCTTAGGGGGGGGCCCTCTAGATGCAGCTGGAGTTATGCTTGTCGTCCTCATCCTCCCTGACTCTTGGCCACATGGTCTGCTGGGGCTGATGGAAACTGGGGGCTCACACAATATTGGGCAGGTCCCCATTCCTGGTACAGTAGGAAGCAGGAGGGTGAAGAGGAGTAAAGTCAAAACTGCAGGAGAATCTGGGGAGGGGGCTGTTTCTTCACACTTCAGGACCATCTACCCAGGGCAGCAGAATTATTTTACAAAACTCTCTGTTGGTGTTTTCAAACTGACCCTGAAGTTCAGTAGGGGTGATCTACGAAGGGGTATACCCACTGTAAGGTGCCCCTAGGACAAGGCATTTGACTGTTTTTGTAAATAATTTACAGGTTTGCTGCTAGGGTTTTTTAAACAACCAAGTGGTATATAAATTTTGTTATAGGATAAATCAATGCTTTGGAACACTTAGCCAAAAGTAGACTCGATTCAGCATCAATTCAACTCAGGTGTTATGCATGCTATTAAAATCCTTAAGTTCCAGTTAGGGTGCGTGGAAGAATTGTGTTTTTGTTGGTTTTTGCATGTTTTCCTTCATTTGGGGGGGGGGACAGTCGTACCCCTGCTGTGGACAAGTGTGTGTCTGTTTTTATGTTGGATGGCATCTCAAACAATTGAGGCGTCCCTTCTGGATTTTAGGCACGCAACTAACTGCATTGATCCAAAGCTGCTTTCTTTCTTTTAAACATCTATAAATAGTGAATATGAAAATTAAGCCTAGAAGTCATTTGTGCGTAGTCAACATGAAAAATGTCTCAACCATCTATGTATTCCCTGCAGTACTCTCTCAGAATCGCTCTTATTTAATCACTTCCCTCAACATTTATCTTCCATTTGCATGACTTGACTAGGCAAACCAGATAATTTGATAAGCAAACACTGTTTTGCATGGAGGTCAAAATGCCATTGTGCACCTGTGATTCTGAAATTTAGGCTTCAAAAGGTTTGCTAGAAAGGGGAAATGGAGGCCATGGCTTCAACCTATCCCTTGTCAGTTACTTGCTCCATTGATGGCCTGGCGAAATCTTGCATCTTTTCAAACAATGAAACAAATCCACACCTTTGCCTATGCTGAAGCAGTGCAAGAAAAATACTTGGCTTCATCTGGTAAAGCTTAGCTGAATTCCAACCCCAGGACGGCTGCCCACCTAGCCCCAACTTCATATGGCTTCAAGGCCACCAACTTAGCAAGCCTGTTTTGCAACACATTTGGGTTGCAGGTGGGTCACTGCTTAAGTTTTACAGTTCCGTGGTTTTATTTTTGCTGTTGTACTCACAGATTTTTAAAAATTGTTTTATTGGGATAAAAGATAAAAGAACAATGGGATGTGGATTCTTAAATAAATAAACAGGGCCACAAATACAAGACAAACCTCTTCAACAGAGTTCCTCTTTTATTGAAAGCAAGTGGGTCTCGGAAAACACAAAAGGGGCTTGGACAGCAGCACCTTCCACTCCAGGCTGCTTCAAGTTTCCAGGCTTAAGTGCAACTATCATCTCTGCTGCTGCTGCTGTGCTTAAGGGTGCTGCCTGACTTGTGTGAGAGTGTGTGTTGCTATTGCTATAAAAGGGGGGAAAGGCTTTCTGCCACAAGGCTTTCTCCTCTTTCAGCAAGGCACTGCCCTAGTCTTTCAGGACAAGGGGGGCCTTCACCTGAGCGGCCACCTCTTTCCCCAGCAGCGTTTCCACAATCACAAGGCCAAACTCGAAACTGGTGCCGGGTCCCCGGCTGGTGAGGATGTGCCCATCTTTTTCCACGCGGCTCTCAGAGTATTTGTAGTGGTCTTCAGAGAAAAGCACAAGGAAAAAAACAAAACAGAACAGGTTACTCCAGCAGACATCAGCCACAGCAAGCTGACTTGAATGTGTGGGAAGTAACTCCACCCCCACCTATGAACTTCATCCACTGTAGCAAGGAGAGAAGCCGCAATTCTCATCCTTTATTTATTTCATAAAATTTATATACTGATGGTTTGTAAGGGGGGAGGGACACCCAAAGCAGTAAAAACCTCAAACTTTGAACTGCCACCAGATTTAGGTCTCGCAGAATTGGCGATTTCTCAAAACCAAAGTCTCTGATAATATGCATACGTTACCCAACATTCCTTTTGGGGGAAAAGCATCTTAATTACAATCCTGAGCTGTGCTTCACAAAACACTGTCTGTGCAAGTCAATCTCTGTCGTGCGCCTGCAGCCACCTACCTCCACTCATCATCTTGTCTTTGGCCAAGGGATGGGTTGTCACTTTGCATCCGTATCCGATGCCATGTGCCAGCAGAGCCGTGGGTCCTAGAGATCAACAAAGAGCCGTCACTTGTGCACACTTTATAGCGGGAACCCTTTTTTTGGAACCCGGGGCCACATTTACCATGCTGGAAAGCCGTCCCAGCAGCGAAGTGGCAAGTGAGGCCAGATCCACAAAAGTGTTGGGGATCCCTCACCCTTCCATTACCACCATCACACACCCTACCCATGCAGGATTTGGGAGGAACAGTTAAGTGTGTGCAGTTAATAAGCTTGAAATGATAGCATTAGGTTTAAATGAAGGAAGGCCATAAAACCTCCCCCCCCCCCATTTTAACAAAACTTCCAAATATGTGGGATGACGATTCCCCAGTTGGAAACAACCAGCAATTAAGTTATGCAGCTTGTAGTACACCCATGACCATTTGCTTGGGAGTAAGTCCCACTGACGTGGGTGGCACTGTGGGTTAAACCACAGAGCCTAGGACTTGCCAATCAGAAGGTCGCGGTTCAAATCCCCGCGATGGGGTGAGCTCCCATTGTTCGGTCCCTGCTCCTGCCCACCTAGCATGTCAAAGTGCAAGTAGATAAACAGGTACCGCTCCAGCGGGAAGGTGAACGGTGTTTCTGTGTGCTGCTCTGGTTTGCCAGAAGCGGCTTAGTCATGCTGGCCACATGACCCAGAAGCTGTACGCCGGCTCCCTCGGCCAATAAAGCGAGATGAGCACGGCAACCCCAGAGTCAGTCATGACTGGACCTAATGGTCAAGGGTCCCTTTAACTCCCTTTAAGTCCCACTGAGCAAAGTACAACACATATTGAACTGATCTACATAACTAACAGAGAGACAAAACTAAGAGAGGGAACTTTTATGCAGAGTTGAAAGTGATCTCCCTCCTTTTAATCTGGCGAGAAAACCACCATTGTGCCCTGTGTCATTAACAAGTCACTAAAAGATTAGCCCTGGTTAAACCACTGAACTGGAAGAGGAAGGTAACAGGAAGTTTGGTAACACCTTTCGGGTGTGCAGAGCTAGCACAGAACCCAGAGTCCTGCCGGTAAGTTTCCTGTGGGGAAGGCGCTGGTGAAGCTGACTCCTCCTCACACCCTATGGGCCAACTTCGACAGGGGGTTGGGGCTGCCCACCTGCCAGTCACCTGATGTCACCATGACTGCAGGTCATTTGACAGGTATGTGGCTCTGCCCATATGTCAAAGTCAGCCCCACCTGCACCCTAAGGAGGAGGTTGGCTGGTTCTTGCATTTGCAAATACAAATAAGCAGTTGGAAGGATTATTATTGCCCCAAAGAAGAGGGAGATTGGTGTTTCCCCATTGGCCAGAAGAAGCCAATTCCCAGCAGGGAAACCCTTGCGTGGAGAATGACACGCACTCCCACTTCAGAGGAGTTCCCACAGCAAAAGTGTCTAAGGAGAGACTGAGCCAAGAATCCCCACTACAGTGAGAGGCCTCCTGGAGCGGCAGGCCAAGCTTGAGACATCCACATGCATTTCTTGCAAACAGATCCCTTCGCAAGAGCCAACCCAGAATGCTTTTGAGATGAGGGTGCGGAACCCGACACTCGCAGCACCCAAAGGCCAAGCGGTGAAAGAAGGTCAAGCCACACCACATATGGCAAGCACAGCACAGCCCGGCCAGCCACTCTGTCAGAAGCAGCAAGGAGGGAAGAGAATCACAGCCAGCAGCTGCTAACTGGAAGAGGGACCTAGGATTCCATGGGGAAAATGCAGCTATTTCTGCAGTGTTATTTTGTGTCACATCCCAACTCAGAGAAGCTGCCCCTAAAGGAAGCCTCCCTTCGAAAAACAAACCAGGCCTGCTTCGCTGTATAAACAGAGCGTTTTCCACATGGGGGCAAGCACAATTAACAGGATTGTTATCTTCAAGTTTCTCTCAAATCTCTACTCGTTGAGGAGACAGCGTTTCAACTCTCAGTTTTCAAACCCGCAAGACTTGCAGCCTGCCGATATTAGTTGTGTTTTTCTTTACACCATCAGTGGCACAAGAAAGCCAAACCTCAGAAGTGAGGCAACCAATGGCATCAGCTGTGGTGGGTGAAGCTCTATGCAGGGTTGGTATCCTGGATCTTTGGAGTATTGGGTGCAGACCTTGATAGCATACCTGCACAGATGGCAGCAATCAGCCCTTTCCTGCCATCTTGGTCTTTCAGTACCTCCTTCACAGCAGGCGACTGCAGGGAAATATATTTGATCAACAATATATCCTTTTCCAGCTATGCACACAAGAAGGCTGTTATGTATCAGAACTGGTTGTCTAACAAAGAAAAAGAGTACAAGGGAAGGTGTCGGAAGATTTTGTTGTTACTAGATGACTAAAGGAAACTACTTCTTCCGTTCCCTGCCCCCACACCCCAAAACGTGCCATTGGACCCTCTTTTGTTTCAAAACCACTCGAGTAAGCCTGGCTTAGTTGTGGCTTTTTTGTATCTACAGCCTTATACAAAGGAAGGGAACGTGGACCAAGTACCCCCAGAAAAGAAACCAGTTTGGCTTTAGACACACCAAAGCAGTTGCAACATTTACTTTGGACTTTGGAATGATTGCACTCTGCTTCCTTCACTTTCAGAACGGGAGAATATTTGCTCAAATAGGAGGGAAGTTCCCACATTTCCCCAAGTTGTTACCTCTGACAAGTTCTGAGCTCCCAGGTTCCCTCCTGGCAAGACCACCACATCATAGGGTCCCTAAAAATAGGAAAAAGCATTAGCAAAAGAAAAGCATGAAGACTGGAAAAACAAAAGCAAACATCTTATTTGCAGCTATCCTTTAGCAGGCTACCGAACGCTCAGTATTGTGCCATGGCTCAATCCTGGAATAAACAGAAATAAGAGCCTCTGGTGTGACGGTTTTCCCTTCATCATTAAAACTACAGGATTTTGGGGTTTGTGGGTGGGCAGAAGAGATCTTCCAGATCTGAGGATGCTACTTCCAGACAGATTTGATCCTAGCATCTTTCCCGTCCCTCCAAAAGTTATAAATATTGTGGGGTGTTTTGTTTTTTTCATAGTGCCATTTCTTAGCATCTGTTTGACATGTAAGGTCATAGTGTTTATTTAAACTCAGTGGCATTGAGAATCACTATCCACATTTGCTAATGGAACGCCACTTAGAAACTTGCAAGTTCAACCACTGCATTTCCCTTCTGTGGCCATGATTCCATGAAGCCACATGCAGGCACCGTGAGAGGTTTCTCCAAAGTTCCCAGAGTCACCATTTGCCTCTTTACCAGTTGGAGTTTCCAGCTCCTCAGCAATTCCCCCTTTCTCCTGATTATTATCACTGTGCAAGCTGAAGGTACCCTTAGGCCACCCCTAGATGATGATGAAGAAACTCAGGCCTAATATGAAAGAGGCGGGGCACCCATTTTTTTTGCAACATGGAATCTGTGTGGCACCAACCTCCTTCCGGGCATCTTCCAAACTCTTGTCGGGACAAATTAAGACATCCCGGCTGCACTGCACAGGCTCTTTTCCAGTCAGGCCGGCTACAGTCACAGAGATCTGGTGAGAAAACAGACAGCTTTGCTTTATTTGCCAAAATCTACTGAGTCACCGAAGAAATGGAAATAGTTTGGGGGAGGTAAATTTTTGCATTAGTGGTCCCCAGCACAATGGGGATTTAGTAAATTTGCATATAGCGTGTTTTCTCCCCCACCCAATCCATCAGCAAGTAACCAACCCCCACCCGCTATTATTCAAAAAGTTAACTCTCTGAAGAATCACTTGAGAGAAATCTATACAGGGAGCAACACAATCCATAATTGAACAATATCTCCCACCTCTCCCTGGCTCCAAATAAATGTCTGCAGACATTCTAGCATACCCCCTCTAAATATGTGAGCATACAATAGCTGTTAAAGAGGCATACGTGGAATTAAGCGGCTATATCAAACTCAGAGGACTAATGGTTGGTCTGCACAAGTGGCCAATCAGAAAGAGATACTGTCTCCGTCCCCTGTAACTGGCCTCTGTTCTGCAGTCCAGCCCTGCTCTACAGCACATCATTTTTGCGTCTAGCAGGTGCCAGCCAGCCTGCTTCTGGATAGCTTTTTGGATGGTGTGGTTTACTTTACAGTAGAACATCTATTTGCGACCATAATCCATTCTGGAGGCCCGTCTGGCGGTTGAAACAGGTCGCTAGGAGAGGCGCCATTGTGCACAGGCGCGGGCAGCGATTGCCCACTTCTGCGCATGTGTGAACGGTGTTTGCCCGCTTCTGTGCATGTGCGAACAGCGATCACCCGCTTCTGCGCATGTGCAAATGGCGGCAAACCCGCTGGTTACTTCAGGGTTTGCCGTGGTCGCACCTTGGAACCACCGTAAGAAGAGGCAGTGGTAAGTAGAGGTTCGACATTTATTTGTTTATTAGAACAGGGTTTATAACATTTACAAGAACAGTTTCTATTTATTTCAGCTTCTTTCATGCCAAAACATTTGGTTTTGTGAGCCCCACGAGGACAAGAATGATAAAACTGCTGTAAATCCCTCTGAGCCCACAGAACAGGCAGAGACCTTTATCTACCCACCTGCATATACCTATATCTAGATCACCTGTATCTATAAATCTCTCTCTCGTTTCCTGGCTCAAGGCTGGAGGGATGGGGGTCTGCTTTTCTATATTGTATATAACCTTCTCCCCAACGTAATAGCAGAGGGAGGGGGTTGGTGGTATGGGAAGGGGAGTGGTAGTGATAGGACTGTTGAGAATGTAATCCTTAATACAGAACACCTTCTCCTGCCCAAAGTGCTGTTTGCATGGAGCAGAAGTGGGGGAACCCAAAGCCCTCCAGATGCTGCAGGGCATCAGCTCCCATCATCCCTGGCCATCACCCGGGCTCCGGGTTCAGCCACCTTCTGCTCTGGAGGATTTCTCAAATCAGGTGGCCTGCTGTACTTCCCATGCTTGCCTACGCAAGGGAAACTCAGCAGAAATTGCTTCTCAAACCACTTCGCAATTGCCAAGCAACTAAACATGCCTTGTCCATGCAACTCTAAACAGTGCATGAGCCCTCCAGGTCCCAGGACTAAACAGTCAACACTGTTGCAACCAGCTCAGCATCTAGTTCATGAGGAATCCACCTGCAGGCAACAACACAGAGGCACAGGACAACCATTTCGGCTACTGTAAGCTCCCTATGCCAAGGAAGGGACTTGACTTCTTGCACATGGACAGTGTCTTATTGTTAACAACAACAATGCCAGGAGGAATGGAGGAAAGGAAGAGCTATCTAGGAAGCCCCAGGACATACTCACACCTGCCCTCCTCATGATGTCTGTGGGGATGACGGTTTCCATCTCTTCAGCTCCTTTGGCCAAGATCACCAGAGCCCTTTTGGCAGTCATGTTGAAAACTGGGCGTTTTGCTCGCCTCAGTAACAAAAGGCTAGCTCTCTCTCACACACACACTACAGAACAAGAGAGAAACAAAGTGTTAGGCAAAGCAACATTTATCTGCACAGTTTATTGTTCAATCACCACTGCTCAATAATCCAAGTTGCAGCCAAACTGAGGAGCTACTGAAAAGAAGAAAGATATAGCAAGGAGAATTGCTGGACAGAGGTCAACGTTAAGTGCCTTAGCAGCACCTTAAAGCAGCCAGCATCAGTATGGCCAGAAACACCCACAGAGTCCTGGGAAGGTCAAAGGTCACAGCACTTTTCTGAAAAAAGCCCTGGTTTAGCATTTCTTTCTTGGAAGAGTGATGAAATAGGAGCTTCCTGCCAGCTGCATATCTGATCTCAACCCTTTTTTAAATCTACGTCAATCTTCAAGGCAGACAAGAGATCATAGATACCCACTGAAGTGGAGCCTTGGTTATGAGGGACACCAGGCAAGAAGAAGCGATCTTTTTTTTTTTTTTAATTATGTTTATTGAGAATTTTAAAATTACAAAAAAACAAAGAGAAAAAGAAGGAAAAAACAAGAAACAAATAGCAATTAAACAATACAAATCGATAAAATTCAAAAGCAAAAAGCAAAAAACAAAACACATAACACATCAAAATCAGAAAGCAAAAATAAGCCACAAAGATTTAAAAACAGATTCAATATTCCCAAATCCTTAACTGTCATTACCTTATTTCATCGACCTCCTCACACCTCCCTTTTTTGTATTCTAGTTGTTGATTGTCACAGCAAATCCTTTCCATTTTTCATAATATTCTGTCATTAAATTACCTTAATCTATTTTAACCTTATCTTACCATAAAGAACCCTAAAACTTAAAACTTAAATCTTATTTATACCAATTTCTCATAGCCATAGCATATTCTTACATAGTTCTTTTTAACATTTCTGCTAAAGCCAAATAATTTCGTTCCAACATTTTTCTAATACTCATTAATTTTGGAAAACATTCCTAAGTAGAATTTTTTAAAACTTTCTTCCAATCTTCATCCAACGTCTCTTCCTCCTGGTCTCGGGTTTTGTCAGTCCTTTCTATCTCATCCATCTAGTTCATTAACCTGGTAACCTTATGTCCAAGGCCCTTAAGTCTCTTCCATGTCCCTTCCGCAGATCATCTTCATATTTATAACTGTACTTTACTTTGTCTTCTGCTCCTTTCACTCGTGGAGACTCCACCTTGACAATATTTTTGTCCCTTCTCGACAGATCAGCCCCTTTTCCATAGTCCACACTGAACTCCATGTGGTATTTAAAAGCATGTTTCAAGGTCCCTCCAAAGTTGAGGACCCCCACAACCCCAAACTCCTCCCGGCCCAACGCCAGACTTGAAAAGTCAAAACATCCCTGCATAGGGGGGGTCAATCCAGCCCCCCATCTCCAAGCCAAACAAGACTCTATCTCTCCAAATCTGGCTTTTTCCAGGTTCATTCGACAGGTCCAACAACTCATGTTCCTGCTGGGCCACAGTTCCCTCCATCTCTGCCTCCCGGGGTCCAGCCGCAACCTCCTCCCTCATCTGATCTGTCAGAGCACACTCCTGAATTGATTCCTGAGTGGGTTCTATGTAGATACCCACTACCTGTCCAAAATTTCTGATCGCAACAGTCATCAAATCCGTCTTCTCATGTAACTGTTCCAATAAAGCACTTGTCTTGCAGAAAGCACGCACCAGAGCCTCCGAGTACATTGTTGTGCAAGGTCAAAGTCTGATCCCACGATCTTAATCTATTGCAGCTGCAAAGCTCCCCAGTTCAGATTTAATAACAGCTTCACAAGCTCCCTCTAGGGGAAGAACTTCTATTTGTATCCATCTCTCTCTTTTTTTTTTAAAAGCTGATCTAACAACAAAGTTTCCTTTTTCAGATATTTTGTCAATATTTTGTTCCTTTTAACTGCGAAGGAGAACAATGGAATCACTATGTTTCTCTTCTTTTAACTGTCTGTCAAAAACGTTTGTCTATAGTCAATGAACTCCAAAACGTCTGTCCTGACACCCCGCTCCCAGGTTCAAGACGGTGGAAAATTGCTTTTCTTTACACACTCTTCTGCAGGTTTAAACAGTCCAGAAAAAATCCCCCCTCTTCTCCTGCTTCCAAAGGGGGTTCAGTAATTTTAGATGATGAAAGTTAATCCTTTACAAACGGTTTTCTAAACTCTAGCTTGCCACGTCTTTGCTTTAATCTTTCTACAAAGAGCGGAAGGCTGACTTCCTGTTTAGACCTTCCCGCTTCAGTGCCAAATTAAAAGGAATTTCTTAGTCCAATTTTCCGTTCTACTCACGGGTCGTTGTTTAGAGTCCAATTGCCCAAATTCAACCTACTCACGGGTAGTTGTTTTTGTAGCCAGATTGTCACAGGAAAAAGGTAGCGCTCTCCGGTAACGGCTGTGCGGCTTCGCTCCACGGAAGAAGCAGTTGACTCTCAGCACCGCACCGCTTGCCCCGCTTCGCTCCGGAGCCCGTAACTGGGTTCCTTTGCAAATTGGGGGGGGGCGCGAAAGGTGCCCGCCGAGTCCCACGGTCACAGGCTTCACCCGCCTGTGATTTTTTAAAGGGTCCCCGCTTCGCCGTAGCGGAACAGACCCGATTTCCGTAGAGCCAGTCCCTCCGGATCAGAGGGAGTCCGCCATTACCGATGGCGCCACCCTGGAAGTCCCCAAGAAGAAGCGATCTCATAACTACAGCCCAAAATGAACAAACCACCAATTTGTGACTGAGGGGAAAAACCTGTTGGTGGGGAAATGAGGTTATTTACTTCCAAGTGCTTGGGGAATGACATTTCTCCCTACGTCAGAAGCCAGCTCTTGCCGAGAAGACATAGGAAACCTCATCTCCAACTTTTATTGCAAGGAAGTCATAATGATCATTAATCTGGCAAGGTCACAAGCTGCAATCCTGCCTGAAGCAAGTCCCAGTGGGCTGACTACCATTTTTCTGTTGCCCCTTTTCCAACTTTTCAGTGGTCAAATAAGCACCTTGGGAGGATGCAGAAATGCAGAGTCAAGATGACCCAAGGGCTCGCTACATAACAACTGCAATGACAGTAATCTAGACATCTCGCACTTAGTTAAACGTTCTGTAAATCGGCATGGGAGCACAGGTTTCTTTCACATTTTCAATTACTTTTGCCAGCAATTACAGCAGCTAGGCCTGCTCTGACTGTGAGTGGTACAGTAATGGCCGGTAACTGACAGGCTTCCCATCAGTTGCAGCTGATTCAGACATAATGCTGAAAAAAATAGCTTCTGAACTGAATTTACTGAGAGGACGGAGAAATGCACACAATGCTTGAATGCTATTACAGTTAGCAAGGGTTGAAGAAAATATTAAGTACAGCACTAACACAGTGAGGCTATAGTGAAAAGGAAATAAAACTTGAAGAGCTGTAGGATCAGGCCCACAGGCCAACCATACGAATTCAAGGCTACAATCGGGGACCAGAAGCAGACGGTAAGAGCCTTTTTGGTAAAATGGCTCCTGCAATTGGTGCCCTCTTGTCAGGGACGACACAAAGAGCACAGAACCCTCTCTCCCTAGAAACGTTGCAGCTCAAATCTCTGTGGAAATTGCAACCTCTCAAATATTAATTCCATTGCCAGTATCTATGCATAAAAGACCCCATCATTATTATACCAGCATCAAGATGGCTATGCAGCTGAGAGTGCACCGCTTATTGCCAGCAGTGCAAAATAGCTCTGCTTTGCTATACCTATTTAGCTGAGTAGGAAGGAGTTACAGTCCAGCAGTGTAGTCCTCTGTTATCCTAGTGCATTGACCTTTTTCAGGAAATTGGGGTCAGCGGGCACAGTTGCGAAAGCAGGGGACAGATTGGAGGTTTCAGCCTTGGGTATCTGGATGCCTGGTCTACCCAAAGATGGAAAGCAAGGGCAGAGGAGCAGACCTGGTTGCTGTCTGCCTGTATGCTTAGAGCAGGGCTGGAGAAGGGGCGTGGGGTGGGGCTGATGTTGTCGGTCATCTGGAGGCCTGCCCCGGAGAGGCGGAGGCACGCACTCCCCTGGACCACCTTGACGCGCGTGTCGTAACCCGGGTCACCTCAGTCGTGCGAATGCGCGCCCAGCCAGGCCTCCCCCGCCGCGCTTCCCATTGGGGGATTTGCCCGGCTTTCAGTCTCAAGGGAGGGAGGGAGGTTGCTGAACATGCGAGACGGAGGGGCGGCCTTCCGGCGGCTACGAGGGAGGATTTCGCCCCGCCGCCTCCACAGCCAGGCCTTCGCTTCACCCAGGCGCCCCATCCCGCCACCTTTTGCACGCGCCTCTTTCCCGCACGCGTATGCACCCGTTCTTACGTGCAAAAGGCGGCGGCAACTGCAGCTCCTCCTCCTCTAGAGACGAGGCGGGCGCTTGCTGCTGCTGCTGCCACTCGCTGGAAGCTCGCGATGGCTCTCCGTCAGCGAAGCCTTAATGGTTCCTCCCCTCCTCCTCCCCCCCGCTTCCAGGAGGAATGGTACAGCCGGAGAGAGAGCGACACTCGAACTCCCGTGAGGAGGAGGAGCCTCCGACTCCCCTTAACCCCTTCCGCGCCAGCCGCGGCTCTCCCTCTCTTACAACAGCCCCTCACATTTCAAGTGCTATCTCCTACCACTTTAAAGAGCGGCGATTTAACCCCCCCCAGGAATCCTGGGAACTGTATTTTGTTAAGGGTGCTGAGAACCGTTAGAGGTCCACTTTCCGCCGCTTCCCCCCCCATAAGGACTACAATTCCCAGAATTCCCTAAGGGGAAAGCCGTTAAAAGGCTGCGAGAATTATGGCTCGCGAAAGAGGGGGAGGAGAAGTCTCCTAACAGCATTGTGGGAGCTCACCGCGAAGCTGCCTGCATGGCCTATGGCGAGAAGGTGGGGGGAGGGGCGGCTTCGCAGAGACCCGGCACCTCCTCCCTTCACAGCCACAGTCTCCAGCACCCTTAAACTACAGTAGCCAATCATATTCTTCTTTTTTGGGGCGGTGGGGGAGTCGCGCGCTTTAAATGTCTTTGGTGAGAACTTGTGTGGAAATTCCCTGGCGAGGGGGTCTGATCTGAGGAGACTCGTGACGTATTTCGCTTTCAAGCCCTGCGCGTAGCGGCCGTCATTCGAAAAGGTCGCGGCTGGGGGTGGGGGAGGGGAAGAAAGCTTAAAAGGCGAGAGCGAGCGGCCGCCTCAGCCCGCGCTTTCTGGCAGTTGAGGGGGCTTTGCTGACGTCACGTTCGCACCTGGGTCGGCGAGGGGCGGAAGGCCAAGGCCCGCCTACCTGCAGCGGCGGAGCCAATGGGGAAGGGCAGCTCCTGCGTTGTTCGTCGGACCTCGGGGGAGTCATCTTTTGAGAGTTAACTCTGAAAATGGATACTCCGGATTCTGGTCGAACTAAACCCCAGGAGTGAGAAGGTCACAGGCCCCGTGAAGGGAAAACCAAGCACAAATGGTTTCAAAGGGGCAGCACGCTGACGCTGGGTCCATGTTTATGAGTAATATGATTGCCATGACAGCGAAGGGGAACCTCCTTGTCCAGAGGCAGTCTACCCCTGAATTCCAGGTGCTTGGAGAGCAAACAACTGCTGTTTTCCCATTCGGCTTATAGGCTCTCAGGCGCATCTGGCTGGCCAACGTGGGAAGCGGCAGCATGATGCCTCTGGACTCTGATTTCAGGCTTGATGATGCATCAGACTTGTTCTTAAATCTTCTGTTAGCAGAAATTTTCTTTGGGTGGTAAAAGCGGAAAAGCCAGTTATTCGATTCTTTTGTGTGAGTAAGGGCATCAGTAAGTGTTTGATCTGAGTTTTCTCCCAGAGAACAAAGTTGTTAAGATATTTCCCAGAAACTAGGATTTTACCATTTCCTAGTCACTTGGTAAGAATAGTGGCACAGCTTTTTCAACAGGCTCTTTGACATATCCAAAATTTCAAGCCTGGGTGCCTTCACAGGATGACTGAGGGTTTATTTAGAAGGGCTGACTGCATCTTACTATCTTATTTCTTACTTTTGTTAGTCACTTTATATTGCCCAAAGCAACCCAGAGTGACTTACAACCAATCATCTGGTCGTGTCAGTTGGTTCAAATAGCTGTCATTGGTTAAAGTCATTATTAGAATTCAATAAACTGCCCATCTTCAAATGCTAGAATTTTTTTAGCAGCTTTGAGAGACTCGAAGGACAATATTGTGGAATGTAAACATTGGCCAAGCAATCCCATAGTAACCTCATGGCCATTTTAATAATGGGGTAGGCATTCATAATGCACACCAAAGCTTGAGGTAAGAACACACAGAGCCTTGCATAGCCTTCCCAGGGCTCATTCAACCACCCAGTTTCTTCTCGTACCAAGAGAACGCTGTGGTTCATGTCTTGCTGCTTTTAATATTCTCAAAGGGACATGGCTGACCACTGCTTCAGACAAAGTGGTGGAGACACTTTATGGCTTCTGTTTTTTAGTATTTCCCAAAAATTATACACCGCTGGATTGTAGAAAGGAAGAAAGAAAGAAAGAGAAAGAAAGAAAAAGAAAGAAAGAAAGAAATGAAAAGCAATTCACCAAAAAGATGAAACTATTGTTGCTACTTTTGAAAATCACAAATATTTATGATTACAATAAAGCATAAGGCTGAATATTTTCCTGATATTTGCTGTTCCAGAACACAAATAAAATGCATCATTTCCAAACTTATTTGGTCACTATTCATTTACTCTTTCTTCTGCAGTATACTTATCGGGGCCAGCTCCAGGTTTCTCAGGGTTTATATCGGCACTTGGTGTTAGTGTCCCTGTACTGTTCCTGTAGGTCAGGAAATCCTATCGCCTGCCGACCAAAGCACCTCGTTCATCCTTTGCCGTCAGTGATTATGAGAAAACAGCTCTGCTTTCCCTCAATGGCTACAAGCATCAGCTTGCTTTTGAAAAAAGAGAAGAAAAAGAAAGGTTCCAGTCCCAGGTGCTGTGGATCCTTGGCTATACTAATTCTGCTTCCAGTTCTTGAAACATGGAAAGACTTGTTCTCATCACCCATGACTGCTAAGGAAATTTCTCTGCTGAGGAAATTTCTCAAAAGCTGTTTAACGGTCTTGATGCACAATGTCTACCAGATCACCCCTATCCACATGCTTATTGACATTCTCAAAGAACTCAGAATGGTTAGTTCGACAGGATGGCCTTGCAAAAGCCATGCTTGTTGTGCTCCAGCAAGACTTGTTCTTCTGCATGATTCAGAATTATATCTGTAATGCTTTCCACCACTTTTCCCAGAACAGATATTAAGCTAATGGTCTGCAGTTTCCTAGATTTTTACACAGTGATTTCTAGGATTATCAAAAGATCTAGCCAAAGACTGGTGATACAAACCATCTCAGACATTCGGGGGTGGGGAGGGGTGTGCTCTCTCGCTCCTCCCTGGTCGTCTAGTCCCTTTCAACTGCTTGGCAAGTGGGCTGGGGCAGTGAGCAACCATTGGCGGGGGAAGCAGGGTAGCAGTATGCCCCACCTGCCCATGGCCCCATCAAGCCTGGCTGTGCCACTGAAGAAACTATCAAGACAATGTGCTATTAACATATAACCAGAGCAGCACATCACCTGTCCCCATTTTAATTTTTTTAGCAGCAGTAACATTCACAACACCTGATTTCTCTGTGCACTCAATCTTCACCCCATGTTTAGTAGCTGGAGAGTCAGTGCATGGGCATTTCAGAATAATTTCTATTAAGAATAAAGGCAACTGCACATACTTGTTTTCAAGAGAAAACAGTCTTATTTTCCAAGTTGAAGAAAATAGGTATAAGCAGCAAATTAAAATAAAATGAACATGCCCAGCTGGGTCAGTGGTGCCAATGCTTTTTCAGTTAGGATAAATTATCTAAACTGCACTTTACATTTCTGCTTGCATATGTGTAGGTATCATCAAGCAGAAAAACTGCTTTATCTGTTTCAAAATCACAACAACATCCTATCTGAAGCCACAGTTACCAGTTCTCTATCTTCAATCACGATTGCAAGATTACCGCTCATGTTTCTAATCCAGCCCAGTGACAGGAAACCCCACTCCCCTTCCTCCTTTGACATTTCACATACTGTACTTCCCAGCACAGGGCATCACGGTCAGCTTATTATCTGGGGTGGGGGCTTTCTGCTTGCCAGGTGAAGGCAAACACCTTCTCTTCACAACCACCGGTGTTCCAGTGATAACAAGTTTTGGGCTCACCGCAGCCTGATTAAGAAGTGGGTCCCCCAAATTCACGCTCAGATGAAATGTAGGTGTGAAAAGCTGAAAGACCGTTGGTCAGACTTGTTTGGCCAACAGGCAAATGAGGTGAGACCTGGGAGGTCATTGCCTACAAACAAACACAAATTGTGCAGTTGTTGAGGCATTGCAATGAAACAAGACAAGGATGTGGCCCTCCTCACAGTTTACCTGAGCTGAAAGGTGATGAACTCCTGTGAACATATCTCCTGGTTGCAAGGAAGGGTGGCTAGGGATCCCCTAGGAACAGGCTTCAGTAAGCCTCAGGAGAAACTTCTGAGTTGATGGGAGGCAGAATCAGAGGCAGTAGTCCTTCTGCTCACTGCTCACACCATTCTCTGGGCCAGGGGTCAGCAAACTTTTTCAGCTGTGGGCCAGTCCACTGTCCCTCAGACCTTGTGGGGGGCCAGACTATATATATTTTTTTGGGGGGGGAATGAACAAATTCCTATGCCCCACAAATAACCCAGAGATGCATTTTAAATAAAAGCACACATTCTACTCATGTAAAACCACACTGATTCCCAGACCATCCGCGGGCCGGATTTAGAAGGCGATTGAGCCGGATCTGGCCCCAGGTCTTAGTTTGCCTACCCATTCTCTGGGCTGTGAGAGGACAGGCTGGGATGAGGGGGGGATGTTATCTGTCATGGCTGACCTATCAGGTGACATAGAGGGAGTGGATTGGTCAGGTGGGTTGTGGGGGGGGTGTTGAGCTAAAAGGTCTGGTTGGCCCAGACAGGAGCCCTATTATAATTGGTCTGTGAAACCGTCTCCCCCCCCCCCCCAGTTTTCCTTAGGTGTCCCTGTGTGGGATCCTCCTCCCCTTTCCTAGTGTGGGAATGACCCTGGATTCGAACTAGGGCCTCCTCTTCTATCTCAGTGGGGCTCCTCCCATAGTTCCTGACACTGGTGTAGAGGTTGATGCCCGCTGCCCTGTCTGCTGCCATAGCTGGGTGGTGTCACAGTACTTCTCTGTGAAGCACCCAGTTTGGTTTTGACTTCAGGAGTTCCCTCACTTTGGCCCCTGACATGGCTGCTGGGTCTCGAACTCGCACCTCCTGCTTCTCAAGTGATGCAGTGAGTTATGGGAAGTTGCTGTGGCTGTCTGGGTGGGTCTGTTATGCAGTGGTGGCTTAGCAGCGATTTCAATTGAATTGGCAGCAGTTTGGATTACAGTGATCTGAGGACTTTGCTTCCAAGAAAGCTCAAAAAAAGTTCATGTCATAAAACAGGATATTACTGAAGAGAAAGGACTCATCAGCCAGTAATCACGGTCTTGTTATCTATCAGTGAACTGGTTCACACCAATTCACCTTATGTCCCTCCCATCGCATATGGAGGTAATGATTTGGTTTGTTCATGACTTGTATTAATGTGTTTATAGTTAAGTAGTGATATATAACATATTGAGCAATATTCTCCACTCCAGTTATAATAAAATGGACCACAACAAATTGGTGATGCTATGTTTATCCATCCTTTCATTGCAGCTTCATGATGTATAGAATTATGCATGAGGTGCTTTCTTACCTGTAAAGGTAAAGGGACCCCTGACCATTAGGTCCAGTCGTGACCGACTCTGGGGTTGTGGCGCTCATCTCGCTTTATTGGCTGAGGGAGCCGGCGTACAGCTTCCAGGTCATGTGGCCAGCATGACTAAGCCGCTTCTGGCGAACCAGAGCAGCACATGGAAACGCCGTTTACCTTCCCGCCGGAGTGGTACCTATTTATCTACTTGCACTTTGACATGCTTTCGAACTGCTAGGTCGGCAGGAGAAAAGACTCTCTGCGTTGGCCGGGAATCAAATCCGGGTCAACTGCTTGGAAGGCAGCTATACTCAACACTATACCACCAACGCTTACTTCTTACCTGTAAGTGCCCCCAAATGACTCCATTGCCCAAGTCCTCAGAACCTGCCCCCCCCGTTGCTGCCTGTCCTGCCCCCCCTTTTCCACTCCTTAGCCCAAAGAGGATGCTCCTCCCTGGATTGGCCTTGAACCCTTATCTGCGTTGTGCTGTGTGTGGCCTCTCCCTCCTTCCCGGTGTGTGTTGTGCTGCTCCAAAGCAGTGCCCCCCCCCCCCCTGTTTTCGAGTGGGATCCGATCACGTGCGGGCAAATAAGTGCGCATTTGGCGCTCTAGTGCAAAGCCCCGCTCCCCCCCGGCCCCCCCATGTGAGGTTTGGCGAGAAGAAGGCAAGTGAGCGGAAAATGCAACCGGACAGGTGCTTGGAAGGGACGATGCCCTTGCTGGACGCAGCGTCGTCTAACCTCCCTGGCCCTGCAAAGAAACGAGTCTAACCTACGCGCACACACCCCACTAACTGGCGGCAGCCTCGGGCAGGAGAGTGAAGCCTGCTGGTCGCCTCCAAGGCCAGCTGGAAGCCTTTTGCGCGCAGGTGTAGAAGGGTGCGCGCGCCCCATCTCGCCTTTGAGAGGGTCCCAAGTCTAGAGCCTCTCTCCCTGGCGCTCTCGAGGGGCTGCCCCCGCCTTCGGTGGGGATTCCCGGCCTTGGAACCGCCCCGGGGGCCCCCACGTGTAGCTGGCGCCCCGCTCCGACGCACAAAAGGCTTGGCGCCGCCCCGAGGAAGCGAGAGTAGTCCGTACTCGCCTCTTGCGCGCTCTGATGGGGCGCTCCGCTCCGACGCCGCTCCTGCTCCTAGCCTTCCTCTTTTGGAGATGCCTCGCCGCCGCCAAGGCGGGCTGCGAAAAAGGTAAGGGGGCTGCCCCGGCAGGCGGACGGGTGGGGAGGCTTGGCCGGAGCCCGGCTGGCCCCTCAGCCCGCTCCTCTGACGACTTTGCCCTTCTCCTCCAGGCACCTACCGGGACGCCCAGCGCCAGACTTGCAGCCCCTGCACTCCGTGCCAAGGTAGGTGTCTCCTCCCGTTCGCGGTCCCCACTCCCAGCTGGCGCCTGCTGCTTCCGAAGGGGGCTTCAACTCGCAAACAGGGCGTGAGAAATCCTGAGGGTAGGTGGTGGTGGGAGAGAGAGACTGCCAGCTGATTCTCAGAACAACCCCGGGATGGCTCATGAGGAGACTTCCCAGGCTCTGAGCAGGGACGAGCAGGACCAATTTCCTTTAGAAAGGGGAGTGATACTGCCACCTGGGAAAAGTGTATCTGGACTTGCCTCTTCTGCATGATGAGATGTTGGCACAACCCAGATCTTAAGAGCTTTTGTTGCTTGGGGTGGGGAGAGTCCACAAGAGCTGGGCATGCACACGAGAGGTGCAATGCAAATTTGCTTGAGAGCAGGGTAGACCTTAAGCACTTTCTTGCATCCTCAAGCCATGCAAACATGGGAAGAGCTGTATCACATGGCCAATGGCACATCTAGCTCCGTATCCAGTTTTTGCAGTGGCCAGATGCCCCAAAGGGATGTCCTCACAATGAGAACCCGAGCACACTTTCTCCATTGGCGATGCCCAGCAGCTGTTTCTCAGAGGCATACCGAAGCCCTCCACCGATTTAGCAGGGCTTCCAACGCAAACCCTCAGGAATTCGATTGCAACAAAACCCCTGCTCAAGCAGAGGGAAAAGCCCTTCATTTTAGCAGCACCTTACAGGGCATGGGCGTAGCCAGGATTTATTTGGGGGGGGCAGACATTATGTTGGGGGGGCAGAACCGAAATATCTCTGATGCAATTGGTCAGTTAGTTAAGTATTTATATTTATTTACTTGATTTAGGAGCAGCAGCTGCGCCCCCCCGGCTTTGCCCATTTTGCAGGGTGCTTTGACAAAAAAATTTATTAGTTTTCCAATATTAACCCAATTATACAAATGCCAATGAATTCCGAATGAATACAATCTAATTAAAGAGGTTTCCCGCGGACCGCATTTGACGCATTCATATTCTTATCGTTCAAAGCGCCTTGCCCCTGACATCATTGCGATGCTGGGTGATTGACAGGTGGATGGCCCCACCCACTTGTCAGATTAACTAGTAACCAAGGGTACTAGTTAGTGGAGGCCAGACAGGCTCTCTCCCAAACACCTTGTCATGCAGAGCCTACCTGCTTGCCTCCAGAACTCCTCCTTTGACTCAGTTGCCACTTTGTGTGGCCACAGCTGCTTGATGAAGCCAATAGCCCCTTCTTCGGGTATAATGTGGACCTCTAAAAATGCATTAACTCTTTAGACAAATATCAGTATGAGCGACGCTGCTCAGAAGACGCCGATGCTGTCTGCAGATGCGCCCCTGAATATGAATGTGGAGATCTAGAGTGCGGCAGCTGCGTCTGTGGTATTGGAGAGGAGTGGAACGGAGCAGGTGAGGGCTTAGGATGGGTAGGAATGCGTCAAAGTCTGGAGATGTGTGCATGATGTGGCACTGTTGGCGGAGAGACCCTCATGTCACAGACGGGTTGGGTGGGCAGAAAGGTCCCTCTTTGGTTGCTGTGCTTCTGGGGTGCTAGAGGGAGGGAAAGACGATTTGGAGAGATAGAGGAAAGAGGCATGGGGTGGGGAAGGGTGTCTGGCTGACAGAAGATGGAAAAGGGGAGGCTGACTTGGGGGGCACAAAGGGGCGGATGGGGAACAGAAGGGAGAGGTGCCTGGGAATAAACTTGGGCTGTTCCCAGGTTATGGGCTGTTTCCTGCCATCTCTGGGCACCTTCTTTTGAGGCTTTGGAACATGAAGAAAAGGTGCTGTCGAAATAAGACAGAGGAGTGTGTCCGAGGCTCCACCTCCTCCATCGACAACATCTCACCCCCAATGCTGCCCCCTCACTTTCCAGTGACACCTTACAAGTGTTCTCTGAGAATCTAGTGACCCTGTTGAATATTAGTCAGCAAAGAGGTGCTTTCTGTTTTAGCTGAAATGAAACCATTTCCCCAACCTAGAATTCCAAGGCATCAACATATATGGGAAATAATGTTACATGCCTTCCTTGCCAGCAGAGGGGGTAGAGGTTTTCAAGCTCTTGTAAGCTTGGTGAGTTTGGGAGTCCGTTGGACCAGGCCAGAGGGCAGGGCTGGGTTTGTTGCCTCACTTCCATTAAGTAACCCCCACCTGTTCCTCAAAGGTTGCCAAGAGTGTCCTGAAGGGAAGTTTAAGGCCTGGATATCTGGTGAATGCCAAAACTGGACACAGTAAGTCCTTTTAAAAAACGAGCAAAAACATTTTTTTCTCAGTATCATAGTTGCTGGTGTGCGTTTTAATGGGGCTTTGCGATTGCCTGCAGATGTCCAGCTAATCAGATCTCAATTCCTGGGACGGCGAAAACTGATGTGGTTTGCAACACGACAACAGAAGGCCCTACAAAACCCACGACTTGGCCGGTTTTAACTAAGGAGACAGGTGAGGGTTTGCTGCCTCTCTCTAAGTGCTGAATGACCAGCAGCTTGGCAGAAGTCACTCAGAGGGCTTTGCCTCTGTTGCTCTCTAGGCAGAGGAGGGTGGCAACAGGAAATAAGGGCAAGGCACCCTCTACTCTGTGTCACACTAATAGTCCCTGATGGAAATGGAGACCTGGCTTCTCTCTCGAGGGAGGGAGGAGAATAACATTTGCTAGAACACACAGTTGACGCACAGTCATTTTGCAGCTTGGTTTGGGGGGGATTTATTTTTGGCAGCTGTTCTAGTTTCTGAATTGCTGGATTTGACTATGAGCTGCTTCAAGGACCCTAATTGGGTGGAAAACGTATTATTACATTTTTTTGTTTTCTTTTTCATTTAGCTTCTAGACTGGTAAATCATCCTATTTCTACACCTCTCCTTTGTCTGCTGCTCCTGCCTCTCATCCTTCTCCTCCAACTCAGCTCTCAGGTGCCTTTCTGCATGCAGCGACGTAGCTAGCCGCTCGGGTGCCTGGTGCAGGGGCATGTCCTGCGGCCGGGGGCGGGGTGATCCACCCATGGGGGCAGGGCAAGCCTCTCCGACGCTGTAAGGCGGCTGAGGGAGAGGCAGTAGGCAGAGGCAAATCCCACGCTGCCATTTTAGGCAGTGCAGAACCTGCAGGTGCCTAAGCCACCACATCATTCCTGAAGTTTTGTGAGCCCAATTTTTTAAAAAACTCATTTTGTCAGCCCCCCTCAGTGATGACACCTGGGGCGGTCCGGACCACCCACACCCCCTATCTCCGCCACTGTCCTCATGGCCAGAAACAGTGCACACTGGTCCTCAGCTATCCTTGGTCACCCTGAAGCCCCCTCAGTCGACGTTCTCACATGCCCTGCATGACCACCTCTTTTCACCCTGGAGGCCATAGCAACACATACCGTATTTTTCGCCCTATAAGACGCACCAGACCATAAGACGCACATAATTTTTGGAAGAGGAAAACAAGAAAAAAAATATTCTGAATCCCAGAAGCCAGGACAGCAAGAGGGATCACAGCACAGCGATCCCGCTGGCTGTCCTGGCTTATGGGATAGCTGCGCGCAGCCTCTCCCGGGGGCAAGGGGAGTCTTCATCCCCTGTCCGGGAGAGGCTGTGCGCAACTAAGGCTCCCCCAAGAGCCGCACACACGCTCCACGAGGCTCTTTAAAGGGAGTGCTGAGCAGAGCCTCCTGCCTGCATTTGCTCCATAAGACGCACACACATTTCCCCTTACTTTTTAGGAGGGGAAAAGTGCGTCTTATAGAGCGAAAAAATACAGTACCTGAAATGTTCAAAACTCCATGCTTAGGGTGATGATGAGTTTCCATTGTGGGCTGTAAGAACAGAAAAAATGTTTGCTTCATTCAGGAGTTCAAGTGAGGGCCAGGTACCCATCCGTTCTGAGGCAAAATACAACACCAGCCTCACAGCCTTCTAGAGGCTGCCTGCTTTGAAATAATGACCATCCATTGTTTTGGTACACAATTAGTTATCTCCACCTCTCCTGGAATGAGTCACATTTTCTTGGTAGATAGGTGTGCTTGCCTCTGAGTATTTTGTTACAGCCACATCCTGGGTTGGAGGTCTCTGACTCCTTTGTGCCTCCATCTTGGACAAAGTGGTGCCGCTGCTGGGCACCTGGTGGACTGGGCAGGTGCTGCCAGGCACCTGGTGCTAGAGATCCCAGAGCTCTTCCCAGGCAGCAGGCCTGTTCCCTTATGCAGAGCTGGAGTACCTGGTTTTTTCCTTAGGCCTCAGATAACGCGGATATTTCTTCCTAATATTTCTTCTAAACATAGGTTTAGAACTACTTGTCCGGGGGCAAGTATTCAGTGGTAAAGGAAGGCTTTTCAGCCTTGTTCTCCTGAGCCCAAGCAAACCTGTAGGACTTCCTACAGGAGCTCGGCTTAGTTTTGGGGCTGCTAGTGAGGGATGCCTTCTCCTTGTTTTTAGAGCAGGACAGCCATCTGGTCCCCATCAGTATTGCCTTGGCGGTAGCCTTGCTTCTGTGCGTGCTGTTCCTGGTGCTCTTTTGCATCTTCTTCAGATCCTGGGCTCGAGAGAAGTTCCCGGCTGTGATCCTGAAAGGTAAGACCAAGGCGCGATCCTCTGCCAGGAACCTGCTCTCTGTTCCCCCCTCACACACCCCAATGGGGTGCTTTGTCCAGGGTGAGTGGGGGTCCCCATTGCAGCCATTCAGCATTCCTGGGTCACTGCAGCCTTTTGGTTTTCTGGCCATGCAAACCCTGGCTGGTGAAAGGGCTAGACTTTCTTTCTTTCTTTCTTTCAGGATTTAGAAAGACAAGCCCTGTGTTGTTTTTTTAACCTCCCAGGTTGCAGGTTCAGCTGGTCTCCTAGCAGCTCAGGGCTCCCAGGAGGAAAAAGAGACACACTGGAGAGCAGAACAGTGGAATGGTCTCCCTTGGGAGGTTGTGGACTCTCCTTCCTTGGAGGTTTTTAAGCAGAGGTTGGACAGCCATTGGATGCTTTAGCTATTGCAGAAGGTTGGACTAGATGGCCCTTGGGGTCCCTTCCACCTCTACAATTCTATGAGACTTGAAATAAGCTTTAGTCTAAGCCTGATGCATCTAGGAAGAAAAGCTTTCCTTGGGGCTGTTTTTTTTCTGAAATATGTTGGGCCTGGAATAAATATTATTTCATTTTTTAAAAAAAGTATTTTTATTAAGTTTTCAACAAAGGTAACAAAAATAAAAATAAAAACCAAACAGTAACAAATGCAATAACATCCATAAACAAATAAAATTATACATAAAACCATATCAATTCCATAAAGTGGGATTCTCTGAATCCCCTGACTCCCCCCCCCCATTCCTGGTTCCCTAAATTTCTTATCAAATGCATTTCATTTCTACTCCAATTTTTTTTTCTAACTTCAGATTTCTTATACTACTAAATATAAACTACAAGTATTCTTAAAATCCTGCCAATATATTTATCTGTTTACAATACTTTTGCAAATACATAATAAACATTTCCAATTCTTTTTTAAATTTATTGTCATCTTGATTTCTGAGCTTTCCAGTTAGTTTTGCCATTTCAGCATAGTCCATTAACTTGGTTTGCCACTCTTCTTTCGTTGGGACTGCTTCTTCTTTCCATCTTTGGGCTAACAGCACTCAAACTGCCGTCATAGCATACATAAACAATTTTTTCTGATCTTTTGAAATTTCCACTCCTACAATACCTAATAGAAAGGCTTCTGGTTTTTAAATAAAGGTTATTCTAAACATTTTTTTTCATTTCGTTATATATCATTTCTCAATTTTTTTTTAACCTTCCTACATTCCCACCACATATGATAAAATGTACCCTCTGTTTCTTTACATCTCCAACACTTAAATGTTATTTCAAATGCCTGGAGTTTCTCTCTCACTTTCTTTTTTCCCCTTCTTTTTTCCTTTTTATAATAATAGTTATCAGTTTTCAATTACAGCCCAATAGTAATCTCATTATAATAATACCAATTTATAATACAATTATTAATACCAATCGTTCAAATACCAAATTGTGCTAGATTTGATGGTTTGATGATTTTATTTCTGCGTTCCAAAATCTTATTAATTTCAATTACATACTGGTCATAATAATAATCCCTTATACAACAACTGCAATATTAATAATGTCTATTTGTGTGGACACATTAAATGATTTATAAAACTACAAGTGAGGAACTCAAACTATATCCTTGTTCTTGCTGTGTATGGCAATTATTTTGTCCATGGTGTTTCTTCCTGTCCTTGTAAGATGTTATGTCTTTCTTTCTTGTTGCTGTTATCCATCATGCCATGGGCAGAGCTGATATCCCATTGTTGTTTCAGAGATTTCTCTGTTGCTCTGTCCCGTGCTTCGTTGTTTTGCAACTTTAACAACAGCTGCAAAAGTGACTCTGTCCCAGTCAATATTACCTGTTGTCACCATTTCCCCTCTCAGCCTGGGAGGAAGAGTGGTCTGTCGAACTGCAGATGACTCAGTAAAGAACCTTATCAGTTCCTTGGCAGTTCACAGACTCCTTTCATCCTTCCTTCCAACTGTATATGTGCAATTATACTTCCGATTATATTAAATTCCAAGTCCTCTTAGTGTTATTCAGTTCGTAAATAATAAAGGATGGGGAAGAGTCAGCTCTAAGTTTCCATTGTAAACCTTTTGCAATATAGAGCTTCCCTCCCTTTTTCCTTTTTTTACACACACAGTTCCGTTTGATGTTATATTCCATATTTATAATCCAATTTCTTTCATCCTTGCATATACTGTACAAATATAGCTTGAACTAACAGTCAGAGGAGGGTTGCTGAATCATAAATGTAGAGAATTAAATTTTAAGTAAAGAAACCATAGGCTCCCCTCCCCCCCACCGTCTTTTTCACCAAATGAAGTTTTATTTCAAATTCAAACCTTAAAGTCCTTGCAGTTGTTTATGTTCCGCAGTTTGTGATCTCATCTTTGCTAGTACAACGCCTGTACTTTAGTCCAATTAAGCTCTAATTAAGGGGAGAACCTCTGCTTCTTAATGGGTTTTCAGCAGACGAAGTGCTTTTGCACTCAGCGCCTCCCTGCCTCCTGCAATTCATGCCGGAGTGAGAGCCAGGTACCAAGACAAACTGTGAGTGAAGCCCATTCCCCCCTGTCCCTGGGGGGAATTTGCAAGGATAATTACCCTCAACCACCTTTGTTTTTCCTTCACCAAAGATTTCCCGCTGTCACGGGGGCTGCCTCCATTAAGGCAGAGTAGAACTGGAAGCTATCTCTCTCTCTTTCCTTCCTAATCAAGAGCTGAGCCACATCTCGGTCACCCAGGGAATATGTCCCCAACCCCACAGGAGCACGGAATGTGGTAGTGAGCCCAGAGCTCATTTGCCTGAAAACCTCTGCTTTCTAAAAACAAAAACAGGATTAGCATATTCGGGGCCACCAAGACACATCTGGAAGGATGTGGGCTTATTTTTCAGAATCCGCCGAAGTCAAAACAGGGTGTCTGAAAATGGCTTTCAGAGCCTGGGGGCTAGGGAGGCCTCATTGCTCTGCAGAGCAGCCCTTCTCCCTCTGCATGACTGCCACACCAGACTTGTGCAAAATTAGCCCAAATCGCAGAATATGCTGTGCAAAATAGGGAGGGGAAACCCATCACATTACTTAGCTCAATACATGTCGGCTGCAGACATCAGCACTTCTCAGCGGTTGGGCAACTGATGAGCAGGCAGAAGGTCCCAGCTGCAACCTCCAGCAGCTGCCGCTTCTTGCTTTCCGTGCTTCGGCGGAGAATTTTTAAATTTTAGCTGAGAATAGCCACCACCCAAGGGCCTGCCTCTGCCTGGCCTGGTCCCCCGGTCACTTCTTCCTTCAGGGCCCACCACTGGAGGACTGTGCTTTGACCCTGTAAGGCACCCCTGGCCTTGCGGCCCAGAGAGGTCACCTCCTTCCCTGTTTCACTTCAGCCTCCACACAGCAACACGGCCCTGCCTGTCCATGTTTTTAGCCAAAGACTGTAGTCAGAGCTGTGGTTACTGAGGGAGCTGCTTGGAGACCAGTGGAAAGGAATCTCCAGCGACTTAAAGGGCTGCTGTTTCCCTCTTCCCTTTCGTTCATTTTCCCTGCCGCTGTCTTATTTCCTAGGCAGAATGATTCCGTATGAAAAGACAATTATGGGAGAAACCTCACCATGACTGTACTCTCTCTCACTTTGTGTTATGTCACACCGCCTACAGCAGCCGTTTTATGACGTACGCCCCCCACGCTTTCAAAAACGTGCCCCCCTGGTCCAAAAAGGTGGGCGACCTCTGCCTTTCAGCCTGCCTCTCTGCTTGAGTCAGAAAAGCCACATCAGTCACTCTCTGAATGCTGTGGGGTCCCCATTGAGCTGTGAAGCCAGATACGAGCACACATTTGTCATTTTTGGGTAGAAAGGAGCCCTTTTCCATTTGCGGCCTTGCCACCACATAAGCTGGGAATATTGTGGCCCGTGAAGGCCTTCCTCTTGTCTAGTCAAAGCCTCCATTTAACTCTGGGGCATTTGGGAAGTTGGTTTTGGATCTGAAGAGTGCTGAGGTGGCTTTGAAGCTGATCTCTTGAGGTTAGCAGGGACTTCTTTTTAAACAAAAAACAAAATTCTCTCACCCGCCCCACGTTTGTCCTGGAAGACAAATGGAGGGGTGGGTGGGGAGGCTTTTCACATGGTCAGTAGTGACCCTGGCAGGGGTGGCGGCAGCAGGGTTGAGTTTTTGTTTTTGAAGAAAGGCGGTGGTTCTGTGGCAGAGCACCTGCTTGGCATGCAGAAGGTCCCATGCTCCATTCCTAGCAACACCTCCAGTTAAGGCTGCAAAATGGCCTGGGCCTGAGACCCTCACTGCTTGTCAGTACAGCCAGCCCTGAGCTAGATGGACAGGAGCTTCAGCACAGAAGGCGCAAACTGGGAATGGAAATCAGATCCTATCCACAGAATAGGAACTGGGGGGCAGCTGCGCAAATCACTCACCTGTTTCTCTCTCTCTCCCCGCCCCCACTAGTGCCGCTTGGACAGTTGGCCCAGGAGGTGGATGACTGCAGCTACCGCTACCCAGAGGAAGAAGAGGGAGGAAGCAATGAAACAGCAGGGCTGACAGGGCAGCTCATGGAAAAAATCCCTTAGTGAGCCCCGGTGCCCAGGATGCTTCTGAAGATGCGACCTCTGATGGGAATTTGGGGAGGGTCAAAAGCATCCAGCCTGTCTTCACATGGCTTTGGCCTTTATTATTATTTTATTTTTGGTGTGGGGTGCAGGGGAAGGAGCTGGGAAAATGGCCCTGAGGCCGACACCTGCACTGCAACTGCCCTTTCCTATTTGAGCGCGTGGCAAAAACCCACCAGTAGCCCTGACTGATCCAAGCAGTAGGTTTTCAGTGGGGAGGACAGAGCAGCAGCCCAACTCTCTCTTCCCCCAGGGCTGCACTCTATCCAATGAGGGTCTGCCCCTTCTGGGGGTTGCTTTTATCACTAGGTGTTTTAAGCTGAGGCACCGACATTTCTTGGGCTGAGCCGGCCCAGCAGACCTCCTCTCTTCACCCCATCCCAGCAGAGCTAAAGCCCCCCAGACCCCAGTGAAGACCATAACTTATCTTACAGTTCCCAGACCCAACCTCCCTACCTCCCACTTTACCATTTTTGCTCAGGGTTACACAGATGACTCACGGCGGTGTGCTCTGCACTCTTTCCTTAACGTGGAGCGGCTGTGGTGACCGTGCCGACGGAAACTTCTGTGACGAACTGAGGTTTGAGGTCTTTGATCTGCAAAGGGCACCCAGGCTGGTGAACCGCCTTCTTCCACCCTTGCTCTGCTTGCCTCTTGAAGGATGTGCTATTGCCACATCGGGTGTGTGTGTGTGTAGAAGGCAGAGATCCGGGACTTGGTTTCTCTCTATGCTACCAACTGCTGGGGATGGAAAAAGCTGAAACGGAATATGAATAGGTCCACCTATCAGCTGCACATATAACCCCCTCTGGAAAGAGTTTGTCCTGCTCAAGGCAAAGTCCAGCAGCTCCTGCTTTAAGAGATACTCACTGACAAACCCAACATCAGGCATACAAGACAGTTGAGCCAGAGTTGCAAGATGCTCAAGATCAGGCAGGGTGTAAAGCAGAGAGAGGAACCAAATGTGTCTCTGGCCTCCTTTGTATGAGAGGATGCATTCCAGCCGTGCTAAAAGCCTCCCTTCTCCACTCTCTAGCCAGGGAAGTCACAATCACAGCCCCAGCATAGGGGCTGGCAAGGGTGTTGCCTGGAGGGACACATTCAGCTGTGGGCCTGGGATGCTCCCTATTCCTCTTCTAGATTAATGGCACTTAGCTATATTTATTTTGTCTTGCCGAGTTCAGTGAAACTTGCTCTCCCTAGGTGGGAGCCCTACAATCCCTAGCCAACCTAGAAGCAGCAGGAAATGGGTGCTGTGGTTTGGATCCCTAGATTGCAAAAAAAAAAACAACAACAAAAAACCCAACCCAAACAGTTGTTGGCTATGGGTGGCAGTAGTGACACAATGCATCAGGGGATGTGAGCATCCTCCGACACGAGAGGGGTTTGGAATTGCTTCCGCCCTGGGTTACGCAAAATCACCCAGCCTCCTCGTTAACAAAGAGCGTTCTCAGCTGCTATTTCACCAGCTATTGACTTCAGGAATTTTGGGGCCACATAGGGGAATAGAGCCCTATTCCCCTCACAGAGCTAATATTCCCAGAGGACCCTGGGAAGAAGGATTGATAGTGAAAGCACTCTGAGACTCGTACCTCTGTGAGGGGAATGGCGTCTCCTAACAGCTCTCAACACCGTTCCCAAGTTTCTTTGGGAAGCCATGGCTATTTAACATGGTATGATATTGCTTTACATGTGCTGATGGGGCCTAGTCCCATCCTAGGACTGCTTTTAAATTTAAGATAGAATTTAAGGTTTTAACTCTGCTCTATTTTTAACGTGTGTTTTTTTAATTAAATATTTATTGGTTTACAGGAAAAAAAAAAAGGATTTTGGGGGCAGCTGGGGAGGGCAGAAGATTTGCCAAATTCTGGGGGGGAAATAATGATGTGTGGCATCCCGAAAGCTCTTCCAATCGGGGTTAGTTATTTGTTCATCAAGGACTGGGACTTGTAGAGTTCCCAGAAAACAGCTCACTTTACATTAGGCTGACCAAAAGGTGGCACAATCTGCTAAAGTATGAAGCCCTGAGGCTTCGCTTGAAGTGCTTTCAAGGGCATTTCGGAGAGCCTCTGTTTATCCAAGTGCCTTTAAATCCACCACTGCAACTGATTGCTCACTGTAAGCTCCTTGTGGCCGGGATCTGTTACCTTGTGCTCTGTAAAGCAGCCTTCCCTCATCCACTGGGGCTGATACTTCAGAGTTGCATCCCCAAACATTTGGAGGTTGTTGTAAGGCCCCAAATACATGAATGGTGGCACTGCATAGGCAAGGCATCATGTGTGCTGGTGAGGGTGCATGGAAAGGGGGAATCCAGTTTCTCCCTCAAGATAATTTCACAGGATTATATTTTTTTCACAGGATATTTTTTTAAAGTGATATATATTTTTTTAACAAAAGCTTTGATAAACAGTGTTATATATAATATGTGGGGACGACAACATTTTGATATACCTCTGATACAAGCTCTATCTGTTACTTGCTACTGTCAGGCTACGTAGAGATATGTATTTTGTAATAAATTAATGCTTTAAACAACTTTCCCCTGTGCTTTTGTTCTTCTTGAAAAGATGAGGTGTGAAAGAGAACCTTCATGGTCTAAGGGGCCCATTAAGCTGAGAGGAAGCTTAAGGGGAGAGAAGAGATGATGAAAATGTTATTTTGAATGTGTCTGAATACATCGCTTGTTGGCAAAAAACCAAACTTGGTCTCGGCACACTTCCCTCATCCCCGTAAAGCCCTAGCAAAGCATTCTGCAAAACTCATTTGGGAGTTGTCACAGAGTTCTAGAGGTTCCCCTGTTCTTTAACGGAGGAAACACCGGAAAATACAGCTTACCTAGGAAAGAAGCAATTGGGAGCAGGGCCTTCAAACCTGTAGGATTTTCCCTGTGGAGCCTTCTCAAATCCCGGAAGATGTGGTCCAGGTGAACGGGTTTGCACCCTTCAGGTGGGAAAAGTTTACGTAAGCCGCCCGAAAGTGCGCAAGAACCAGCTTTCGAGCAAGGGCTCATTTCCTGAACACACACCACTCCCGCCCCCACAGAAAATGCACAAAATAGTCACAAGGAAGCTTTTTTCTTCAGCAAGACTCTTGCTGGCAGAACTGCTGAGCAGCACCAGCCACCCTGGGCGCAGATCCTGCTCACGGTACTAGTACATTAAAACACACATACACATAGGATTATTATATATATTTAAGATTAAGCCTAGCACATTTAGCACCAATTTCAAACTGCACTCCTTGCAGTGCAAGATCCAGTCCTGGCAATAAGTAGGGGGTGGGGGTGGGGGTCTGCGGAAGACCTTTTCCAAATCTACTTCAAAAGCATTTCGTGCTCTTGCTCCTTGCCCGTTTATATTGCACACCGTGTCCAATGCTGCAGAAATGCAAAGGGCCCGAGAAGGTAATATATTCTCTCTCTTATCAAAGAGCCTCATTTTAGGATCCTCTGGAAATGCCTGATCTCCTCAAAAGCCTAGTGGGGTCACTCAGAACCCACTTGTCATGCAGTACAAGGAGAAAAAAGCTGGTGGGGTGAAGCTGAGCTCCCGAAATATGCGGTGATGACCAGTCACCAACTTGGATGGCTTTAAAATAGGATAAGACAAGCTCATGGAGGAGGAAGCAACCTCGATGCCCCTGAATACCAGTGGCAGGTTTAAAATGAATGTTGTACTAGCTCCCTAGACAAGGCATCTAGTTGGCTCCTATGAAGACACGATTTTGGACTAGATGGGTCTGATCCAGGGCTCTTCGTTTATCCTTTCAAGCCTCTCGGAGGACGTTTCCAGTCTCGCACCCGTCCAATCGCTGCTGCCCCATTTTTCGCTGCAGCAAAACTGTACCCTCTCAGCAAAAGAGCGTCTTCCCACAAAGGAGTCCAAGGGCAGGGCCTTGCCCTTCTGCAAAGCATCCGCTATTCTACCTCTTGACACCCGGCAGACCTTGCCTGGCAAAGCCATCTTCTTCCCAACCAGGGCAAAAAGGTCACACGAGTGAGTCAAGATGGCTTGCAGAAGAGGCTAAAATGTTTTGGTCCCGGAGAAAAGAGACGGCAGCCTTCTGGGACCGCCGCGTTTAGCTACGAGGATGCAGCAGTTGTGCAGACATCAACGTTCTTTGCAAAGGGTGGGGGGAAATGGCAGCCTTTTGCATCGTTGGCCTCAGACTTGTTACAGCAAACCCTGGCCCCCTCAGAGCAACTGCAGGTATGGGCAGAGGTGGCAAAGAGGCCAGAGGGATGAGGGATGAGTCCCTGCTGTGGTGAGGGCTGGGCGGAGCAGCCGCTCTGTTGGGAGCGGATGCGTCACTGTTGCTTGCAGCCTTCCTTCTTGTCCCTGGGTTTCTGCCGGCCTACCTTCTCTGGCTGTCGTTTTGTCGGGGACACAAAGGCCGGTTCGCCGAGCTCGTCTGGGTAGTCGAAGAAGCCGCCCACAGGGACTGAGTGTCCTCCTGGGGCAGCAGCAGCTAAAGTGGTTGGACGGAGGAGAAGAGAGAGAGAGATCTGTCTGTAAAGGCATCACCAGCAGCAGCCATCCCCACATCCCAAATGAGCCAGCTGCTTTGGACTACAATGCCCATCAGCCTCAGCTAGCACGGCCAGTGCTCAGGGATGATGGGATTTGTAGTCTAGTAACATGTGGAGGGCAGCAGACTGGAGGAGGGTGCTCACATGTCTGTTCCCTGCTGTGCTGATGAGGCAGTTGTGCTATACCCAAGACAGCCGTAGGAAAAGAGGCTTCCTCCCTTTGCAGCACAGGGAGAAGGGATCTGCTGCGGCTGGAACCCATGACCCAGAGACTAAGGGTCTCCTGCTCTACCAGCTGAGATAAGGGGGAAGATAGGACGAGAACCCTCCCCAAGGCAACCAGGCACACGGACATGGTGGTGCTGGGGTGCCAAGCACCCAGTGGAGCAGGCCTCTTGCACAGGAAGTGCTCGCATCTCGTTGCAAAGCCTTTTGGCAATTATCACCACTGATAATCTTGGGAGCATTCATGGGAGCCAAAGAGGGTTTTTTGGAGGGGGCAAGTGTTGACTTGGGGACGATAAACAGAATGATAGGAATCAGCAGCAACTTCCACCATCCGGGTGCAGTCGGGGAGGGATGGGAACAGGGGAAGCTGCTGCCTTAGACACTAATTCAGGCAGCTCAGTGCCACCTACTCTGGTTGGCAGCAGCGGCTCACCAGGGTTTCAGCAATGAGTTTTCCCCTGCTCTACTTGGGCCTTGGGGCTACCCTTCCCCATCAGCTGCAGCTAGGACAGCTCAGTTGGTAGATCATGAGACTCTTCATCTCAGGGTCATGGGTTCGAGCCCCTCATTAGGCAAAAGATTCCTGCGTTGCAGGGAGTTGGACTAGATGACCCTCGGGGTCCCTACCAACTCTCAGATTCTGACTGGCCTGCAAAGACAGAGCTATTCCGCCTGGCCTTTAATTTGAATTCAGCCTGATCTTTTATTTCCCTTCTCTTCCTTCCCCCTCCCCTTTTATGAAGATCACCCGCTCTGAGACCCCACAGCTAATTTTCCCCTGGCCTCCTCGCTGGCCCAAGTAGGACTAATTCAGCCAGCTAGCCCTGGGGGTTATCTAATTGATTTTTTATTTTTATTGTTATTCATGTTTTTATATTGTATTTTATGCTGCTTTTATATTTAAGTGTTTTAAAGTGTTTTAAATTTGTTGTTAGCTGCCCTGAACCCTGTTTTTGAAGGGCAGGGTATAAATAAAAAAAGTATTATTATATTATTATTATTATAAATGGCCCCAGCCTTTCGTTGCGGAGAGTAAATGGGGCTGAGAAGACCATTCTAGACATAGAATGGAAGGACAAGTATTAAATGTTATTCTTTAGCGTTTGCCCTTTATGGAGCACCTGAACGTGGAATTGGATCTCACTGCCGGATCTGGACCGATCAGAACTGTGGCTGGTTTGTTTATGAAAAAGGATATCTTTAGCATCCTTCATTAACACAAGGCAGATCAGAGAACGAACGTAACATAACTGAACGCGCACCCCGACTACACTACCATAAGTGCTTCAAAACGAACATAGAGGACAGAGAGAGGCCGCTGGGGAGGGCAGGAGGGGCTGCCACGCTGTCGCCCACATAAAAGATGGTGGCCAAGCAAATGTTCGAAGCCTTCACTTGGGGTTGAAAGAACAAGCACGCCAACCCCTGCTGCCCCCTGGTGGCCACTCTTGTGCGTAAAGGTAAAGGTAAAGGGACCCCTGACCATTAGGTCCAGCCGTGGCCGACTCTGGGGTTGCAGCGCTCATCTTGCTTTATTGGCCGAGGGAGCCGGCGTACAGCTCCTGAGTCATGTGGCCAGCATTACTAAGCCGCTTCTGGTGAACCAGAGCAGCGCACGGAAACGCCGTTTACCTTCCCACCGGAGCGGTACCTATTCATCCACTTGCACTTTGATGTGCTTTCGAACTGCTAGGTTGGCAGGAGCAGGGACCGAGCAACGGGAGCTTACCCCATCATGGGGATTCGAACCGCCGACCTTCTGATTGGCAAGTCCCAGGCTCTGTGGTTTAACCCACAGCGCCACTCGCGTCCCACTCGTGTGTACCTGAGGTCAAAGGGACACCGCCCTCCCCAGTCAGCACCTGGGAAACGGCTTGCAATCCCAGAAGAACCAGTTGCATTACCCACCTCTGGAGCAAAGGGAAACCATTCCAGCAGGGGCCTCCGTCCTCTGGGCCCTGAAGGTTGGGTCCAGGTCCTCTGCGATATTCCGGCACAGCTGCGGCCTGAGGGACAACCTGCAAGGAAGGACAGGACACTCGCAAGTTCGTTTCCCCTCCAGTTGCCCTGGCAGCTCTTTGCGTTCCCTCCCACCCTGCCCCCCACCTCTCCGGAAATTTGGTTTCTAACGAAGATAATAAATGGGTCTCAGAAGTGAACTTTAAAAAAAGAGAGAGAGGGAAACAGCAGAATTTAATAACCATTTGAATAATTAAATTCATAAGGGATCTTTGCAAAGTTACCATCTGAGCAGCACTGACCTGATGTCCGGCTGGCCTCCATGGGTGGGCACCTCTGAGCTGTCCGAGGAGCAGAGACCGGTTGGCGATGCGGCTCCACAGCTCTCTTGCGCCTCCTTCTGGCAAGAAAGCAACACGGCGCCACGTAAGACAGACCCTGCCTGCCAAGGGACGAGCTGCTCTCTTTCGGAGCTGGGTGTGAACTCCGGAGGTCTGCGCAGCCACCGCAGGGATGCTGGTGCCATGCTCACGCCCCACGGTGCTTATTTCCCAACCCTCCGCACAGTCCACAAATAAGCTTTGCTCAGAGTAAGCCAAGCCGAGGAAAAGAAGAGGTCACGGGCTCAGGGGCAAATGGCAATTTTCGTTTCGGAAAATTCCAACGGCCAGCCGAAACGTCGCCAGACAGCAAGCCTGCTTTCGAGTCCAGGTGGGGTGTTAAGCAAAGTGGAGCGTAAGCAAGAAAAAAGAAACTGGCTTGGCATCAAAGTCACTGTGCCCACGCTGGTCAAAAGTTTGGTTTTGCTGTACAGTGGTATCTCGGGTTACATACGCTTCAGGTTACAGACTCCACTAATCCAGAAATATTACCTCAGGTTAAGAACTTTGCTTCAGGATGAGAACAGAAATTGTGCTCCAGCGGTGTGGTGGCAGCAGGAGGCCCCATTAGCTAAAGTGGTGCTTCGGGTTAAGAACAGTTTCAGGTTAAGAACAGACCTCCAGAACGAATTAAGTTCTTAACCCGAGGTACCACTGTATTGTCATAGGGCAGTCCCCAAACTAAGGTCAGCGGGCCAGATAAGGCCCAAGGGACGCGTTTATCCGGCCCGCAGCAACGCCTGCTGCTGCCACCTGCTCTTATCGGCGCTGCGCGGCTGCCCACTTCTGGGTCAAAGGAGCACCGGAAATAGCTTGTGTGCATGCGTTATTTCTGGTGCACATCCGGGTCGGAGGAGGCCCGTGCACATGCGCACAAGCTATTTCCGTTGCTCCTCTGACCCGGAAGTGCGCTGGAAATAGCGTGTGCGCACGCGTATGGGCACGCACTCCCTTACCCTCTGGCCCGCCGTACGATCAGTGCTGGAGACACTGGCCCGAGGCGCAGTAAGTTTGCTGACCCCTGGCATAGAACCTGTCGTTAGGAGCACCCTCACGTCAAGATTTGCTATGCATGTCAGCTCCAAGCTGCTGGGTCCATGCAGAGGCGACTTTTGCCACACACCCACCCCAGCTGGGTCACTTACCTCTTGGCTGGGGCTGCTGCTGGGGGCTGCCTCCTCCATGGTGGTGCCCTTGCCCCTTGCCCCTGTCATGGCCTTGTTCCTTCTGGGGGATCTCCATTGAGCTTTTAGTTCCTGGTCCTGCATGTAGCGGGCAATCTCCTGGGAGGAGCATAGGGGAGGGAGAAAGACCTTTTTAAAGAAAGGCAAGTCAATATCTCTCATTGAAGGTATTTCTGTCTCGGAGCCCAGTGACGTTGGCCTTGTGAGGCTTTCCAAATGGCGTCCCCCACCCACCCACCTGTGTTCCACCTGCACAAGCCCTTTGGTTGCTTAGCTCCAGGATGCACCCTAACAAACTGGCCTTGGACGGTTTCTGCTCCAGATGAGAGGATTCGAAGTCTTTCAGGGTCCACAGAGGAGAGTTGAGGCATTTGTAGCTCAACAGCCCACACTCCAGGTCCAAAAGCACCTACCACACTCCAGTCTTTCCTGGCTCAGTGTGAGAGCCAGTGTGGTGTAGTGGTTAAGAGCGGTAGTCTCCTAATCTGGTGAACTGGGTTCGATTCCCCGCTCCTCCACATGCAGCTGCTGGGTGACCTTGGGCCAGTCACACTTCTTTGAAGTCTCTCAGCCCCACTCACCTCACAGAGTGTTTGTTGTGGGGGAGGAAGGGAAAGGAGAATGTTAGCCGCTTTGAGACTCCTGAAGGGGAGTGAAACGCGGGATATCAAATCCAAACTCTTCTTCTCTTCTTCTTCTTCTTCTCAACCAAAAAGGCCCAGACAAACAGGGAGGTCTTGGGGCTCTTCTGAACAGGCGCAGAGCTGTGAGGGGGCCGAAGGGAGCCCCCCACCCACAAAGCAGGCGTCTTCAGGCAAAAGGACCCACAAAAGGACTCAAGGAAGGAGGGAGGGAAGAGGTCAGTGGAGTAGGGCCTGAGCAGCTTACAAGGCTCTGGGGGGGAGGACAAACTGGCTCTTGGGACACTGCTTCACACTCAGAGGAGGGTGGGGCAGTGGGCAAGGAGCCCCCCAGCAGCAAACCCTCGCTCTGGTGCCCATGGTGAGCACAGCTGGCTTGGCAGCGCTGTGGCCTCAACTGCGAGCCAGCCAGTCATGGTCCAGCTTGAAGGAGGGAGCCTGGCTGTTTATGGAGGGAGGCGAGAGAGCTGCTTTCATCCTTGGATGCTGTTGGAGCTGGGCTGGGCCGTCACGCCAGAGCTGCTTTGATGCCACCCTCTCCACCAGTGGGCAAGCCCACAGCTGCGACCCCCCCACAAACCCCAAAGCCCTGCTGAGCCAAGCCAAGCGAACAGACCAGCGATCAGCTCCTTACCTCATCCTGAGCCACCTGGGCTGCCCTGTAGTCATTGTGGCGTTCCCGGTTCTTCCTGGCTTTCTGCATGAGAGTGAAAAAGCTAATAAAACAAGGCGGTACAGAGAAGATGGAAGAGGAGGAGCTCTGTCCACACCACAAATCCTTTTCTCTCTCTTTCTTTCTTTCTTTCTTTCTTTCTCTTTCTTTCTTTCTTTCACAAGGCATTTCCAATACAGAGGATGAGCCCTGCTCTCCCAAGGCAGGAGCTGCAAACTTGATTCTCACCCCGGGAAGGCAAAATAACACCTGCTCCTTTTCTGAGGCGCCCTTGTAATTCTGATTCATGCTGGAATATACAGGGATATATAAACGCTACCTCAGGCCATTTGCTGGGCAGCTGCTGCCAGCCAGGATTCAGTGGTGCCTTGCTCAGTACAAAGCATCTTCCCAGGCAGTGCGGTTGCCTTTTGTACAGCTTCCTTTATCTATTATTATCAATTATTATTATTTATTGAATTTATATGCCACCTATACCCGGAGGTCTCAGGGCGGTTCACATAAAAAGACCACAGTATATAAAATAAAAACAATAACTCAATAATACCTCCCCCCCAAAAAGAGCCACATTTTAAAAGGACATGGGATGTTGATCAGATCATCCAAAGACCTGGTTAAAAAGGAATGTTTTTGCCTGGCACCTAAAAGTGTGTAACGAAGGCACCAGGCGAACTTTCCTGGGGAGAGCAGTCCACAGATGGGGAGCCACTGCAGACATGGCCCGTTCTCATGTTGCCACCCTCCAGACCTCTCAAGGAGGCAGCACATGAAGGAGCGTCTCAGAAAATGATCTCAGGGTCTGGGTAGGTTCATACGGGAAGACGCGGTCCTTGAGGTATTGAGGTCCTGAGCCGTTTAAGGCTTTATAGGTCAAAACCAGCACTTTTGAATTGGGCCCGGAAACTAATCAGTAGCCAGTGCAGTCGGACCAGGATCGGTGTAATATGCTCAGACCGTCTTTGCTCCGGTCTATACGCACACAAACACACACTTTGGCACTGGTGTTTCGGGGGCCCATGGGGCCCACCTTATCCTCTGCACTCTTTAACAACATCCCTCTAGTGGTGCAGCAATAAAACCGCTAGCACATTTGGAAAGCTAAGCAGGGTCCGGTATGGTTTCAAATTGGATGGGGGACCACATGCCGAGATTTCTGCATTGCAGATGGTTGGACTAGATGGCTCTCGGGGGTCCCTTCCGACTCTACAGTTCTGTGAGTCTATTAGAACTGGAGAGGGCGGTCAGCTGGGGATCTGGAATGCTGAAGACACTCGGCTCTCCCTCCCTTGTCACCAGAGCCCACTGCAGGGGTGCTGGATGAGGGCCAAGTGACTGAAATTGAATCCTGACAAGAGGAAGCCACTGTGAGCAGAAAGTTCTCAAGTGCAGGAAACTGGTACTTCTCCCGCTGTGGAGAGCACTGCCCTGAAAGATTCGGGATTTCAACCATTTCATGCCATTTGGCTTCCAAGGACCTTCCCCCAATGCTCCTGGGGCCAACACGTCCCAGCATGAGATTTACAACCTTCAAGGTACCAGGCAGTTGTCACAACCCCCCCCCCCAGATGTGAAACCTTAAAACCTTCACATGCTGTCTTTATTTGACAGGCCCAGTTTGTAACAGGCAAGAAAGTGCTGCCCCCCAAACCTTAGTTCCTGGCCCAGAGAGGAGGAGGAGGACAAAATAGGCACTCACCAGGCGAGCCACTTCCTCAGCTTGCAGCTCCCGGGCTAGTTCTTCATCTTGCTGGAGCTGCTGCTGGTTCTGGAGTTCAAGTTCTGCCATCACCCAGTTTAGGGGCCCAAGGGAGTCATCTGAAGACAGACAGAGAGAGAGACAGACAGGAAGACAAATGTGAAAAGTGGAGTTGTGGGGAAGGACGACGAAGGAGCAGTTCTGCATGTGCTGCTGGTTAAGCAAGCTGAGAGCTCATTGCAGGAGGTTGTCCCTCTGCTGGCAGCTGAAGGCCAAGGGGAGAAACAGGACCACCCAGCTGATGCTGGCCTGGTCCCCTTCTGAAAGTCCATTAATAATAATACAGTGGTGCCTCGCAAGACGAAATTAATCCATTCCGCGAGTCTCTTCGTCTTGCGGTTTTTTCGTCCTGCGAAGCACGGCTATTAGCGGCTTAGCAGCTATTAGCGGCTTAGTGGCTATTAACGGCTTAGCGGCTTTAAGAAAAAGGAAACAAACTCGCAAGAACTCGCAAGACGTTTCGTCTTGCGAAGCAAGCCCATAGGAAAATTCGTCTTGCGGAACAACTCAAAAACCGGAAAACTCTTTCGTCTAGCGAGTTTTTCGTCTTGCGAGGCATTCGTCTTGCGGGGCACCACTGTAATAATAATAATAATTTATTATTTATACCCTGCCCATCTGGCTGGGCTTCTCCAGGCACTCTGGGCAGCTTCCAACAAAACATTAAAATACCTTAATACATCAAACATTAAAAGCTTCCCTAAACAGGGCTGCCTTCAGATGTCATCTAAAAGTCTGGTAGTTGTTGTTCTCTTTGACATCTGGTGGGAGGGCGTTCCACAGGGAGGGTGCCACTACCGAGAAGGCCCTCTGCCTGGTTCCCTGTAATTTGGCTTCTCGCAGTGAGGGAACCGCCAGAAGGCCCTCTGTGTCCGGGTAGAATGATGGGGGTGGAGACGCTCCTTCAGATATACTTCCAGCGCTTTCGTGCTTGGAAATCTGCCACGTGAAAACGGTGCCAAGATTTCCCAGTCGCAGGGTGGTGTAACGCCAAAGCCTCGGATCCAGAGACATCCCCGAGAGCCGGGCGCTAACTCTGCACCAGCCTTTCCCAACCAGCTGCCTTAAGGATGCTGGTGGGACTACAACTCCCATCAGCACCAGCGATGGCCAGGCAACGGGGGCACCCAAAGTAGGTGCCGTCTTTGGTGCCATGCGTGTTGGGATGCCCTCACGAGACTTGTGCCACCTGCGCTCCAGCTGAGGACGCAAGTTGCAGTCAGACAAAATTTGTGAGGCCTTGCGTGTCTGGTTTGCGGCCCCCAGAGAAGCCCCTCCTCTCTGGAGCAACCCTCACCCCTCCTCCAGCTCCAGATACCTTCTCCTCCTCCTCGCTGTGTCGCACTTGAGCTCCTGAGCCACAGCTGCTGCTTCTTCTGCAGGCTCTCCTCCTCCAAGTCCTGCAGCTGCTTGGCTATTTCCTGTGCGGAGGAGAGGAAAAAACCCACTGAGAGGGGATGGAAATGGAATTCCAGAGCCAGGCTTCACCCTGCCACTACTTCATGGTGCTTTCTGTCTCCCATTCAGCTGGCAGAGAACGAAGACAATGGAAACCTGGGATACTAATTGTGCCTCTGTGGCCTTATTTCCCACCCCACCCCCCTTGCAAAGGAGCTACTGGAAAGCAGCCTTAAAGTGCACTCCTCCCAATGGTTCTTGTGGAAGCAAGGCTTATTGATGGCTCCTGGTATTGACAGGGAACCTCACTCAATGAGATGACAGGAGTTGCTGCCAGCTCTGCACTGCAGGCGTCTCCTGCCCAAAGTGGGAATATTGTGCCTGCTTTTATATTCCGGAGAACATTTTTAAACCAGAGAGTGAAATGCTGTTCTGGACCTCCACTCAAGCCTTCATCTTTTTCAAAGTTCCTTAGGTTGTTTTCACGCCAACATTCAGCCAGCCACAAAAAAATGTAATTTTATATGTAAGAATTCTGATCGGCTGAAACCATGGAGCGGAGATGGCAATTTTATTTTTCGTTCTGTCCGCCTGATAAGGAAATTGGTTTAGAATAGGATATTCTACTGGGGAAGCTTTTGTTCCAGAGGAACTGTGGAAATGGGCAGAGGGCTTTTACTCCCTTGTGAGGGAGAAGGGGCTGAGGAAAGTCCAGATTTGGGACTGCTGTTCTTAGAAGGCAGTCAGAGCCTCTTCCAGGGATCTCTGTCACCTCAGGTGACCCCGCCAGCTTTGATCTCTTGCTTTTGTTCCATTAGCCAGACAAGCAGCAGCTCCACCAAACTGCTCTTTCCAGGCTAATCCTATTTGGAACCGAACAGCCTGTTCTACATATTAAAACGTCGCCATCAAAGCGGTTTGCGGCCAAGCTGCCCTTGGCCACTAATGGCAGGGAGCAGGAAGAGGTTTTTGCAAAGGTGAAACTCTCATTTAAGTGGGTTTCCGCAATGCTCCACAGTGAACAGCCGGCTTCCCACTGACCAGCGAGTGGAGGAACAAGGAGGTGCAAGAACCCAGCCCAAGTCAGCCAACGAACGCACCCTGGAAACATCCATAAGATAGCAGCCATTGGTTCATCTGCCTCCAGATAAATCTCTCTTTCCAGTCCTGCCCTGGAGGAAACATTTACACTGTACTACGGTGTTTCTGTGCGCTGCTCTGGTTCGCCAGAAGCGGCTTAGTCATGCTGGCCACATGACCCGGAAAAACTGTACGCTGGCTCCCTTGGCCAGTAAAGCGAGATAAGGGCCGGAACCCCAGAGTCGTTCACGACTAGGCCTAATGGTCAGGGGTCCCTTTACCTTTACCTTTTACCCCCTGAAAACATTCTGATTTGTTTGCAATGAGGCTATGCAACTTGATGTCAGTCCATCATTACTTCCCCCCCCCCACTTAACTTTGGCGGAGGGTGAGCGGACCCAGAGTCAAATTACTGCAGGGTGTGCTAGAGCCAACTAAAAATAATCTGCCTTTTGGAAGGACCTGCTAGGCAGCCCACCCTGTCCTGTTCCTGCCGAGAGGGGGCCAAAGGAAGCGAGGGAGCCTGCCACCTGGCTCCAGGTGTTCCTGTTACCTGGTCCTTCTCCTTCCTCTGGCAACTCTCCTCCGCCTCCCTCCGAATGTCCTCCTGGATGGCACGAGCGATTTCAGAGTCCCGATCTTCTCTGCGTGTGATGCAGGCAGGAGAGGGGGAAGGAAGAGGCAATTAGTGAAGCAGGAAGCCTCTGTCCCCGTTGTGTCTGGGCCTTGCTAATCACCAGATGCACGAGAGAGGGACAGAGCAGGAACTTCAGAGGGCCTCCTGTCTGACATTAATCTGACCTCAAGAGCACAGGAACCTTACAAAGGCACCTGGGGAGCTACAGAGAGAAGTCATCTATTGCCTCTAGCATACACATCTGCACCCGGTGCACACTTTAGACATCAAGATGTTTAGCATGCTCTGTCTGCTTGCACTGCAGGTGCAAAGCTCGCCACAAGCAAGGTCAGACACAAGCTCTGTGGTCTTGTAAGGCTTGCCTCCCCGCAAAAGAGGCAAGCAATAGAGCCCCAAATTCTTCTGCAGCTCAGATTAAAACTGGAGTTGCACAGGGGGGAAAACAAACCTCAGTTTATGTCCCTTTCAGCCTCAAAGAACAGCTTGATCTAATCTGGGCAGGGATAGCCCAACTTCTGCCGTCTATGCTCTGGTAACCTCTAGGTTAGATTTCTGCAACACATCATACGCGGGGCTGCCTCTGAAGATGGTTTGGACACTTCAGCCAGTGCATAATTCAGCAGTCAGTTTGCTCACTCCAGAGCAAAACAGTCAGAGCATATAACGCCAACTCTGGCTCAACTGCACTGCTTGCCAATCCAATTCCAGGCACAATTCAACATGCTGGTTTTGACCTATAAAGCCTTAAACAGCTCAGGACTGCAATTCCTCAAGGACCACCTCTCCCACCTCTGGGACTCAGACCCAGAGATCATAATCTGAGACGCTTTTTCTTGTGCCCCTCTCTGAGTGGTCTGGAGGTGCCAACATGTGAGCAGGCCTTTTCCGTGGTGGCTCCCCGCTTGTGGAATGCTCTCCCCAGGGAGGCTTGCCTGACACCTTCATTACATACCGTTAGGTGCCAGGCAAAAACATTTCTTTTCTCCCAGGCCATTGGCTAATTAAACAACCTATGGCCTTTTAAACTTGGGAGGGCATTGTTTTTATTTGTCACCATGTTGTGTATTTTTGTGTTTTTATATTGTAAACCGCTCTGTGACCCTGGGGTGTAGGGCTGTATAGAAATTTAAGAAGCAAATAAAATGAATAAAAAGAGGCTTGGAAAAGAGTCCTTTCAGAATTAGTCTGCCCCACTTTCCCCACATCCAATCCATGCTCATCCACAAATGTGGGTCTCCAGCTGTTTTTGGACTACAACTCCCATCATCCCTAGCTAGCAGGACCAGTGGGAACTGTAGTTTGAAAACAGCTGCAGACCTAAGCTCGGGAAACACTGGAAGATGCAGCCGCAGCAGAACCAAGACTAGGCCTTGTCCATCCCACTGGGATGCCTTGCCATAAGCATCGCCATAACTCTATCTCCTACCCAAAGCAAGAGACACCGCCTCCCTGCAATAAAGTTGGGACTCCAAAGCAAACCTACAGTTCCTTCTGCTGCTCAGAGAGCTGGTGTTTCCTCCTGGCTTCCTCCTCCAGGTCCTGAAGTTTCTTGGCAATTCGGATGTCCTTCTGGACCAGCTGGTTCTTCTGAATGTTGGAAGTGTAATGCTGCTCAACTGCGAAGAGATGGAAACTTCACTGCGTGGGCTGGAATGGAGAGGCCTCTTTCGTCCTCCTCTCTCCTCCCTTCCCCACCTTCAAGGGCATCTCCAGGTAGGGCTGGGAAGAAAGACTTCCTTGTCTAGAACACTGGAGAGCTGCTGCCGGTCCATCTAGGCTGGATTTTGAGAGAGTGCTGGGGGCGGCAGTCGCAAAATGGCTGCCACGGAGGAGCCATGGCCTAACGCAAAGAAGCTGCTGCAGGGCATGTGTGATCCTGCTTCAAGCGACACACTTTCGGGGGGCAACACTCCTTGGGCCGCCTCTCCAGGCACTGGGCAGATGGGGGAAAGGAAGACTGGCAAGATGGAGCAATAGGACTCTGAGGTAGCAGCCCAAACAGGTGGCGTGATGCCAAGCTGCTCATCTGACTGGATCTCTTCCAGATCCTGTCTGCTGGGCATTATCTGTTCACACTTTCTTGCCCTCTCAAGGGTGCTTGGTGAGGAGAGACGGAGAAGGAAGGCTCTTTCCTCTTCAGCCTGCCACCCTAACTCACCACCCCTGGGTGCCATAGACAAGAGCTGCTTGGCTGGCCAGCCAGCTGCTCCCACCACCCCTGGCAGCCCTGATCTTAGCTGCCATCCATCAGCTCCATTGACAGGGTGTGGGTGGCAAAGGGGGCGGCACCGGGGGAGGCGGGAGAAGTGTCCTCTGCCTGGACCGTGTGCGTCACTGCAGCGGGGAATGACGTCGCGGAATGATTCATGGGTATCCGCTGTGGCAGCCAAGACAGGCTGGGGTGCGCAAGGCGGCCCATCTGGGTTGCAGGAGGAACTGTCCCCTTCCAAAGGAGTCAACCTTGAGAGCGTCCCTGGGGAGAGCGGTGCCTGTCAAGCCTGTTCCTCGTTAAAATCTGCAAGGTTGATTCACTGAAGCACTAGGCTCCATTTAATTAACTAAAAAAAAAAAGGCCGTAAAAACTCTGGCTCCAACAGGCACCCCGTACTAGAAAAACTAAATGCGTTCCAAAGGATGCCTTGAGCATGAAGGACGGACCTATTTCCAGGGATCATCTGAAGGCCTCTAAGTGGGTGGGGTCTATGCGGGGGTTTTTTTGGGAGGGGGTGTTAATGCTAAAGGCAGAGGGCCTTCTCAGTAGTGGCACCCTCCCTGTGGAACACCCTCCCTTCAGATGTCAAGGAGATAAAGATCTACAAAACTTTCAGAAGACACCTGAAGGCAGCCCTGTATCAGGGAGGTTTTAATGCTTGATATTTTACTATGTTTTTATATATCCCGTAAGCTTAAAGATGCTTCAAGTTAAATCTTTTCAGGTTGCATCCCCTGGCGACCCGGAAGTATTGGAAAGGGTTACTTCTGGGTTTCGCCACTCGTGCATGCGCAGACGCTCAAAATGATGTCACACGCATGCACAGAAGCGGCGAATCGCGACCCGCGCAGACGCAGGGTGCGTTCTGCTCAGGTTGCAAACAGGGGCTCCGGAACAGATCCCGTTCGCAACCAGAGGTACCACTGTATTATTATTATTAAATGCTGAAGCCAGGGGCCCAGCCAGACCAGGTAGAAAAAGACCCCAAGAAAATCCAAAACACTGGCCAGGGAAGGGAAGGCAAGGCTGGGCTTGCTCTGAGCCTTTGCCCCGACGAAGAGGAGAGGGAATAGTTCCATCAGCTCTTACTCTCTTGCTCTTGAAGGCTGTAAGCCAAAGCGCCATCTTCCAGGACAGCAAAATCTCGGCAAACTGCAGGGGAAAAGAGAAAACACAATTAAACAACAGCAGAGCCCTGTTCTGCCAATATTTTCGTTTATCTGCAAGTTTTCTTACCCATCCATCACACCACAAAGTCGCAGGTTGAGTTCCAACCATTGCAGCTACGTAACAGGGAAAGCTTTTGCAATTATCAAACAGGGGCGAAGCCATTCAAAATGGAAACAGAGCAATGCAAATCCAGCAAAATAGGCCTGATTAAGGCGGTGCATCTCAGCAAATCTCAGCACCCAAGAAGGCCGGTAGAGGGACTTTCAAATGTTTGGGGCCTAAGTTGTTTAGAGCTCTAAACACAAATGTGAGCAGAACTCTTAACTGGGCCTGAAGACAAACCAACCACTGGGGTATCTGTTTTAAGATAGTTGTGACTAGCTCGCCAGCCAGCCAGTCCTCTGGCCACTGTGCTTTGGACCGAGGAAGCTCACAGCCATCCGAAACAGCATTTGGAGGAGGAATATTTTGTATAAAGATAAAGGTAAAGGTGCTGGAGGAGACTCTTGAGAGTCCCATGGACTGCAAGAAGATCAAACCTCTCCATTCTGAAGGAAATCAGCCCTGAGTGCTCACTGGAAGGACAGATCCTGAAGCTGAGGCTCCAATACTTTGGCCACCTCATAAGAAGAGAAGACTCCCTGGAAAAGACCCTGATGTTGGGAAAGATGGAGGGCACAAGGAGAAGGGGACGACAGAGGACGAGATGGTTGGGCAGTGTTCTCAAAGCTACCAGCATGAGTTTGACCAAACTGCAGGAGGCAGTGGAAGACAGGAGTGCCTGGCATGCTCTGGTCCGTGGGGTCACGAAGAGTCGGACACGACTAAACAACTAAACAACAACAAAGGTAAAGGTAAAGGGACCCCAGACCATTAGGTCCAGTCGTCGCTGACTCTGGGGTTGCGACGCTCATCTCGCTTTATTGGCCAAGGGAGCCGGTGTACAGCTTCCGGGTCATGTGGCCAGCATGACTAAGCCGCTTCTGGCGAACCAGAGCGGCGCACAGAATCGCCGTTTACCTTCCCACCAGAGTGGTACCTATTTATCTACTTGCACTTTGAAGTGCTTTCCAACTGCTAGGTTGGCAGGAGCTGGGACCGAGCAATGGGAGCTCACCCCGTCGTGGGGATTCAAACCACTGACCTTCTGATCGGCAAGTCCTAGGCTCTGTGGTTTAACCTGCAGCGCCACCCGCATCCCTCATGTTTTGTGTAGTTGCTGCCAAATACTTGTAACCCCACAGAGCATCAATGCTGCCTCCAGGACTTCCATTCTGCCTTCCTAACAGGAGGAGGAAGAGGTGGCAGCGGCAGCAGCACTGAGGTGACTGTGAGCTGCGCTCCCTTGGCAAAAAGGCAGCCAGCCTGCCCAAGGCAACAGGCGCCTCTTTGCAGGAGCCGTGCCAGAATCTGGGTGTGTCCAAAGTTGCACACCCAGTCCCTGCCCACCCAGCCATTCCGCAGCTACTTGGCTGACAAGTCAGCACAGCTTAACAAGGTGTTGAAAGATCTCTGTCTACACGCACCGTTTACGCAACACAAAAAGAAAAAGGGCGGGGAGCGAGCAGGGAGGGCCGCACCTCTCAGCCTAAACCGGGTGCCGTGGCAAATGCCAGCCGGGGAGAGTCTTTACGTTGTGACGCCCCCCCCCCCCAATAAGTCATTTAGGCCTCAACCACACTTCAACCAAAGGGCGGCAAATAAAGTTTGCCCATTGCAAGGGAAAACCTTTTCCAAGGTGACGACAAAGGACCGTGTCGGGCACGCCAGGCCTTCTTGCGCCTGGCAAAGCTCTCGTTTGCTCAAGAGTGCCAGTCAGCCTTGTCACAGAGCCCAGCTGCTTGCCAGTGGGGCAAGAGGGTCACATTTGTGCTGCGCAAAAACACAGCTTTTGCTTCCAAAAAAATGAGAAGTCAGACACACCCAGTCTAGGGAAGTCAGCCCCCACTCAGCATCTTTTTTCTGCGGAGCACCGGGGGGGGGGGGACAGAAAAAACAAAAACGAAACAACAAAACCATTCTTCAAGTTTATTGTCCTTGCATCATGATGAATAGGGTCCTTCTCCCCCAACTCCAGGAATCGCCACTTGAAGCCAGCAGCCACCAAGTGGCTCCAAGTGAGTAAGGAAGTCAAGGTCTCAAGTGGTACCATTTTGGGGAGAGGGGGCTGCCTGAAATCTGTACAGTGGTACCTCGGGTTACCAAAGCTTCAGGTTACAGACTCCGCTAACCCAGAAATAGTACCTCGGGTTAAGAACTTTGCTTCAGGATGAGAACAGAAATCGTGCAACAGTGGCACGGTGGCAGCGGAAGGCCCCATTAGCTAAAGTGGTAGAATCATAGAATCATAGAGTTGGAAGAGACCACAAGGGCCATCGAGTCCAACCCCCTGCCAAGCAGGAAACACCATCAGAGCACTCCTGACATATGGTTGTCAAGCCTCTGCTTAAAGACCTCCAAAGAAGGAGACCTCAGGTACCTCAGGTTAAGAAAAGTTTCAGGTTAAGAACGGACCTCCAGAACGAATTACCGTATTTTTTGCACCATAACACTCACTTTTTTCCTCCTAGAAAGTAAGGGGAAATGTCTGTGCGTGTTATGGAGGGAATGCCTACGGGTGGCGGGGGGGATCTGCTGCAGTCGTGAGCAGAGGATCCATGGTTCCCCTTCCTTCCCTCCTCCGTGGCTCGCTTTGAAACAGCAAAGCGGGAGAAGAGCCGCTGATTGGGGAGGAGAGAGGGACAGAGAGCCTGCTTCTTTAAAGGAGCAAAGCGGGAGAGGAGAGGAGCCACTTACACGAGTGTAAGCGGCTCCTGTCCGGTTGGTTCCTTTAAAGCAAGCAGGCTCTGTCCCTCTCTCCTCCCCACTCAGCTCGCTACATAGCAGCAAGGTTTTTCAGCTCGCTAAGCCAGGGATGAGCGGGGAGGAGGGAGAAAAGCAGAGCCTGCTTGCTTTAAAGAAGCAAAGTCGGAGAGGAGCCTTCTCCCCTTATATCCCTCTTCTTCATTATTAGCAGCATCCTTCTCCACACACCCCACACGTGCTTCTTCTCCCCTTAAACCCCTCGCCTGCATTATTAGCAGCATCCTTCTCCACACACCCCACGCGTGCTTCTTCTCCCTTGAGTGCTTTTCCTTCCCTCCCCACTTAAAACATGGTTACAAAGCACGGATCCACATGGATCCTCAGGATTTTTGCATTGGGCTACTCCAAACTCACTGTCAGATCACATGTCTGTGGCCACAGCATGAACCACAAAACTCATACATCCACTGTTTCGTTTAGAATATTTTTTTCTGGTTTTCCTCCTCTGAAAACTACGTGCGTGTTATGGTCAGGTGCGTGTTATAGAGCGAAAAATACGGTAAGTTCTTAACCCCAGGTACCACTGTATTCCTTTTTCCATACCACTGAAAGAACGGATTAGAATTGGAAGTCAACAACTAGAACAATGATCAATTAGAATTCAACAACAGGCTGGAATTGGAGTTGTGAGAGGAAATGCTCCTTCAAAGGCAGCCTGTGGAACTCATTGCCACTGGATGTTATTCTGGTTCCATTTAATGTGGACTTGCCTCTTCTGCAGAATGTCTGAGAAGTAAAAAAAAACCACCATGGAAAACAGAACTCTGGGTTAAAGGGGGGGCACTTTGGTGTGGATATTGTAAAAAAATAAGATTTGCCTGTGTGAGCAGCACTGACACCACAACCAGCTGCCCTGTGGAAGCGACCCAGGGGTGCCCGGAAGTTGCTGCTCTTTTAGCAGAGAGGCCCTGAAGAATCTCTTCCCAGAGGCAGCTGAATGGTCAAGCGGCCGCAGGTCAGTGGAAACCCCGCCGCTCTGAGCTTCGCTTCCCCGAGTGGCTCTCCACTCAGCCTCACGGCCTCATTTCCAGCTGGCATCGCTTTCCTCCTCCTTCCCAAATTACATTCATTTAATCCTTTCCCCGTCCCTCTCCGTATCGCATTACAAGGTGAATAAGGGACATGTCATGCATTATAATTACTGGCCCGGAATCAAATCTCGGTGGCGGAAAAAATGCGCCCCTCCCCAACACTGCAGCGCTGGGATGAGGGGGAAAGCAAGCTTCTCTCAGAGGCCTTAGCTACGTCCATCTCGGCAGGTGCTTTCTGAGGCCTTCACAATTGTCACCCTCACATAATTCTAGAGATCTTGGCAGGGCAAGGTGTAGCAGCTGCCTCTGGTCCAGTACACCTGAAGGGCACCAGGCTGGGGAAGACTACCTAAAATATATATATTTTAAGGGACTGGCATTAGATTTTGACACCCTCCCACAGCTTGAGCCACCTTTCCAAATACCACCTGGGGCCATCATTCTGCAGCCACTGGATCTGTGTACAGTGATACCTCTGGTTAAGAACTTAATTCGTTCTGGAGGTCCATTCTTAACCTGAAACTGTTCTTAACCTGAGGTACCACTTTAGCTAATGGAGCCTCCCGCTGCCGCCGCACCACCGGAACACGATTTCTGTTCTCATCCTGAAGCAAAGTTCTTAACCCAAGGTACTATTTCTGGGTTAGCGGAGTCTGTAATCTGAAGCGTCTGTAACCTGAAGCGTCTGTAACCCGAGGTACCACTGTACTGAACCCTGGCTAGCTCTCCATATTGTGGAAGTCCTCCTCTCCCAAGTGTCTAGACACTAGTGACTGCAGGAGAGAAGGCGCAGTGAAGTTTGAAGCAAATCTCCCAGTGCACTGAGCAAGCAGCCGCATGCCAGGGGCAGGATTTCACTCTCTCCTCCCTGTCTAATTAGAGGCAGGAGGAATGAAAGCAAGAAAGAGAAAGGAGGTGTCTGTCATGACCCTCTCCCTTCTGGACCTCTCCTTTTTTTTAAAAGGGGGCTCTGCCTCAAGGTATCATACAGTTGCCAGCCATCAATTGGAGACCATGGCAGACTCCAGAGGGCAAGTGGGTTTCCTGGGCCTTTGCTCCCACAGCAGAAGCAAGGAGATGGAAATTGGCACACATCTCTAAGCGGGTGAGCTTGTTGCTGTTTGGCACGCCACATACCTCAGTACCTGGCGGCATTTGGGGGCTTGCACCACACCTGCTCTGTTTGTTTGTTTTTAATTTTTATTAGAAATTTTATTTACAACATAACATAAACCTCCCACCCCCCCAATACAGAAATCCACCCTCATTAAACGTGAACATAACATACAATAAGCATAGCATACAACAATACAAACAACCAAATAAAAGACTTCCTTTCTCCTGTATCTGGCCTCCTTATTTACTTCTTATAAGCTGCTCTCTGTTTTGATGATTATTTTGTGCATTTCTCTTTTTTTGTAGAAGAGCAGCATATACATTATCCTTAAGAATGGAGCTTCCAAGTTCAGAGGCAGACTGCTGCCTGGGCTCTGCAAGTGGGCTTCCCAGAAGTCCCTGCCTTGCCATGATGGCGACTGGGCAAAGCTGTGGTTTTGCTCTTATAAATGCAACCGCAATACTCAAGGCCCACCTCTTCCCATATGAACCTACCCGGACCCTGAGATCATCTTCTGAGGCCCTCCTTCGTGTGCCGCCTCCTCGAGAGGTCCAGAGGGTGGCAACATGAGAATGGGCCTTCTCTGCAGTGGCTCCCCATTTGTGGAATGCTCTCCCCAGGGAAGTCCACCTGGTGCCTTCATTGTACACCTTTAGGCACCAGGCAAAAACGTTCCTTTTTAACCAGGCCTTTGGCTGACCTGATCAACATCCCATTAGGGACTGCTTACCAGCGGGAAGGTAAACGGCGTTCCGTGTGCTGCGCTGGCTCGCCAGATGCAGCTTGTCACGCTGGCCACGTGACCCGGAAGTGTCTGCGGACAGCGCTGGCTCCCGGCCTATAGAGTGAGATGAGCGCACAACCCTAGAGTCTGGCAAGACTGGCCCATACGGGCAGGGGTACCTTTACCTTTTTATTATTGGGTTATTGCTTTTATTTTTATTTTATACACTGTGGTCTTTTTATGTGAACCGCCCTGAGACCTCTGGGTATAGGAGGTATATAAATTCAATTCTTCATCATCATCATCATCATCACCACCATCATCATAATATAACAATAACAACCACCCACACCTTTCAAGGTTAAAAATTTCACGTATTTCAAGCTGCAGATCAGTAAAGTGGGATTATCACCCTCAGAGAACTTTCACTTTGTGTTTCCTAATACATACACACGCACACACACACCCCAAGGTGAACTCCTAGCTTCTTGCATGGCTTACCTTCCTGCACCGGAGGCAGGCGGGAGGTGTCAATCTGAACTTCCGTCATCTTCAGAGACCGGGCTGTGTTCTCATGGACTCCTGAAAAGGCAACCTGCAAGAAGAGAGGCTACGAGTTACTGGGATTGCCTAGTGATGATAACCTAAGTGGGTTTCAGAGATGCTGGAGGAGAAAGTCTTCCCACTGCATAAGCCCGGGTTATCTCTGCGGCTCTCTCAGGGAGGTTCGCCTGGCAAAGCCTGTCGGTGCTGAAAGGTGAGCACGCTCCTCCAAAAAACTCTCTCCCAGGGCCAACGTAAGAGGAAATGCTTCTGTGTAGAGTTCCCCAAGCCCAGGAACAAGAGATACCCCACAGGGTCCCCAAAGAACTCTTGTGCAAGGCTTTCACTGGTCCTTCTAGCAAGGGGTGATGGGGGTTTGTAGTCCAAAGACAGCTGGAGGCCCTGATTTAAGGAAGGTGAGAGAGAGACATTTTTATAATCTCTAGCTGCCTTCCAGTTGTCTTTCTAGACTACAATCCCCACTCTAAGCTGCAGGAGTTACAGTCCCAAACATCTGGAGGGCATTGAGAGAAAAGGCGGCGTGCAAACTCATGATCAACACAGGGCAAACATTCCACTTGATCACATCTAAACCCGGCCCTTCCTCCCAAAGGAGCCCAGTGCTGTCTCCCTGCACCTCCTGCTGCCAACATGGTGAGTGGCAAGATGGGTGACCCAGCAGAGGATGGCACAAAGGCATGGGGTGACTTCCAGTTGCTGCCAGCCTCCAACGGGCAGCTTGCCTTCCTCTCCACCAACACAGCCATTGCCCCACGTGTCTATTCCCCTTTCTAAACCTGCCGCCATCTTCTTGCAGAAGCTTTAGGTTAAAATTGCACACTGTGCGAACAGCGGCTCTCTTTTATCTCGCTCGGATCTGCCAGCTGGCAAGTTTCACTGGGTGACCTGAACTTCTAGTATTATGGTGGGTGGGTGGGGAAGTTGTCTCAACAGGAATAATGGTAGCTTTACCCTTACTCCTTTGGGGAGTTGCCTCCATAGTCCCAACATATTTTTGATTGCTCCGCCTTTTCCTACTCTATTTTTTGAAATGGGGGATGGGGAAAGAGAAGGGGAAAGAGATCCAAAAGCAGCTGCTGCACCAAAGATTTGCCTAAGAGCATTACGATACTGACAGTTTTATTTTCAGTCCCTTTCTTAATAATCCCCAGCATGGAATTAGCCTTTTCCGCAGCTGTCGCACAGTGTTTGCACTAAGCTATTCGCTACGACTGCACAGCACCCTCTGGGGAGAGTCACAACAAGCTCCGATTCCCTCAGTATAAAGGTCTGTATAGTTAAAGCCATGGTTTTCCCAGTAGTGATGTATGGAAGTGAGAGTTGGACCATCAAGAAGGCTGATCGCCGAAGAATTGATGCTTTTGAATTATGGTGCTGGAGGAGACTCTTGAGAGTCCCATGGACTGCAAGAAGATCAAACGTATCCATTCTTAAGGAAATCAGCCCTGAGTGCTCACTGGAAGGACAGATCCTGAAGCTGAGGCTCCAATACTTTGGCCACCTCATGAGAAGAGAAGACTCCCTGGAAAAGACCCTGATGTTGGGAAAGATGGAGGGCACAAGGAGAAGGGGACGACAGAGGATGAGATGGTTGGACAGTGTTCTCGAAGCTACAAACATGAGCCTGACCAAACTGCGGGAGGCAGTGGAAGACAGGAGTGCCTGGCGTGCTCTGGTCCATGGGGTCTCGAAGAGTCGGACACGACTAAACGACTAAACAACATTCGCTACGACTGCACAGCACCCTCTGGGGAGAGTCACAACAAGCTCCGATTCCCTCAGTATGCAGGCAGACAGACTCCACTTTTTACTTTCCTCCTTTGCAAGAAATACTTATTTACTCCACCCTCTGCTTACTGTTCTTTAATTAGTTACTAACTCCTAAAAAAAGGCCTATTGTCTTATCCATGACTGTTAAATGCATTTGATTTAATTTGCTTTCGGTGAAGTGTTTCTTTGTCAAAAGGTTTTTGAGTGTGCTTATTATTACATTTCTACCCCGTGTTTCCTCCAAGGAATGGTGAATGGCCCAAGCTTACCCAGTGAGCTTCATGGCTGAGAGGGGATTTGAACTCTAGTCTCCAAGTTCATAGCTCAACACTCTAACCACTAGGCTACGCTGGATGTCAGAAGATGTACACAACATCTTCTGGATTTCCCTTATCCACGTGCTCCTTGACTCTTCTTCACAAACTCTTAAAAGGTTGCTGAGGCAGAACTTCCCTTTATAGAAGCCTTGCTGATTCATTCTCAGCTAGACTTGTTCTTCTATGTGCATGATCAATTTTGTCTTTAATTATGCTTTCCACCAATTTACCTGAAATGGACATTACAATGTAATTTCCTGGATCCTCCCCCTGCCCCTGGATACACTATATATATATATATATATATATATATATATATATATACACACACACACACACACACGTGTTAAGTTGCCTTCCTTCCAGTTCTCTGCTAAGGGGGAAGATTTTAGCAAGAGGTGGAATATTTTGAGCAAGTTCATATCCAAGTTCTTTAGGCTGAAATCCTGCAAAAAAAATACATAGATCCAAGTCCCACTAAACTCACTAGGGCTTACTTCAACATACACATGAAGAGGATTGTGTTAAGAACACAATGATGAACACCATCAAGACTCCGAGATTTGCCAATTTGTCATTTGTCCCTAGAATAGCCCTAGACCATTTCTAGACATGTGTTGGCTTTTCAGCATAGCCGAACAGAGATTCTACTCTTGTTCCCCTTAATGGAAGAAGAGGAGCTGAACTTATGACCTAACACAGAAAAGTGAGGATGATATTTACTGCCAACAGACAACCCCAAAAACACTCCACACAAAATCAGAAGGTGGTTCAAAGCTTATATAAAACTTACCTGACTCGAGGTAGGTACATGGAAGGCGCACTCACAAGAGACCCCTGACCTCTCTCTAACTTTTAGCGCTGTGCCAACCTCCCCTTCATCGAGGCTTGTTCTGGTCGTGCAAAGTCTCTGCTCATTCCTAAATTTAAACAAATTCCCCAGTGGAGAGCTTGAAGACTGTGGATTCCTTCTGGAAATAGCAGCCAGAGAGGAATGCAACTTTTCCCAAGTAAGGGCATATGAATGTGCCCGGTTGATGTGTGGGGGTCTACTCTCTCTATGTGCCTCATATTTTTCCCCTGTAAGACTGCAAATGTGAAGCGCTTCCTCTCAGGGAGACAAAGGGTGGGTAGAGCTTCTCCTGCTCAATTTCTCTGTATCGTGGCTTCATCCAGACTTCCCTTTATTCTGCACTTGCTGCATTTTGAGTGCTAGGTTTCCCCTCTGCGTTCACAAAGCTCATCTCTGCCCAATGTTGGAAGAGTGAAAACACCCCTCCCCATCTTGTCAATGTCCCCCGGTGCACACACAAAACAGGTAACAAATCTGACAATAATGAAGCTGTGCAGATGTGAAACCCATGGTGTGTGTGTGTAGTAACATGAACACACCTGCAATTGCAGAGCTGCAACCCATTCCCAGCAGGCTCACTTCAGCCCCAACTTCTCCATCAATTAACCCAGCGCTCGGAAAGGTAAAGGGACCCCTGACCATTAGGTCCAGTCGTGACCGACTCTGGCGTTGCGGCGCTCATCTCGCTTTATTGGCCAAGGGAGCCGGCATACAGCTTCCGGGTCATGTGGCCAGCATGACCAAGCCGCTTCTGGCGAACCAGAGCAGCGCACGGAAACACCGTTTACCTTCCTGCCACAGCGGTACCTATTTATCTACTTGCACTTTGATGTGCTTTCGAACTGCTAGGTGGGCAGGAGCAGGGACCGAGCAACGGGAGCTCACCCCGTTGCAGGGGTTCGAACCGCCGACCTTCTGATCGGCAAGTCCTAGGCTCTGTGGTTTAACCCACAGCGCCACTCGTGTCCCTCCAGCGCTCGGAAAGTCTTTGCCAAATCCCCTATATCATAATCCCGTTTCCTCCGGACCCCCAGAACATGAGCAAGGCCCCTCATAGGAATCCAAAGGAGAGTATGCAAGAAACCTGGCAACCCTAGAAGTTAATTGAAAGATATGCAACCGTAACACACACACACTCACAGAGACACACACACTATTCATCCAAAATGATCAAACGGCTTGAATTTTGTCCCTCTAGCAAGATGCTCTTGTGAAGCAATGTAAAGTCACGGTAAGAGATGTGTAGCTGCTCTCAGTGGAATCCCCTGCAGATACTCCAGCAAGCAGGACCAGAACCAAGGGAGAAGGGGGGCAGATAACCTCCGAGCAGCTAAGATCTATTATTTGATAGTGGAACAGAGACTGAGGCTACCTTTGAATCCAGTGGGCCCTCGTTCGCTGTGGGTAGAATGGGCAGCCTCCCCCAAGGGACTGCTGCAGTTGCAAATTCCTGCAATGAGCAGCGGGGGTGGGGGTGGGGGGATGTGGATTTCAACTAGGTGACCTCTACAGTCCCTCTAGGATTTTTAGTAAGCTGCCATTTTGGGTTTGGTTTTGACTTCATATTATCGGGGACATGACTGGACCCTCCTTTGCTAATATACAACAGGGGGAGGAACTTTGCACATGGCCAGTAGCATCTCTGTTCCTTTTTAAGGGCCTCTGCTGGCTGCAACCCTTCCCAAAGTTTCCCAGGTCTCACCTGGAGATCCGTGGGGGTTGAATTTTTTTTGGGGGGGGTTGCATGCAGACACGCTGACGGCAAAATGTATCCCTTTTAGGAGGAGGAGGCGGCACTCTGCACATGTCCAGAGGATTACAGCGAGGCAAGGCAACCTGGCAGGCATGCCATGGTGGGAGGGGTGATAGCCTCGACCCTGGTCCCTCCTTCCCCTGCCTGGCCTGAGCTACCCTTGCTGCAAAGCCCAGAGGGGAGCCCAGCATCCGCGTTGCTGCGCCAGGTCTCCGCTCTTGGCCGTGATGGACTCCGCCCTTTCTTCCTCCACCCCCCCCCCCCGCCTACACTTGCAGGACGCCGGGCCAGAGGAAGGCGGGACCACCTCGCAGGGCTGTTGTTGGGCGAAGCCCCTCCGGCCCCTCCCTCCACCTGCTGGGGAGGGAGAGGCCACCCCCAACCTCTCATCCAAGACGCCAGAATGAGAAGGGACCAGGGAGACCCCCACCCCAAAACCACCCACCCAAGTACTTACCTGCCTGCCTGCCTGCGCGGCCAAGGCGCTCTCGCCCCGCCTTCTGGCGGGCAGGAGGCGGCGGCTCTGCGGCTCCGCAGGCGGATGGGAGGAAGGAAGGAAAGGAGGGAGGGAGGCTGGGCGACGCCTCCCCCGCCTTCCTGGCCCCGCCGAGCCCCCCCGCAGCCCCTGCCCACCCACTCACGGGGCCCACCGCCTTCCCCGGTCCCGGAGGCCTCCCCAAGGAGCGCAAGAAGGAAGGAGGGAAGCGGGCGGATCCGGCTGCAGCAGCGGCTCCTACCTCGTCCTCCTGCCCGGCGACCGCTTGGATAAGCGGCCTTGCGTAGGATTAAAGCAAGGGGAGGAGGGGGAGGAGGAGGAGGAGGAAGCGGGGGCTGCAGCCAGCTAAATTTACTCAAAGGAAGACCCATCAGGACGAAGGGACCCCAGGCGTTGCCAGGCGTAAATCAAGCAAGTCGTAGAATTGTAGAGTTGGAAGGGATCCTTAAAGATCCTAGTCCAACCCCTGCAGAGGATCGAACATGCAACCTTGGCAATGATCAGCACCAGGCTCTAGCCAACTGAGCTGTCCAGGTTCCTTCCTCCACGAAAAGCCCCCCCCCATAAAGGCTGCAAGCGAGATAAATAAAAATCCTTAACTAAAAGTAGAAACAATCAGAGTATTTGAAATCAAAACGCTCGCTGAGGTCGCTTGGATGATGTTGTGAAAGGTTTTCAGCAAACGCAATAAAACTTGTTTTAGTTTAGGTTAAAAAATAAAAAAGATGGAAAAAATGTGTGTATGGTTCGAGTTATTAACTACCATCCTACCAGGATCCAGAGCGAATTTGTCTGAAGTTTGTATGGCTTTAAAGATGATTGCAATAAGGTTATGGTTTATGTTTGTTATGTTTGTTCGTTTTGTGTTTTTGTTTGTCGTTAATATTGTAAAAACCAATAAAATGTTTGGAAATTTTTTTTGGGGGGGGGGAATTAAAGACGATTGCAATTCGGCAGTATATAAGATGGTCTAAATACATAATTCAGATGTGGGTGAACACATCTTGGCACGAGGGGAGTGGTCCTGGACCTCTTGAAAGAGAGGGGATCCCACCACTCCTGAGAAGAAAGTTCAGTCTGGACCCAGTGACTTGTGACAAATACCCTCCATGGGGGAAAGGCGATTAAGGGAGACAGTGGCAAGACAGTTGCAAATACTCTTGGGTGAAACGGATCACCTTGTCCCTTTTCAGGCTGGGTCCAGGCCTGGCTCTTAAAAGGCCTGAAATGTTCTGATGGATGAACTTCATGGGGAGAAGGACAAGGGGAGTGCTATTTTTCAAGAAAAAGAGGTGCCAGAACTCACCTTGAAACACCTCCCTTGTTCTCTTATAATGGCAATGGTGCCCACCTGAGAGGTGCCGGAACTGAGTTCTGGCTGAATAAAAGCCCTGGCCACCCTATTATTCTTGCTTGATCTCTCAGCAAATATTCCACTGATGGTGGAATCTTCTTGAACTGACTCTGTTAGATGGGTATTGAGGAGGGTCCTTGTTTTACCAAAGGGGGCATTTCCAAGTGAGTTCCAGCACCTCTTTTTTCCCCTAGACAAATAGCACTGACACTGGGTGATTATTATTTTTTTTTGGGGGGGGGAGCAGCAGTTGTACCGTGGGGTGCTGCAGGGTACCAGCTTGTTCCCAGAGCTATTTAACCTCCCACACTAACCATTGGGAACAATCATTTGGCGATCCGGGGCACAGTGTCCTCTGTGTGCTGGTGGAACAATTTCACCGTAACATCTGAATCAGAAGAAGCTGTGCAAACCTTGGACCAGTGGCTGGACTCAGCGGTGGGTTGGACGAGGGCCAACAAACTGATTCTGAATCCTGGCAAGGCAGAGGTGCTGAGAGTGTCCAGTTCTCCAGCTGGGACAATTGCCTGCATACTCTCCTCTGAAGGAGTAAGTTTGTAAATCCAGGGATTCGCCTGCATCATCTGTGTCGCTAGAAGCCTAGCTGTCCTCCTATATGGAACTTGCTGAACTGACTGGGAGAGTCCGAGACCAGAGAGAAGAGATGGTGGAAGAAGACTGGAAGAAGCTTAAAGAATATTTGGAAAAATATGTTAATATTTAAATCTTAGAATAGCTGTGGAAGTGGATATAGGCTGTAGGGTTAGAAGTAGAAGATAGTGTATTTTAAAATAGTATTATTTGTAAGTGAAAAAATGTGAAGGTTTTTAAGGTAAAAGTAAGTGTGATAAAAAAAATTGGTTAAAAATTATGATGTATGAAACTGCTAAAGGTGAGGTAAAATGAAAATCAGATAGGGGGGACTTGGGGAAGCTCACCTAACAATGTTTAGAAAAAATAAGGATAAGACAAGAATTTGTTTGTATTTCTGTTTGTATTGTTTATTTGTGTTATAAAATGAATTTAAAAAATTGGAAAAATAAATAAATAGACGTCCAGCTGTTCTCAGTGGCCAGAAGTTCCTTTCACCAGCTGCAGCCACGTGCTGGTAAACTGTCAGGCTGGATTACTGCAATCCCCTCTGTGTGGTTGGCCTGGAACCTGCAGCGAGTGCAAAAGGAGCAGCTGGACTGCTCCCTGGGGGCAGAATACAGTGATACCTCGGGTTAAGTACTTAATTCATTCCGGAGGTCCGTACTTAACCTGAAACTGTTCTTAACCTGAAGCACCAGTTTAGCTAATGGGGCCTCCCACTGCTGCCACACTGCCAGAGCATGATTTCTGTTCTCATCCTGAAGCAAAGTTCTTAACCCGAGGTACTATTTCTGGGTTAGCGGAGTCTGTAACCTGAGGCGTATGTAACCCGAGGTACCATTGTATCGGCTTCTTGTTACGCCAGTGTTGAAGGCCTTGAACCTGCTGCCAATTAGCTGCGGGACTAAGTTTAATATGCTGGTCCTGGTATACAAAGCCCTATGCGGCTCGATATCAGGATAATCTAAGACAGCGTCTTGACCCTTATATACTCAGCTGGTAGCTCAGTCGGTAGAGCTTGAGGCAATCTCAAGGTTGTGGGTTCAAGGCCCACATTGTCCCCTTCCAACTCTACAATTCTATGATTCTATAGCATGCTTTGCAGACTAGACTTTGTGCTGCAGATAGAAGAGATCTGTCCCACCCCCACATGATGCAGGAATCAGGCCTTTAGTGTGGCGGCACCACAACCCTTCGGAGCTCCCTCCCAAGTCTGTGTATGAAATTGCTTTTACTGTTGATCTTTTATTATTGTTAATTGCTATGAGGTGTTTCTTGGGAAGCAATGCATAAATTAAGCAAATAAGCAAGCGGTGTTTGATCCTTTAAGAACCACAGGTTTGTATATATGTATGGCCTCTTATAAAAAGTACGGGGCATAGGGACCTCAGAGCCCCAGATGCAAACCCGTTTTTTTGGGTTCTGCCATCTGGGGCGGAAAAATAAGTGACAAGCAAGGTTACCGGCGCCATCTGCTGGCAGAGTGCAATTATAAGCCTCCTCACTTGTAGTGTAAGCAATTTCAAGCCGAGCAATAGATTTCTGAAACAAATTTTAAAGTCCGGAGTACCCAAGTGGAGAGGGGAATCTGGGGCAGACTTTGACCTTTCCAATTTCAGTGGCACCCTCTGCAAGGCCAAAATTTGACACCTCTCCTGCCTCTTGCCTTCCATTCTATTCTATTCACTACATCAGTGGCTCCCAATTGGCCAAGTACTGCGGACCCGTCCCCCTTTTCAAAAGCAAAGCCACTGACCCTTTACTCTAGAAACCTTTATATCTTGGTGGTCACTTTTGTTATGTGAATGGGTGCCAAGGACCCTTGGTTGGGTTATGCAGACCCCCTGAGGACTGGGGACTAACAATTGGGAACCACTGTATTACGTCATTGGAGTTTTCTTGGCAGGGATACTGGAGTGGCTTGCCGGTTCCTACTCCAGGTAGGCTCCATGATCACTGCAGATGGTGACAGCAGTCACGCAATTAAAAGACGCCTGCTTCTTGGGAGGAAAGCAATGACAAACCTAGACAGCATCTTAAAAAGCAGAAACATCAGCTTGCCAACAAAGGTCCGTATAGTTAAAGCTATGGTTTTCCCAGTAGTGATGTAAGGAAGTGAGAGCTGGACCATAAAGAAGGCTGATTGCCGAAGAACTGATGCTTTTGAATTATGGTGCTGGAGGAGACTCTTGAGAGTCCCATGGACTGCAAGAAGATCAAACCTATCCATTCTTAAGGAAATCAGCCCTGAGTGCTCACTGGAAGGACAGATCGTGAAGCTGAGGCTCCAATACTTTGGCCACCTCATGAGAAGAGAAGACTCCCTGGAAAAGACCCTGATGTTGGGAAAGATGGAGGGCACAAGGAGAAGGGGACGACAGAAGATGAGATGGTTGGATAGTGTTCTCGAAGCTACCAGCATGAGTTTGACCAAACTGCGGGAGGCAGTGGAAGACAGGAGTGCCTGGCGTGCTCTGGTCCATGGGGTCACAAAGAGTCGGACACGACTGAAAAACTAAACAACAACAAGCACTGCGTCATAGTTGCGATACCCTGCGGCTCCCCTGGGCTTGCCTTTAGAGCAGCAAGTGGAACCTAAACATCTAGGCCACAACTTCTCCCTGTCTCCCCAAGAGTCGCTGCTCGTCTTGGGAGGCGGCGAGGACTGGGGCCTCCTTTTGGGGCAGCCTCTTCAATCTGTCCCAGGAGGCTTGCCCTTGCCGGGGGTTGAGAGGGATGGCTGTGAGGAGGCACCTCCGGCCTCATGCCAGACTTGTTTTCCCTCATGGTGAACGGGGCGGGGAGGGTTTTGGTTGTGAAATGCCAGCGTGCGGCTCGAAAAGGCTCCGCTTGGGCAAAAGGGGCCGTACGGGTCACGTGCCAGCCCAGCAGGGCTCCGTGCTAGAGAAGGCACTACAAAAAGCAATGTTTTGGCAGCTGGGAAGGAGTTTGGAGGCCTCTCGTAGGAGATGCTTGTATTGCCAAGGCAGGGCAGTTGTGCCTCCCCTCCCTCGCTATACTATGTGGTCCTTATGTGATGCTTGAGGGATTGTTTAGGGAAGAACCAGTAAGTCTTCATGGAGGCCCAGAGTGCAACCCCGCTCCTGGCTTCTTGGCAGAGATGGCATCAAATGGACGAAAGTGGATGGTTGCTGCCTAGCGTGGCACTGGTGTTGCCCCAAAGTAGGCACCTGCCACCTATGAGCTCAAAAAACTGTTCTGGGCCTTATCCTGCTGTTATAAGAATTCTAAGGTCTCAAATATAAATTAAATGTTCATAAATGTGCAAGGCAAACACTTACATAAGTATATAAACCCCATGTCTGAAATAGTACAGGAGAGCAATCCTGAAGCCATTTTGACTCTCCCAAATTGACCTCAAATATTTCTCTGCAAGGAGGAAGGAAATGGGAAAGCCTCCCCATTGTCTTTTGCTTACAAATCCTGTTTCAGGGCATATTTGTTTATGAATAGGGTGAGCCTGAGACCTGGATTCAGTAACTAAAGTATTAACCATCACAAAAGAACGGCCAGGCTGCCCAGGTAAAGCAATCAGTGACCATTATTAGGTATCCTGGCAGGCAGGATTTATGCTGTAGACCGCCTCCCCTGCTGTAGACCCCTCCTTCTGTGATGTATGTATGATGTTTTAGGAGGGTGGTCTTGGGCTACAGGGCGGGCAATTTCAAATGTCTAAATAAGGGCTTCTGCACCATTGTTCGGGGTGCTCCTCCCTCCTGCGTGTGGTGAGTGGGGACCCCGCTGCAACAGTTTAAGAAAGATCAGGCTTACTAGCTGCTTTGCTTCTCAATATACAGTGGTACCTCGGGTTAAGGACTTAATTCATTCTGGAGGTCTGTTCTTAACCTGAAACTGTTCTTAACCTGAGGAAACACTTTAGCTAATGGGGCCTCCCACTGCTGCTGTGCCGCCGCCATGCGATTTCTGTTCTCATCCTGAAGCAAAGTTCTTAACCCAAGGTACTATTTCTGGGTTAGCGGAGTCTGTAACCTGAAGCGTCTGTAACCCGAGGTGCCACTGTACTCTGGTTGGCCTCTGTTATTTTCTCCTACCAATAGGGGACCCACTTAAGAACTCTATACTGGCTCTTGGATACCCCATAAGAGAAAAGGAGCAGGGGTTTTTTCTTATAACACTGCCATTGTCGGAGATCTTCCCTCCATGTCCTCCGCCTCAACACTTGAAGAAACTTCTTGATTCATCTCCGTGCCGCTGCAGTGCCGACTGACGTCCGTTTGTGTCGGAAGATGCCACCGTCATGGGCCAGAGGCGATGAGCAGCCAAGGTGAAGGCAGGAGGGCACAGGCAACCCCCACCCACCGCTGCCAGCCTCTTCATGACGCACCTATCCGGGCCGCACCTTCTCAAGAAGGTCTCCCTTCATTAGCTTTCCGTTGCAGCTCCTCCGAGTGGAGGTTGACGCTTTTGTCACTGGCAATTTGTTGAAGGAGAAGGAGAAGAAGGGTTTGTTGTGAGCCATGAGGTCGCGCCGTCTCCACACAGACCTAATTACTTTGCGCTACAGCAAAATGAAATGAGGCTCATGAGTCACCAAGGAGGAGATGGAAGGAGCGGGCCGGAGGAGGCAGCCGGCTCCTCTCCCATCAAGAGAGAGCTGTCAATCCATTTGAGCCCGGCATGCCGATTAATCATCCAACTTTCCGACTCCCGCGGCAATTAGAAGAGGCCTGTTGGGTCAGAGCAAATGCGGCCCACCTAGCCTCTTGTTCTTACAGTGGGCAACATGGGAATCGTGGAATCGTAGAGTTGGGACCCCAGGGGTCATCTAGTCCAACCCCCTGCAATGCCGGAATCTCAGCTAAAGCATCCGTGACAGATGGCCATCCAACTACCATTTGAAAACCTCCAAGGAAGGAGAGCCCACAGCTTCTCAAGGGAGCCCTGTCAAACAGCTCTTACTATAGTTTGCCTCACTTGTGACTCTCAGAAACTGACTTTAGAGAAAGCCAGGAGCCACATTGGCCCACAAAACACACACACACAAAAATAAAATAAAAACAAACAAAAACCCTCAATGCTAGTGCCTCTTTCACCTTCTGAAGTCTCAAGTGGCTTGGAAATGAACTAAACCTCATTGTTTAAAAGAAAGGCCATTGCCAATACTTTTGCTTTCATTCCATGTCCCTCTAGCACAATGGTAAGCAAAGTATTGTTGATCTTGTGTTGTTCGTGGCCATATTTCCCCCCTTCCCAACGTTGATATTTTTTCCGAAAGAAATAATATCCCCTCAAAATAAAAGCCCATGCCCTTGACTTGCAGCCTCGTCAATGAGTTACACTAAAGCTTGAATCAAATTTATGCGCAGATTTGGCTGGTGACTTATCTGGCCTCTGGTCAAACAGGCTTTTTGGATTTTTGAAATGCTACAAAACCTATAAACCTGTTTGACCCGAGATGACGGCAGGCTGAAGGAATAAACGTATTGCACCCGAACACACACACTGACCGTTCTGCCACGGCCCTTTCCTCTCCTTAGAACAGCTTCCCCCAACCTGACGCCCTCCAGATGTTTTGGACTACAATTCCCAGCAGCCCCAGCAGCAGCAGCATCAAACAGCTGTGCCGGCTGAGGTTGATGGGAGCTGTGATCCAAAACATCTGAAGGGCAGCAGGCCGGGGAAGCCTGCTGCAGACACTCCCTGACCCCAGCTTTAACTTTTGTGCTTTCTGAATATTTCAGTGGGACTGTTTTTGTGGGGAGAATAAATGACCTGAATAATTAGAAGCACCTGCTTTGAAAACAAAAGGTCCACGTTTCATCCTTAGGAGCCCAATCCCCAGGAGGTTGGTGCAAGGGGGCAATGTACTCCACACAATTCATGACACTCACAGCACCTTCTCTGGGCCTTCCCTCCCTTTGCCTCAATCTTTGGACATAGAAGAGGGCCAATCAGCCAGACTGGCTCTCCCATGAGGCAAGATGAAGCACTCACCTCAGGCAACAGAATCCACTGGGGCAGCAGATCCCAATATCAATCTTTTTCCCCACCCCTTCTTCCCTGGCAGAGAGGGAGGTGCCATTTTGGGGCCTGCCTCAGGTGCCCAAATATCTTGGGCCAGCCATGCCAATCAGGGACTAAAAGTGGGTATCTTTAGTTGGAGGATACTGGGAAACTGGACCAGAGGAGTCCATCACCAGGTGACCATTGAGAGAGCGTACGTCTTTTCACATAACAGGCACTCGGCTATCTGTGGCAACCCCACAGTCCCTGCCTAGAGGGACTCCCCTTTTTTTTTGCCTCTGCCCTTTTCTGGTCATACTCTCACCGGCTCTCAAGAGTGGGGCAAGCATGGAAAACCGACCGGCTCAGTGTCGTTGCCGACATTCCCACACAAGACCAGTGTTGCTGGCATGGTGCATTGTAGCAGCCCGAGATGAATACACCACCCTTGTGCTCTTTGGACATGGTTGTGTACATGTTGATATTTTATAATACCGTGGCAGATCACCTATATCCCTCTTGCATGTGGCATCAGCAAGCGGGGAAAGGGAAGAAGAAAAAAACAAAATGGGGAAAAGTCCACCGAGAACTTCATCTCAACTTTCCTTGATGCGAAGAAGTTGAAATAGGATCTGTCATTCCCTCCTCGTGTGCTTCACCCTCTTTGGTGTGGCAGCTTCAAACATTCTCATTCTCATTCATCCATCTTCCCAAAAGATGGAGGGGGGGGAGGCAAGAAAAAGCGCAATCCGTTCAGTCCCAGATCCTTTGCGTCAGGCCTGCCCAGGTTCATAAATCAGCCATTTCAATACTCTGCCCATTTCAAATGACGTCCAGCTCTTTCATTAAGCTCATGATTTATCGCTGGAAGGTGCTCTCTTTTATTTTATGCCCGATTTATAAACTTTTTCCCCTGCTGTTTCCCCACCCCACCCCTCGTCGGAGATCATGTTCGCTTTGTCCACCGGGCCAACAAGACAGTAAATTTATTGTCTGAGAACCGCTACTCTGAAAGATGACATCAATGCGAAAAGCGTGCTTGCGTTTCCACATCCACAGACGAGACAGCCATTGGAGAATCCACGCTGGGTGGAGTCATGAGGTCACTCGCCATCACGGGTGGACCTGTGGCATAAAAGCACATGATGGGGGCAACAGCAGGAGAAGACGCATCGGCCAGGTGGGAATCTCAGCGCTGACGTTTTGGGAAGGCATGATGGACAAGCTGGGCTGGATCTGCCTCTCCCTTGCCAGTCTCTCTGGCCCACTGTGGGCCATCCCTGTGGCCAGCGAAGGGTCCTACTGGCTCCCAGGTAAGTCCTCTCCCTTTCCATTCGCTCAGTAAGACATTGCTTTGTTGTGGAAGAATAGGTTCAGGAGAACCAGAAAAGCCAAGGGAGAGAGATTTGGGGAACTATCTCCCCCAATGCGGGGCATCCAGTCACACCGCTTCTTTTAGGGAACAGGCTCTTCCAGCAGGAGTTTGACCTCATAGCTCAGTGGCAAAACATCTGCCTTGCATGCAGAAGGTCCCTGGTTCAATCCCCGCTGGCCTGAGACCTTGGAGAGCTGCTGCCAGCTAGTGTGGACAACACTAAGTTAGATGGTCCAACAGGCTGATACAGCATAAGGCAGCTTCTCATGTTCCCAATGAGAGGAACGGCCAAGAAATTTATGAATGGGTCGACATTGCTGCTTTAAATAGGATTTGGGTTGATACAATTGTTTTAAGTTCTTGTGTTGGGTGGTTATTGCATCATTTATTATTATGACAGGAACCGCCCTGGGGGCCTTTGGGCAAAGCATATCAATTTCCTAATATAAATAAATGTATAAATATCCCAGTTCACACAGGTGTGCCGATTGCTTGAGGAATAGAAGCTGGGAGTCAGCTTAAGGGAGCCCCTGGTGCCCTAAATGGACCCTCAAGGGATGATCAACAGGCACATCGGGAAACCGGCAAGCCCTTTGCCGGGAACCTGTCAGGATACAGAATCATAGAATTGTAAAATTGCAGAGTTGGAAGGGACCTTGCGGGTCATCTATTCTAAACACCCCCCCCCAACCACTGGGAATGGCTCCTGCACTTGGCACTGCCAAATATGAAGATCTTTGAAAGAGCATCAATCCATCCATTGAGAAGCTTTTCCTCCTGACATTTAATAATGACAGAAGAAAATGAATGCCCATGAAAGCCACTCATCCCTGGGAATGGCCATTGTAGCAGCCTTTGTAGGTTACTGAGATCTGCTCCTTGCCAAAGGATGAGGTGGGTGGTTGACGCTGCTGGAGCCCTGCGGAAAGAAACTGGGGGGGGACGGGACTGTGTCTGCAGAGGAACGCCAGACCCTGACATGATCCTTTCTGGCTGGGGTGCGGAGGGAGGCAAAGGTTTTGAGCCACAGTTCTTCACTTGCAGCAGAACAGGTCTGACCCAAGGAAGCCTAATTCACTTACGGAACTCCCTGCCACAAGCAGCTTAGATGGCCTTTTTAAAAAGGCATGTCCGGGGACAGGCTGAGCCTCTCAGAGGCCCGGCTTTTGACATCTCTACCCATAATGAAAATTAAAAGTGGAGAGCCGGCACAGAAAAACAAAATAAGGCATTCAAAAACCAAAAGCTGCTTCCTTTTATTGCTTCAGACTCACAGCAGTAAATAAAAATGATCTGCCCGAGAGCAAGTCTGAGTACTAAATGCACAGACTGGATGGGAGAAATTGGCATTGGAAACTCCCTATTCTCATATATTTTGGCAGCAGTTCTAAGCCCACTTACCTGGGAGTAAGCCCCGCTGAAATCAATAAAACTTACTTCTGAGTAGATATGTTTAGGATTGTGCTGCAAATTGCTGTGCAAATGGCATTTTAAAAATATTGTGAATACTACTGCCCAGGGAAATGCGATTATAATTTGTGTGCAAAGCACATACCGCCATTACCTGTCTGTGCATCTTCCTTGTGTGCACATAATGTGCTTTCTTACAAAAAGTCACAATTCATATCAGAAGCAGACAGAGTGGGAGAAAATAATAAGAACAGAGACTTTTTCAGCGCCAATGCAGAGGAGCTTTAAAGTCAAGATTCAAACAAGAGGCGTCTTGAAAGATGCCAACAGAGGTTTATAAAAAGTGAGAAATATATTCAAAACACACATAGACAAACAACAGGAACAACAAGCTACAGAGACCAACAAACCCAGAGCCACAAGCCTGTGGGCCTCAGTTCACACACCCTTTTCAGTACAGGCAGGCAGACCCCATCAGAACCTGGAATTGCCCCAAATGTTAATAGGTATCAGTTAACAGCAAAAAATATCATTTTACTAAACCACCTATCTTTGCTTAAATTTGCAGTTATAAGGGGGTGTGGGGTGTGAGAGAGGGTGGGGGGGAGGTTTGTCAGATGTGCATAAAAGCAAGTTTATCCAATGTCCAAAAATTGGCATCTAAATCTGAGGGGGCCCTTGAGTCCCTGGGCCAAGGGGCCCTCCTGGCTCCCACCCCATAGTAGGCCCTAGATGCAGGGGCCCTCTGAAGAGCAGAGGGTGAGCTCAATAGGGTAGCAGGGGGCAAGCTGCCCAATAGACACTGGAGGACTTTGGTCTGATCTTACACTCTTAAAGGCGACAGAATAACGCAGGGGAAAAGCTACCGGGCAGGGGAAACTTTCTTTGGCAGGGAAAGAGAGAAGAAGGTGGGTGGATTGTGCAGAGCCCCTTTGGGGGGAATCTACTACCACACGAGTGTCAATTGCCTCCCACCAACCCACCCACCCACCTCAGTTGGCCCATGATAAGGCAGAGGGTTTCCCCTCAGGCTGTGCGATGCCTCCCTCTTGTGTCCTTATCTCCTTGCAGCCACTGATGAAGATGCCAGCATAACTCTGGAGGCCCTGAGCAGCAGGAACAGAGGGTCCTCCCTCATGCAGACCCCACGGGGATTAGTGGGAGCACAGGTGGAAGACACTCTGAGGAAAGCAGGTAAGACAGAGACACCCCCTTTTGCCTCTGGAGGAGCAAGCCAGGCAGGACATTCTTGCAACGCGGCACTTGCAACGCAGACAATCAAACTGCTGCTGCTCTCTGGAGATGTTCCTGCTTCCCAGTGGGTCCTGCTCCAAGAGTTGAAGCTGCCCACACCATACCTGCCCTTAGGACTACCTGTTCACCTGCTTTCGCACTCCATGCAGCCTAGCCAACCAGGGAGCATTCAAAACAGAGCCAGGCGTCTTCCGACTGATGGGTTTGATCCAAGGCTGGGTGCAACTGCAGCAGGTGGATTTGAAAGGGTGTAGTGGTTAGGGGGCTAAACCAGGAATCGGGAGACCAGTCTTCGAATCTCCGCTTGGCGACAAACTCCCACTTGGGCCAGTCCTTGCCTCTCAGTCTAACCTACCTCTTCACAGGGTTGTTGTTAGGATCAAGTGGGAAGTAAGTCACCTTGGGAGGCAGAAAAGGTGAGATAAGAGAGTCCTGATAAGCAAGATGCTGGGGAGGAGCAGAATAGGGAAATGCCTGGTACTCTGCAAGGCTGCATTTTGTTACTTTTAATTTGGAAAACTCCCATCCAAAGAAGAAACGTACAGCAGAGGCTCTTCTTCTTCCCCTCTAGGATTAAGAGAGCTGGCAAACTGGTTTGACCAGCGCCACATGAGTTGAAAGAGGAGAGCATGGGCACAGCAGCCCCTCAGCCCCTTTGACTCTCTCTGTCCACTTCTGTCCTGGGAAGCAATGTCCAAAAGCTCCCACCAAGGGCAGCTGGGGAAGGGGGCCAAACCAAGGGTGGAAAATAGACCATGACCTTTCCAGAGGAGAAAGCAATGCTTGAATGTATCTTCTTTTCTTTTTGTTCCAGGTCCCCAGCCCAGAGGCTTTATGCCATTGAGGGAAAATGTCAAAGAGGTGAGAAGCCCCCAGCCCCAAGGCCATTTGAAAGCTTTTCTCCTTGTTATGGGTGCTGTGGCTCTGCTGGGTTCTCAGTGTGCGGCCAGGAACTCCCAGTCAACCTTCCTTACATGACTCAACATGTAACATCTGCTTTTCTCAGGTACTCTTCGGAAACCTCCCCCAGAACACGCTGCTGAGCCGCTTGCTAGCCACAGACAGGAAGCAGTACAAAAAGCGTGGAAACATCTCTGAATGCTTCTGGAAATACTGCGTGTAACTGATGGCTGGGAACAGCTGATGGCCAACTGGACACCCCCTCCAAATCCCTATTCTGGCTCCTTTATTTATGTCATCAAGAAGAATCCTAGAACCCTGCATATAGATTTGTGCATATTTAAAACATTAAAATAAAGAAATGTGAAGCTGGCAAAAACAAATCACTCCAGACCACAACCTCTATGATCCTTGCTGTTGGCGAGAGGAATAAATCCTATCTGGTTTGCTAAGATCTTGTAAGCAACGAATTGTTTTCTTCCTTTGGTGGTTCCTGTTTGCATTTCAGCAGGGAGCAAGGCCCCCGCGTGGATAGGCTTTGAGTCTTTCTTTGTGTGTTATGCTCCGCGAGGCCAGCGGAAAGGAGGCAGGAAAAACACTTAGTAGTTTCTCTAGGGGGGGGGGAGCACTGGGAAAGGAAGGCCAGACATTTCTGTCCCAATTAAGGAAAGCAGTGGAAATGGCAGACTTCAGCTATGTCATTGACTCTGCTGGCATTGAACTGGGTGTCCCTAGACTGACCACTTCTTTATGACAATCAAACCCAATTAACTTTTTTTTAAAAGGCTCTCTACCCGCTGCAACCTCCGCTCTCATTTTTAGGCACAGACATGACAGCCTGTCCCTCGACCTCAGATGAGGAGTGTAGCTGGCAATGATGAATGGGCGGCAGCTCTTTGAAAGATGCCAGTCATAAATCTCTGCCTCTCTGGCGGGAGCATCATGCTGCAATCAGATAAAATGCACAGAAAGTTGATGTGATTTAAGAAGAACCAGCTCCGCTGAAGGGAGCACTTCCTCTCTATGGCTTTGACATACTTTGGGAAGATTTGCAGTGTCTCTCAAAGAGTAAACAAGCGCTGGCCTCAGATGGAACAGCGAGCAAATGCAAGGTCCTTCTTAGAATCAAAACAATTAAGTGTAGCCATCACCTTGGATGAAATTATGAGTTATCCTGTTGCCGCTGCCAATTTCAGTCTTTACTTATTCTGAAGCAGGTTCTGCAATCCCCCATCCTGTGTTTTTCACTCAAAATGTGTAAAGACTGAAACTAATTAAACTTTTTTTTTTCTGACAAGGCTCCCCTTCACTTCCCCAATGATAGGAAGCTCTAACAGCAGGAAGGCACCATGTTGTGGTTGTTGGTGGTGGTGAAGAAAGAAGAAGGTGCTGGGGCTGCATTTTAAATTGCAAAATGACACTCAGGAAGAAGATTTTCACATTTTATTTTGTTTCAAAAAGAGAAAAAATCTCCCCATCTCACGCACAAACAGTTCACCTTTTAAAAACGCACATATTGAAAAGTATGGTACAAACAAGTTTATTGCCCCAAAACCAGTTTATAAATCCCACTGATAACTAATTGGAACTATACATTCTACACTGTGGCTTGCAATGGGGTGTGTGTGTGTCCCATTCCTAGAGCAAATCCTCCTGAGCTGCTGCAGGTGACATGGTCTCTATCAGCAGCATCAACATTATACTGGGTTGTAGCACATGAGTCCTACTCAGAGTAGGACCACAGAAGTTAAAATGTCCTGGCTACGTTAGGTGCATTAATGGGACTACTCTGAAGAAAACTTAGTTGGTGACAACTTTTTCTTCTTCTTTAAGAAAGTGGTTCCCAAGGAGGGGAAAAATAACTCTCCCTTCCTTTCCCGGCTAACTGCCTGGCATCACACCAAGCCAAGAGAAGGCAGATCCTGGGTGTAATTCAAAGGCAGAAATGAGGGAACTCCAGAAAGAGTTTTGTCAGTTTAAAATGCTGCTATTTCTATACTTCTGAAAAACTGACAGCCGTCAACGACGATAACCCTAATATATTCCTTGGTGAGCCAAAATTGATTCAACAAAAGTAGTGGCAGGAGAGGAGCACTGTCTACACAGAACTGCCTGAAAACCCCGCAGTTGGCTTCAAACAGAAAAGCATCACCTGACACCGCTATGACCTAAGGTGATTGACAGGTGGGTGGCCCTCCAGGGGTGGGAGAGAGGAAAATCTGGCTCTCTGCCATGAAAAGGAAGGACTGGATGAGATCCGGCCTGATGATCTTCAGGCATTAATCCAGCTCCAATGGGGAAGCCCCATTGGTGAAGTGTGTATATATGTGTGTGTGTGTGTGTGTGTGTGTGTGTGTGTGTGTGTGTGTGATGAGCACAGGTGCACCTGACTACTCATGGATTCTGGGAACCAACTGGTCATTTATAGAGGGGCCCTTGCCGCTTCGTCTCAAACAAGAACCAACTACAGTGGTACCTCTGGTTACGTACTTAATTCGTTCTGGAGGTCCGTTCTTAACCTGAAACTGTTCTTAACCTGAAGCACCACTTTAGCTAATGGGGCCTCCCACTGCCGCCGCGCCGCCGGAGCATGATTTCTGTTCTCATCCTGAAGCAAAGTTCTTAATCCGAGGTACTATTTCTGGGTTAGCGGAGTCTGTAACCTGAAGCATATGTAACCTGAAGCGTATGTAACCCAAGGTACCACTGTATTAGTTGCCGTAATTTCAGAAATTTTGGAGTGGTGTGAGGGGTGAGCCTTTGGAACCAGCATCTTGGAGAGCCAGAGGGAAAGATGAGCCGGGTCACGTGCACAGGAAGGGTGGGCTTCTCTAGGGCGGTGCCTGTAGTGGAAGCAGCAGTGTCTCATCAAGGAGGTCCTTGCTGTCCTCTTCTTGAGGATCTCTGTCTTCCAGCCCAGCAACAACAGTCAAGCCGGCATTCCTGTTGTCACACATGATGCAGCCCTAGAAAGGGAAGGAAGTTGGTGAGTAACATGGAAGAATGGAGCCCTCCTGGGCAGGACGAAAGGTCCACCTGCTCCAGCTTAGAGATGTACAATTTCCAGAAATTTTGAAGCCATGAGGAAAAAACTGTTTCCCCCCGTAAAAAATAGAAATTTTGGAAAAATAGAAAAAAAGTTAAGTGTGGAGTAGCTTTACAAATTATTTGAATTGAAATAAAACAGGTAACACCCCCCCTTTTCCCTCTAAAGCAACAAAAAAAGCAAAAAAGCATCAACATAAAAAATAATCAGATTTGCCACAGCACCAATAGCAAATAAAGTCAAGGTCCAACTCAATATTTAAGTTCCATAGGTCTACCCTTTGAGTAGTGTTTTTTTAACAAAAGGAACGGAAGACACAACATATACATGCAGTTTATTCTATCTCATTTTCTGAACTACTACTATCATTTTCCATTTCTTCTTCCTCTTCGTCATTTTTCTCATGGACTTCTAAAAAAACAGTTTTGGAAAAAACCGAGGGAAAACCTCTCCACTCCCCCTGCAATTTTTTCTGGTTTTTTTCCAGGCCTTCCCATCTCTACTTGAGGACAGTTACTGAATAGTATGTTGAACTAAGGCTCAAACTCAATTTGAAAGGAAAAGGAGTGTGTGTGTGTTTTAAATTGAATTTGTTGTTATATATTATAAACAGCGTGATGGTAAGAGAGCTCCTAAACAGTTTACAAAAATATGCAACAGAACATTAAAATGATTGATAAAACACAGTTAAAAGCAGGTATTTAAGAGTATTCAAAAGACGACTGAAGTCAGCAGTGGTTAAAAGGAAGTAAATCACATGCAGCTTCTACGTGTTCAGATGGGCTGGCCCTAACAAAAATGTTTTGAGCAGTTGCCGGAAAAAGTACAGTGAGAGCACATGGATTTGAAACCCACAGTACCAGCTTCCATGCACCCAGGTTTCCTTACTTGGGTGTCAATTTCTTGGGGGACAGTCTGGGTGCGAATCCAGGGGTGGACCTCTGCCAGCTCCTCCTTCTGCCTTTCTGAGAAACAGGGCTGCTTGCTCTCCAGGGTGGCCAGCTTTTCCAGGTCCTCTTTCAGCACCTCCTCTGCAATTCTGCAAGAGATGAGAAGCTGGCTAGATAAAAAGGCACCAGCCCGACAAAGCCAAAATCCTGACATCACCTCCTCCTACAATCTTCTGCATAAAGTTCAGCTAGTTCACACCACCCAGAGTCCTACAGAGAAGGTGCGGCACCCTCCAAAATCTTAGAAGCCTTGAAACAACATTAGCTGCAAAAGCTACAGAAAAGCAGGTCTTTTGTACCCCAGCCATGCCTAGAGGGCTGCAACTCCCACTGCCGTTGTCCCTGATCATTGATCCTGCTGGACACTAGGGTGGAGTTTAGATAATCCAACATCTGGAGGCCCAACAGATCCGTTCTGAACTGAATCTTCCCTGCTTTCCAATCACAAGCTCTCTGCCATCCATATTTTGCACTTTGATGCAAAACCTAAGCCCCACCCAAAGCACTTCTCTGTTCTGTATAAGCTTTTCCTCAAACTGGTCCATCACTTCAGGTTCCTGAAAACAACTCCAAAGACATTTCAGGGCTGCCTCTGCCTTCTCAACAACAGCCTAGGGAAGAGGCAGCAGAGTGATGAGAGGACCTCCCAAATGTAACTCCAAAGACTCTGCATGAAAGGCAGATCTGCCCCTTGGCAACACATCCATCCACCCACCCGGGACTGGGCTGCACATGGCTCTCTTTTCCTCCATTAACCTCTCTTCCTGACCCATTATTAAAAAAACAAAAACATTCTGCATTTCATCCATTGTGTTAAGATGCTCATCAGAACATGCTCTTTCTGCTCCAGTGCGGAGACAGACCGGGATGGTGCCTGTGAAAGTTTCAGGAGATTTTCCTTGATGGAGAAGACTTCCCTCAATAGCCACCACTCCCAGCAACAATAAAAACCCAGTGTGTCAAGCACCTCACAAGGGGGCAAACATCACGCGGCCTGCTGGTGACTAAGCTACGGAAATCCTATTTTGCTCCCCTTCCTGAACTGCTTGCCCTTCCTCATCCCAATTTTCCCAGCGCTGCCTTCTGGAAGGCAGGAGGGCCTACCTAGTTTGGAGAAGTAGCAAAGCAAAGGCGTTTTCTCACCGCTTTGGCATTTGGTAGGTCATCTGGATTGGTTCAGGCAAACTATTCACTGTCCTCCACACCAACCTGGCTGGCCGCGGTGGCCGTTCTGCCTCTTCTCCTCCTTCTTCGCTGTTCTTCCCCCTTTTTGAGACCTCGGAGGAATCATTGCTGGCAAAGTATTTGCTGCTGTTTCCGCTGCCTGTTTGGAGACAGGTGGGTGGACACAAATGAAATGTGGGTTTCTGCATAGGCCAATCTCAAGGCAGGGAGGAGGGTGGCCGTTCCCCTGCTAGCAAATCCCTTTGGGATTCTCTTTCTGTGGAAGCCGACACACACAGCACTTCCTCTCCTTCTAAGTTGTGGCCTAGTCACTCAAGAAAAAGGGGCTGCAGAGATCCCAAGGCAAATTCTTTGCATCTGTCTTCACAGTGGGAGACGCTGGACAGATCCCTCCTGTGCCTGAACTACTTTCAAAGGAAGGGAGTCTGAGGAACTGAAGCAAACAGCAGTGACAAGGGGCAGTTTTTATTGACAAATTAAAGACTGACATGCACCCGAGAGCAAAAACATGAAACTGCCAAGGAGTGATCCTCCTGTGGATAAGGAACTTGTTAAGCAGCATGAATCAAGGGGCAGTCCTCCAAAAGGAGTGATCTAGAATCCCCCTATGATCGGTACTTGGCCCTGTTTTTTTTAACTTGTTCACAAATGATCTAGAGTTGAAGTGAGCACTCAGGTAGACTTGTTTGGTGTTGATGCCAAATTGTTCTAAGTGGTTAAAACAAAGAGGGATTTCTGAGGAGCTCCAAAGTGGGGTCTATGCGCAGGAAATTATAACATGACATTCAGTGTAAGCAAGTGCAAAGTGATGCACACAGGAGCAAAAAATTCTAATTTCACATATATGCTCATGGGGTCAGAATGGGATTGTAGCAGATAGCTCAATGAAGACGTTGATCCAGTGTGTAGCAGTGGTGAAAAAGGCAAATTCCACGCTAGAGATCGTTAGGAAAGGAATTGAAAATAAAACTGCTGGTATCACAATGCCCTTATACAAATGTGTTGTGTGAGTGCCTTTGAAGCATAGTGGACGCTCGGGTTGCGAACGTGATCCATGCGGGAAGCACATTTGCAACCCACAGCGCCATGTCTGTGCACGCGTGGGTTGCAATTCAGAGCTTTTGCGCATGCACAAAGTGTGATTTAGCGCTTCTGCACATGCGCCGAAACCGGGGAAATAACCCGTTCCGGTACTTCTGGGTTCGGCGTGGTGCGCAACCCGAAGCGTCTGTAACTCGAGGTAGGACCGTATTGTGTACTGTCTGATCACCTCACCTCAAAAAGCATATTGCAGAGCAGGAAAAGGTTCAAACAGGGCAATCAAAATAATTAAGGGATGGAACAACTTCCCCCATTGAGTGGAGAAAGTGGATCAGGAGAAGCTCTTCTCCCTCTCCCGTAATACTAGCTGCTGGGGACATCAGAAGAAGATGAATGTTGGAAGATTCAGGACAGACAAAGGAAGTCCTCCTTCACACAGCGCATTGTAAGGCACTGGCTTGCCCCATCCATGGACTAACATTTGCCACCATCAAATATTTCAGGGTCTCCCTCTCGTGCCCAGAGTGCTTGCCTTACCTGTGCCACAACCAGAGGTTTCGTTGGAGCTGGAGCCGTTGGACCCAGAGACCAAGGAGCTGGACTCGGCAGACCCACTGCCAGAGGTCGCTGAGCTACTTCCAGACTGGGAATCTTCCAGTAGCAAAAGGTCGAAGAACTCACTGGAGACGGAGTGGCTGTCATTGTTCACGCTGTCCTCCCCGTCCTCATCCTGCAAAGGAAATGGGACAAATCCATCCACACAAAGTCACTGCCAGGCTCAAGGAGAGATGGCGGTGCTTTCTGCAGGCACCCAGGTGGGGTCAGGATTAGCAGCTGGTACCAGCTCAGCTGGTTCTGAAAGTAAAAGACTCCTGTCGCGGAGCCAGATAATATGGTCACGCGAATACGGCCCACGAGCCCTGCAAACTTCCTTAACCTGTCCTCCGGATTGTTTGGATTACAACTCCCAGTGCACTACGGACAGGCTGGCAGGGGCTGATAGGAGCCCAAAACATCTGGAGGGGTGGGTGCTTTAAACCCAAGGATTTCTCCTGCCAACAGAGACCAAACAAGCTTCCCGCTGCTGTTTCATATGACACAATGCAGCCACAGACATGAAGCACATGGTAGACGACAACACAGAACACACACAAAGGGGGGCTCATTTCCACAGTCGGCTGCGCCCAACTCACAGCTACAGCAGCTGTATGTGCCTGGGACCCTCTACCCATCCAAAGTGCAGCTGTGCCAGCTTCCCCAGTCCAATCTGGATTCAAGAACCAATACATTTTTTCCTCTTTGCCTGCAGAACTCAGATTCCCACCTCTGAGAACACAGCGGAACGGAAACCGACCCAACGCAGGAAGTCCCTGTTCTTCGCTCCTTAGCTGCATCCCTGGGAGACAGAGGGCGTAATTAGAACAACCACCGTCTGCTGTTAGGCGGCTCCCGAAAGAGCCAGAAGGACCAGGACAGAAAAGGGGGGGGGGAGGAGGAATGAATCGCCATGTTTGCAGCTGCCGTGCCCCATGTGCAGAGCACCACCCAAACCCAAGCGGAATAAGCAGCATGGACTGCAAGGGATCTCTGGGTGGGATGCCCCACCACCAGCTTCACAAGGCCCCACAGATCTGTGACGGAGAAGCTCCTTCTGTGGCCCGCGGAGCAAGAAAACAGCCGGGGTTGTGGGGAGTGGCATTCCTTGCGCACTACGCTATTTCCCCCCTGAATCTGCCACCATTGGCAGCCAACGCTTCCCAAAACCTCATCCAGGATCCCCCTTGCAGGAACTTACACACATGGCTCCTGTGCCTGCCAGGGCGGCCTGTGCTGTGCCGGACAGCTCCAGTGGTTTGGGCAGCTCTTCTTGAAGCAGGTCCAGCTGCAGAGGGGAGCTGCTCCGGGAGTTGCTGAAGAGCCTCTGGTGGGGCGGGTCCCCCGAGGATGCAGGCTGCTCTTCCTCGGCAGCAGACACTGGGGTGGAGGGGGGCGAAGGGTGCTCCATGGGGCCTGGCGCTGCCATGGGGAGAGCAGAAGGAGGGCCTGGGGGCATCACAGGGCAGGGGTAGGAAGCAGCAGAGGGGCAGGGGAAGAGCTGCGCAGGGAAGGAAGGCGGAGGGGCGAAAAGAGGCAGCGGTGGCGGCGGAGGATACGCTGGGAAATTCTGAAAGAGGACAGTCATGAAGCCGCCCATGTATGGAGCAGGGAATGCTGGGAGGGGCTGGATGCTGCAGGGCAGGTAAGGTGGTGTGGCTGGGGCTGCTGCAGTGGCAGAAGGCGGCAAGACAGAGCCTCCTCCCAGAGAGGCGACAGGGAAACCAGGCGTTGCTGCATAAGGATCGGCAGGGAGGGTGAAGCTCGGGGCCCCAGGGTGGGGTCCCTGGGAAGCATCCGCCTCCCAAGCACCACTCCTGCTGTCGGGGGAGCCCAGTGGTTTCTGGCGCTTGAACTTCCCCGGCTTGGTCTTCCTTTTCCAGCCCACTGGCCTGGTCTGCTTTGGAGAGACGTCGTCTGCAGAGGAAGAAGCCAAAGGCGGGGAAATTGTGAGGAGAGAGAGAGGCAGGCGGGAGCAGCATCCTTTGTTTAAGTGACCATTCAAGGAAGGGGTTAAGCCAAGAGCGCTTTTGCCATAGACAGTAGGAGAGGCGCAGAAGCAGCATCGGTTGCCAGTTGAGGATGGAAAGCAGGCAGTCGCACTGCCCATCCTGACACCTGCCTGACCCTAAGGCCCTCTCCCATCCCCCTCTCCTGCAGTCTTTCCCCCAGCAGGTGCTCCCCACCCAGGAGAAGAGAGTTGGAGCCCAACAGCAACTAGAGGGCAACAGTTTGGCTGCTCTGGCAAGGCAGCACCACTTTGTGGTTTCAGGTGCAGTCCTCTTGGCATACCCTCTTCTCTTGGGCCTTGCTCGGCTCTTGGGCCTGCAGAAGTCCTAGCTGGGAGTCTCTTTGCGCACCCCTGAACCGCTTCTCTCAAGGCGCTGTCAGGAGATGAATGCAGGAGCCTGGTCTGGCTCTTTGGGGGCCTCGTTCTGCCCTCAGCAAAACCTGACTGCAAGAAGCCTCCTCTTCTTGCCGCTGAAAGACCTTCATTCCCCCACCCGTACCCCCGACGCATTTCTTAGATATAAGGAGGGAAACTCTCTCACTTTCCAGCCTCCTCTGCCTCACTGCTGCTCGCTTCTCCTTCCCTTCCTCCCTTCTCAGAGACAGTCAATCCAAAAACTACCTTTCATTTTGCTCTCACAATAAAGACGCGTCTCTGGTGTGCCTCTGCTCCTCCCTTACGAGCGCAATCTGCAACCTAGGCTACAACTGCAACGTGGCACAGGCTGTATTCTTGGGTACAGCAGCAAGCAAGCTGGCTTCTAGCAGACTCATAGCACCCTGTTCCCTAGCCAAATAAGAGAGACCGCTCTAAGCCCTTAAGCTAAATTCTTCCCTAACACACACCATTCAAGAATATGGGGAGGGCTATTTCCCTGAACACAGAGAAGCAGGTTTCAGTGGCCTGTAGGGAGGAGAGCAAGAACACTATGGGGAGCTGCCACAGCTCTGCTTCCCTCACCATTGCTGCTCACTTGGTTCCTACCTTGGTCCTGGGAAGGAGGCTGGCTGCTCCTGGCCCCTCCGTGCTGGAGGTAGGCTGGCTGGTATGAGGACAGCAGGGCCCTCTGGCGGAAACGGTCCACATATTCCTGCTCCTTCTTTTGCGTGTGAGCCGACAAGACCTCTTTGGTCAGCCCCACTAGTCTGACTTCCTCCTGGGTGGCTCCAGCCCCAGCTGCGCTGGGCGTGGGGTTGGCCAGCGATGGCTCCACCTGCTCGCCTTGCAGAGTGGCTTCTTCGAGCGCCGTGGCTTCTGCGAGGGGTAGGAGGAGGACAGTCAGCCACACTTTCCCAAGGAGGCAGCCGACAACACTCGGGAACCTCCTTCTCTGCCACCCAAATATTCACCTAGATGTTGTGCAGGGCTACCGGAATGGATTATTCAGGCTGCAAAAGGGGGAGCCACATGCCACATGGACGGCAACTCAGATACCGTTTGATTGACAGCATCTGAATCAAAGTTATCCCGCCGAGAATCTGCTGCACAGGAATGATATGGGGAAAAAGAGGAGGAGGAAGTGGTGGTGGTGGAGGAGGAGAAGGCGTTTGGGGCTCTCAGCTGGTTGGGCACTGGGCCTCCCTCTTCTACTTAGGCCCAAATGTCTAGCCAGGCAAAGTAAGGAAGTCCAGAGGAACTGCTGTAAGTGTGCTCCCTGGAACAGAACTGGAAGGTCCCTACCTGAAATCAAGGTGACTGGTGCTCATTGCAATGGATGTCTCCTATAAACAGGAAGCAATTTGTCCCCCCCAATCACTGAGTGAGGTTCCTACACCGCTGCCGGAGGACAAGGACAGCATCCAGGGGCCATCCTCCCAAAGCCTTCGAGGAGGGCATGGCTCACTTGTTTGTGCTGAGACCCCAAGACGGGAGAGCAGAACAACCAGCCCTGCCTGGAGCCTCATCCATTCTAACCGGATGTGACTTATGCAGACAAACACCACTTGCTTGGGAGAGGAGGCGGGTGGGTAAGCAAAGGAGCTCGGAGGCTTGTGTGTTTTTCTCAGGAGAGGAGCAAGATCCGTCTGCCAACCTACCTGACTCCGGGTGTGGGAAGTGGACCAGGGTGCTGCTGTAGCTGCACTGGCTGGTTGCGGACACCACGCTCAATGCTTTGGCAGTCAGCGGCAGGTCAGTCATTGCAGTAGCACCGCCCACCACCCTCGCTGGGGCCTGCTGCTCTACATCGCCTTCCAGGTTGGGCGTCGCAGGTGGCTGGGAATCAACCAAGGGCAGCTCAGCAGCATCTAGTGGGAGAAAAATCATAGAACTGTCGAGTTGGAAGGGACCCCTGAGCTTCGTCTGGCCCAACCCCCTTGCAATGCAGGAATCTCAATGACAGCATCCAAGACAGATGGCCATCCAACCTCCGCTTAAAAACCTCAAAGCAAATGCTTTCAAAGATACAACGTAATAGAAGCACAGCCAAGAAAAGAAAAGCTGATCAACTTAAATGTGGGGCTTTCAAATGGGAAAAAAGAGTACCTGGGTAGGAAGTCATTTCCACAAAGCACATCAAGCACTGGAGCATATTGGCAGAAACAGCTATTAGCACAGCTACCACCAGGACCCACCAGCTGCCAGCAAACGGAAACCCCTTGAAACCTTCCTGTGCTCCCTCTCACCTTCCAAGATTTGCTTGTCATTCTGGCTTAGGTGAGCCTGCTTGTCGTCATCGGAGGACGAAGAGGATGCATTGGTAGAGGACTCGCACTTCCTTTTCAGGGCGGGACTGTTGCAACTCTCCAGGTATCTGCAATCAGGAGCCTGGCATGAGCATCTTCCTATTCTAAGTCCGTGAATATAAGCTGTTCACCCAGCCAATCAGAATGGGAGCGAAGGAGTAGGCAAGTTTCAAAGATCAGGATCAATCCAATCCTCTCTTTCATTGAATTTATGCAGGTATTCTCTTCGCCCCCCCCCCCCATGGTCCTCTGACACTTTAGAAAGTGGGGAAATTCTATCAAGCACTTCTGTGCTTAATACATTGGTCTGTTAGGGAAAACATAAAACACCACACTCAAACATACAAACAGAATGGTCTAATGATGCCAACAGGAGAGCAAACTGTGCCCCCCCCCCCCACCGTAAGGGCCAAGGGAGATCTAGCTGCTCAGCCCCACCCGCTGACCTCAAGGGTTTTTTTTGTGGGGGGAGATGCTGGTGCCTAGGATGATGCTGGGAATTGCCTGAATGTAATCTTGGTTCCATACAGACACCATATAATTTCTACCACACTACTAGAATTGAGCATGGTTTTATTTTGATAAACGTTTCTATTTACAGCCGTACCTTGGAAGTTGAACGGAATCTTTTCCGGAAGTCCATTCAACTTCCAAAACGTTCAAAAACCAAAGCAGCCAATCAGCAGCCGCGGAAGCCCTGTCAGACGTTCGGCTTCCAAAAATAGTTCGCAAACCGGAACAGTCACTTCTGGGTTTGTGGCATTCGGGAGCCAAAACGTTCGAGAGCTAAGCTGTTAGAAAACCAAGGTACGACTGTATTTATGTCTCCCCCTCCCCCAACCTGCTTTGGGAGCCCTGAGGCTGTAGAAAGGAAAGCTAAGTAGTCCAAAACAACAGAAAAAGGGGAAATAACATGATTCACCAGAGAAAGCAGCACAACCTTATTCCGAGTGCCTCCCAGACAGATCACTCTTTTCTTTTTACAATGAGGTAAAGAAACTGAATTTTGCTGGCATGAGAAATGCCTAGCATGGACTGATGAGGAAGTCAAGACTTCAGGAGCATCGACACCTGCTAAGACACCATGTTGTTATTACCTGATGATACTGTCCATACAGTTAATTTGCTGATAGGACAGGACGTGGTTGGTGCTTCTCAAAACATCACAAGATTCAGCTGGTAGGTCAATGAGAGTCGAAGGGGGAGCACCTGGCTTTTGGTCTAGAAAATTGGGAGAGGGGGGAGGGGGAAAGAGAACGTCCCTTACAATGGAGTGGGGCGGCCACCACCACTTGGCTACTTGCCCCTGGTCTCAATGTCATTCCCATTGGCTCCAGATTATAATGTTTGTTGTCCCCAAAGATCAATCTATCTTGGACCATTTTCCCCATCTTGGGGCAGGCACCCTCGACGATGCATCCCTTCCTCTCCCTTGTCGCCCCCATGAACTCACCTCCTGGCTGCTCTGCCCTGGGAGTCCCCTCTTGAGGCTTACTGTGAGATTCAATGTATAGCTGCTGACCCACATTCTTGAGTCTGTTGGCATCCACAAAGATCTGCTGTAAGGACATCTGGGGCAGGGGGGACAAAGGATGAATGAAGCAAAGGTAGCAATGTTGGTCCATAAGAGAAACCTCCCAGACCCACAGCTGGCCAATACTTTCATTAGGACCAAGCAAGCCATTGCAAAGGTGGGTGGGGATTTCAAGTTCTCTTCGGGCCTCTTCAACAGGCAAGATGTTACACAAAAGCAAGGGTGGGTGGGAAGGGAACAGTGGAACACAAACAGCAGTACAAAAAAAATGGCAGGATGCTGTAGCCATGGTCAGCTTGTAGACTCGGCCCCATTACCGGGTATATTTAATGGCAGAGGGCCTCTGTCTCTTTGACAAAGAGCAGTTTACAAATAATTTTAAAATTAAATAGAATAGAATACCCATTAACTCAAACCCCTCTAAATCCATTTCCTTCCTAAGCTTTCTTGCTGGTTAACAAGCAAGAGGCACTCCACCAAAACACTGTCCCCCTGCTGCTACCTGTACTGCAGGCAGGTTGTGAATGACCAGAGACTCACCAGTTCTCTCTGTATTTCCTCCGCACAGTTCCCATTGGAGTCACTGGAAGACGCCACACTGATGTAGTGCTCGTAAGATCCATTGCTAATAAGGCTTCCGTAACCGCTAGAACCGTTGCTATAAACAGGCTGGAAGTAAAGAAAAACAGAGGTCTTCCAAAACCTGGGAAGGGTTGCAGCAATCGTTCCTGTCAGCTGCATGCCTCTGGATCACACGAAGAGGAAAATGCCGACATGCACCCTGCCCCCACCCGACAGAAGGCGTCCCTGCTTGGAGCTGCATTCCCCTCCTTACTTGCAGAAGCAGCTTATAGATCTGTCCTTGGAGCTCCCAGATCTCCTTGTCAACCCTCTTCATCCCCTTGCTTCTTGCTGCAAAGACATCTTCATTCAGAGGGCTCCTGCAAAGGATGAATGGAAGCAGAGCGTCATCTTGACACTAGACGAGGGAAGGTCTGTATCACAAGATTACAGGAGTGAGTTATTCAAGGAAAGGGATTAGCTCTGCAGCCGAGTTCTTCTGGCTCCCCAGCTGGATAACGTTAAACAGACTGATGAAAGAGTAAACCCAGAGGGTTGTATCCAATGCTAGCCCTACTCAGAGTTGGCCCACTGTAGTGAATGAACATGATTAACTTAGGGTAGACCTGAGTAGTATGTAGCTGGATACCCAAAGAAATCTGTTCCTGCTGGGGGGAAAAGAAAAGGAAATAACTAGCCTTATCTGCTAATGGCACAAATTGAAAAAGAATTTTCAGAATATCTTAGAAACAAAACACTTTTCCAAGTAAGGAGCTCTCCTACACAAGGCCTGAATTAAAGTGGAGCTTGAGAAATGTCTGTGGCAGCCCAAGGAAGCCCAAACAGGCTAGAGCAGGGCTAAGAAATACCCTGGCAGCAAGCGGAGAGGCTCATGAGAAGACAGTATTTCAACAATGAACAATCTTCATACAAAACAGAAATTCTATGTCAATAATAGCTGGCATGGCATCCTTCCTTTTGCTGCAGCGAAGGCAAATTTTAACGAAGTGTCAGGATCCTGCCCAACCCAAACCCCACAAAAAGCTTTTCTGAGGAAGAAGCCTGGGGCCTTGCACCAAAGCCCAGCAGTCCTGAGGCAGCCTAAAGAGCTCCATCTCACAGATGCCTCACTTGAGCCCCCAATAGCCCCTCTGAGCCCCTCCCAAGCCCTGTCTGGATTCCTGATTCTTCACACTCGCCTTCCCCAGCCTCAGAAGTGAAGGAAGCAGCAGACTCAGTGAGAAGCTCAGAGTTGCTCGTCTGCTTCTCTGCCAGAAGGCTCCAGCACCAGGGTCTTCTTTGGAAGGGTCTACTAAGAATCAAAAGATCCAACTGCAAATGCCCAGCATGTCAGAAGTCTCCTCTGGGCGTCCTGTCTAGCTCCAGCCTCCAGGTACTGGCCACAAGTATTTCGCTAGCCAGAATCTTCCTACGTTTGGACTTTGTGGCTTATAAAACGATGCAAGTCAGATCTGCTCTGGCCATAGCAAAGGGGAGGTGCACATGCTTTACACACAGATGATCCCAAGCTCAACGCTTAGCATCTCAACAGGTCCTGGAGAGCAGAGAGCCAGAATAAACAGCAGTGCCTTAGCTCAGCACTCCTGGGAAATTGCTACTGCTGCACCATGCAAGATGCTGACTGCTCTGATAAATTGGCATCATCTTTATTTAAAGCCCTTGTAACATACCACATGCCTCACCATCTTTGTGTTGTATTCACGTCAGTCCTACTCAGAGGAGACCCATTTAAATGAACAGACCCAAGCTATCCACGGCCATTGATTTTAATGACTGTACTCTGAGTAGGACTAAACCCAAATTATTACAGTGGTGCCTCGCAAGACAAAATTAATTCGTTCCGTGAGTTTTTTCGTCTTGCGATTTTTTTCGTCTTGCGAAGCACAGTGTCGGGAAAGTTTTGGAAAAGCTTCAAAAATCACCAAAGTCTTCAAAAACCTCAAAAAAGGGGGGTGCTTGGGAGGGAGGGAGAGGCGGGCGCGGGGCGTGGGGGAGGCAGGGCGGAGGTTGTTGCCTGAGCCCCCGGGATCGGTTCGGCTCGCCTTGCTCCGACCCTTTGCACTACAGTCGGCGCCGTCTTGCTGCTGCTGCTGCTGTCGCCGCGGTAGTCAAAACTCCTACCGGCCTAAAAGTTGTCTTGTGCAAAATCCCTTCTGCAGCAGCAGCCTGAAAGAAAGCGAGAGCGCCAGCCAGCCAGCCGCCCACCGCGGGCAGGAGGGAGGGAGGGAGCGTCGGCGACGGTGGATGCCTATTGCCCCTGTTGCTGCTGCAGCCGGCCAGCCAGCCAGAAGCGCGCGAGCGGGGAGGGGCGCATCCAGCCCGTTGGAGAGGAGCGCGGGGGCGCGTCCCCGGTGGCTCCCGAGCTGACTTTGCCTGGCCCGGCACCTTCCGCGCTGCCAAGGAGAACACACACTCGCGCGCACACACACACCAAGAGGCAAACTTGCCGCAGCCTTCGACGTCGCGGGGTTGGAAAGCGCGGAGATGCAGGTAGGGGGCGCCCCTCGCAGGGCGAGCGCCGGAGGGCCCGGGCAGGCGCTCTTGTCACCGCCGGGGCGCTGGGGGGGGGGGAGAAGGAAGGAGCCCCGTCCGAAGAGCACCGGAGCCTGGCCTCCCTAACTGGGAGTTGTGGGGAGGGAAGTGTGCGTGCCTTGCTATTTTTCGCCGAAACAAAGCTCCCTCTCCCTCAGAACCCGCCTTCACGCGTTCTTGCCCCTACGGAGACGCACACCGCGTGCTATGAGTTGCTCCTCGAAGTCAAGTCGCAACTGTATTAACGGTTTTAAGAAAAAGGAAACAAACTTGCAAGACGTTTCTGTCTTGCGAAGCAAGCCCATAGGGAAAATCGTCTTGTGAAGCAACTCAAAAACGGAAAACCCTTTCGTCTTGCGAGTTTTCCGTCTTGCGAGGCATTCGTCTTGCGAGGTACCACTATACACCAGTTCTACAGGCTCACACACACAGGATCACAGGATCAATCCAATCTGAATTCTCCTTATTGGCTCTGGGTGTCAAGGGAAAGAGGACAAACCCCAAACACGCTGGCTTCAAGAGGCTTACGTTCTGACTTTGTGCCGCCCAATGATGAAGACGACCTTCCGGCTCCATGGATTCACAAAACTGGACCAGCTGGTATCCAGGATGACGTAGTCCCCGTTCTGAGTACAGAATCGGATGGGCGAGTGCTCGAAGGGAGGGCGGCCCGCAAACTTCAGAACTGAGTAAAAGCCAGAGACAAAGACAAGGCTGGATTGACAACAGCCAATGGAAGCACACAAAGGCCTGCCTACACCTAGTGGAACTAGCTTAATGCAAAGTTCTATCATTCTTCTCGGCCAGAAGGAGAGAGGTTATGGGGGGGGGCACCAGTGGTAGAGTGTCTGCTTTGCATGTAGGACATCCCAAGTTCAATCCTCAGCATCTGGCATCTTGGATAACTCAGTTGGATAGGATAGAGCATGGTACTGATAAAGCCAAGGTTGCAGGTTCAATCCCTATATGGGACAGCTGCCTATTCCTGCATTGCAGAGGGTTGGATTTATGATCCTCAGGGTCCCTTCCAACTCTGATTCTATGACTTCCAGGTAGGGTTGGGAGAGACTCTTGCCCGAAATCCTGGAGAACTGTTGCTGGTCAGTGAACACAATACAGGTGTCTCCCCACTTACACGTGTTCTACTCATGTGTGACCAGGAGATAATTAAATCAATTTAAACTGCAAAAAGGGCAAAAACAGCCCATAAAGAGCAGGAAATTTCAAAATGGCATGAAAAGAGCAGTAAAACGGTTAGCAATCGCAGGAGCCTTTGCAACTGCAATCCCATGAGCCTTTGGTATGGGTTCTATGGCATGAATGAAGAGGTTAAGAAACAAATTGAAATAAAATCCAGAATGGGTTGAAGTTAATAAACATGCAGAACAAATGGTCCCCAAAATAGTCCCTTAGATGAGGAAGTGGCTACCCCTAAAGGCACTACACCATGGAAGTGGAAGCCTCCACTTCTGGGGAGAGAGCATGCGTGCAAAGGCCTCATTGCTCCAAAACAGCATCACCCTCTTCCCTGCATGCAGCTCGTCTGACCATGGAATGGGAGCTGAGCAGGGAAAAACCTGCTCCCTTCCTCTTGTGACACTGAGGACACTCCCTCCACCCACATCAGGTCCAAAGGCAGATGAGAGACTGAAACTTACCTTTACGATGAATGGCTACCATGATGGGTCGATCGTCTGGGTGAAGGTACTGCAAGATGGACGTCCCAAGCAAATCCTGGGGCAGGTATCCCAACAGAGGCACCGCCCTGAAATCGAGCAATGCAGTGGCCAATTGACAAAAGCACAGTGCAAACACCAGCCTTGTAAGGGAGCCTTTTGTGACATAGAAACTGAGGTTGGGGGGGGGCTTTTAAACATCAAGAAAATGGCACTATTAAGCACATGTTGGCTATGATCTCAGTCAACAACCCAGAAAGGCCATTCCCATCACCACTAATTCATGAATGGTTCCACCCTGGGAGGGCTGCATTTTTTCAGCTGTTCATTGAACCTTTCATGAGTTCAGGGTGTTTTCAAAAGCCTTCAGGAGACAGCTCGTTGGTTACTATTAGGAGAAGACAAAGCAATACACCCATTGTGTGGGGAACATCTGTGCCCTCCAGGTGTTGCTAGACTCCAACTCCCATTGCCACATCGGACCCCTGGCCATGCTGCCTGCCGGGACAGTTCACAGATGGAGTCCAACAAGCTCTGGAGGGCCACAGAGGGGCGCACCCCATGCCTGCAACAGACAACGCATCAGCCCCTAATGGCATTTCTCTCTGGCATTGCCAGCAATAAAAGTCGTCACCTGTCATCCACCTCCAGAAAGAGACAGCCTGGGGTGTGAGTGGTAGTGAAGATCCTCTTTTCTACAGGAATTCGAGGAGCTAACAATTTAAAAGAAAGAAACACAAAGTATCACTGAGAGCTCAAGATCCACTTAGAGGTTCATGTGAACCCAAACAACTTTCCTTTCTGACAGTAGACCCACAACACTCAACACTTTCAGGAACTCTCTCTTTGGGTTTCAGGAGCCTTTCCTTATCAAAAGAGGCTGAGGAAAGAGACACTGTTCCATCTAGAACCTCCCTTCATTAACAAAATTAGATCACAGTAATGGCATTTTTATCCAGGGTTAGTGCCTTTCAGAGCAGACCCACTGCAGTTAACGGATATGACTAACTCAGGTGGTATTAATTTCAGTGGGTCTACTTGGCTACAGTCCGTATTCCGTTGCATGCTGACCAGGAAGTTGGAATGTTCTGTCAAACTGGCTCACACACAAGAATTGAAAGCATCCGCTTTGTCTATATCCCGACACATCCATGAGACACACACAGCCCATTTAACAGGGATGTTGGGTGCAATCCAGTCCCAAAGTTAATCCCCAGAAGAAGATGGGATGGAAACATAACAGGATCTAGCATGATACACTTGGGTTTTAGCCCAGCCAATTTTAACTGGAGTTCCCCTTTTCTTGCCTTCATAGCCAGAATGGATTTTTTCAGCGAGAGCCAAGCAACAAGACATCGGCCCACTGGGGTCAGAGACGGAGAAGTTGATCAAATAAGGGGTCATCCGGAATGGGTAGTAGTGCTTCTCTCGGTCCTGACCTTTGCCTCCCCTGCAAACAAAATAACAGAAAACCATTGATTTGTCAGCTACAGGTGAAGTTTACTCCAAATGGCAAGGGATTGTCTAGGTTTCTGGCTAGAAGGAAGAGGAAGCTGCTGTTCTGTTAATTCACTCTGATGCTTGATTCCTTTGTCTCTTCTGAAGAGCAGCATTTTAGCATCAAAGTGTTATAACAGTAGGAACAGTCTACAGCAAAACACTTCCTTTTAGTAAGAAACTGGATCACCTTGTAGTCACAGATTCTACTCCGTACTACCAAGGGCGGGGGGGGGGGGGAGAGAAGGACTATTTCCAGTTAATCTCATAAAATGAAGCAGGGTGGTAATAGGAAGAAATGTCACCACTATCATCCTAAAATGTTTGGGCATCAACATGCACAAAGAAAAGTTGTGGTGAAAATAGCTTGTAACATCGCTCTTCTTGCCATAACCCTGCATAATACTCACCTTAGTCTGCAGAAAAAGGACTTCACTTGTGCATATTCATAAAGTGAATCTGTAAGGGCAAAAATACATGAAGAGACCAACATTTGTTTATTAATTCTCCTTGTTTTCAGCATGCTCATCTTAGTGCCCTCTCACCCCCAGGACCTACTTCAAAAACTAAGATTGCCTTTTTGCCCACCAAGACCAGAAAAGATGGGAGTTGAAGTATATTTCACTCTAGCAGGCTTAGTTTGGTTAGAACTGAGTATATACTGTATTTTTTGCTCCATAAGACGCACTTTTTTCCTCTTAAAAACTAAGGTGAAATGTCTGTGCATCTTATGGAGCGAATGTGTTGTCCCTGGGGCTGGGAGGGGGGGGGACCCGGGCTTCCCCCGCCCCCAGCCCCGCCAGCTCCGGGAGTGGAGGCAAGGCTGCGTGCAACCTTGCCGCCACTCCTGGACCTGTTCTGGGGGCTGGGGGAAGCTCGGGCTTCCCCCGCCCCAGCCCCGCGGCTAAAAAGGAAGCCAAGACAGCGAGCGGGATCCATCCCGCTCGCTGTCTTGGCTTCTGCGAAAGCCACGCGCAGCCTCTCCCGGCTGCAGAGGTTGCGCGCGGCTAAAGAGGAAGCCAAGACAGCCAGCGGGATGGATCCGGGCTTCCCCCGCAGCCCCGAGAAGCTCTGGGGCTGGGGGGGGGGGGAATAATATTTTTTTTCTTGATTTCCCCCTCTAAAAACTAGGTGCGTCTTGAGGTCCGGTGCATCCTATAGAGGGAAAAATACAGTACTTCTAGAGTTAATGCTAAATACATTCCTTCTGGTAAATGAGTCACCATAGCTGCTAGAGGGCTGTGAAAATTTGTGCCTCAGACTTTTTAGACTCGTCTACCCATGTACTATCTGAAACCAAAGAGCTGCATTAGTTGCCAAATGTGAAATATATTAGCGTTATTTTCAGCTCTCCTATGCCACTAAAAGCTCACGCTCAGCTCCTGTTCCATGGTCAGATGAGCTGCATGCAAAGAAGACCAACTACGTCTTTGTGCCCTTGACCTGCCCACCCTTCCGCCCTCAGCCCATTTCTCCCAGGATTAGTCTCTGAACTTTCAGTGCTGCGAGAGCGTGCACAAGTTTTTAATGACATTATCTGTCCCCAACCCCACAGGCCAACTATGATAGGTGAGCGAGTTAAGTACCAGATGTCCTGTCAGATGACAGACAGACAGGATGTCATGTCCACCTGTCAAAGGCCTTCCCAACCACCCAGCAGCCAGCTGGTGAGGAACATCAGGAATCAGCTCCATTATCAAGTTCCAGGAGCGGAACTCAAGTCAGTTGCCTGGCCCGGTGGGTAAACTCAGTGCCCTTCAGCCGATGCTTTCTGCAGGGACTGGCTGAACAATCAAATGCCCTGTGAGGAACTTGGCTGCACAGCCAACTCAGTCACATCTCTACCTGTCCCATACAGATGTCACAGGTGACATCAGGTGTGTGGAAGCTGAAACAGCCCCGCAAAAATTGGGACACATGTCGGGTCAAATCTGGCCTGCAGATTGGAGTGTTCCCCCCTCCCCCCCATTGGGTTAGGTAGTGACTATGTCCTACAATATTGTAATAGCAACACAAGAATTACTGGTAAACCAGTTAATTTTCTGTGTTTATCTGATGCACAATATTTACAACTCATTCAAGTGTTTTGCATTTTATACAACCTTGCACATAACATGAAATTTCCCCGGGCAGGGCAAATCACCTTTTGGGGCCTCCGTGTTCCAAAGTGGCAGGTGAGCCCGGTTGGTGTGCGTGTAGAAGACGCCCACATCCTGGGGAGCCAACAGCTCTGCAAAGCGGCAGGACTCCAAGCATTTCCTTTTGCAATTCAGGACAGAGGCGGCTTGCTCAGAGACATGCACAGTCCGCCCGGAGAGCAATGAAAAGATGGCTACAAAGGTATCCTGGAGGAAAAGAAGCACAATCCTCAAGCACAGCCAGAACAGCAGGAGCCACTTGGCAAGCCAACAAGATCACAGAGAGACACAGGTGTTCAGTTTTCACGTTACAAATTGGGATCCAGTTGCCACCTGCCGCTTCTCAGCTACATGGTATGTCCTTACACCAGAAGCAAGGGCCCTTAAGGTCCAAGGGTCAAATGTGCCCTCCGTGCCTCCCTCTCTCGGGATTCTCCTCAAGCCCTGCTCCTCTACCAGCAGCCCCACTCCATGCCCTCCACCAAGTGCTTCTTGCCTAGAGGAATGAGTCCTGAGGTTTGAGAAGATTTCCTGCTTGCCTAGGTGGAGGATGGAGATGGAGATATGTTTAAGAAATTCTCTGGTTGAAATGTAGCCAGCTGTTCAAAGCTAAGGGACACATCTCTTGCTCTGCCTTGCTTTCAGCTTCTGGCCCCACCTACTAGGGAATGTGGCCTTGCTTCATCTAAAAGGTTCCCCCCCCCACACACCTGATTCAGGATGGAGATAGGTTACTGACATCAACACAGAACTCTAGCGGCCTTGTGTTTTCCAGAGGCTGAGAAACAAAAGTGTCCCAGGGACCTGCACACAGACAGATCCACCACTTCCTGCTCACTGCTTTTATCACTCATTAGCACTTCTTGGGAGGTCTCTGTCATCCCTTCTCTAAGAGTGAAGCAGAGATGCTTTACAGCGAAGGAAGACAACAGCCATTTTGTGGTGGTTACGTTTTATGAAGCATCTTTGAGCTGCTGCTAACTCTTTGACCAGTACACCTAAAATGAGCAAAGAGCCCCAATTAGCATTCGGGTCACTTACTGTGTTTTTGGGGGCGTGCTCAGACATGATGGCTGCCAGCTCTTCCACTCCATACACAGGGGCATTGGTCTGATGTGCTCCATGCTTACCAAAAGCCTTAGAAACTTTGTTGTCAGCTGGTGAGAAGGCAAGGGAAGCAAGAGGCAGAGGGGATAAATCAGCAATGAGCAGGTGGCAAATTTGGGTATTTCTTACGTAACCCTGCTTGTAAAATGACCATGCCAGATTCAAGATCCCTTTCTAAGGAAGAATTCAAAGTCATGCCGTCACTGAACACCACGAGCGGCCAGTGGCCCCTTCCTGAAAGCCCAACATATTCTGTGTGCCCTCTCATAGTCCCTGCCTTGGCAGGTGCACTCTCCTGGGTTACACTGCTTGCTCATGTGAGAGAGCACAAGAGAGATGGAACCCAGGAAACTGCCATTACATGTGCCACCCTTCAGCACCCTCCAGAACACTGGACTCAATCCCCAGCATCATACAGCCATGCCAATGGATGGGAGTTGGGGCACAGGCCGACACATGCAGTGTGGGATTTCTTCAAATGCACCCACGTACCTTGGATCTGCTGGACACACTTGAGAGCGTAGTTCAGGGCACAGAGGGTGCTGGCCTTGCTGCAACTCTCCACCTGCTCTGCAGGGAGATATTGTTTCATTTCCTGGATCAGCAGCTTCAGCTTTCTATTATTACTTTGGTTCCAACAAAGCAGCTCACTGCAGATGAATACAAAAAAAAACGCACAACAGCACATTTGAGAAAGAAGGGCCTTTCTTAGGTGATATCTGCTTTGGGTGGGGAGAAGCTGAAAGCCATGTTTGCTCCAGCACAAAGAAAGGTTGCTCCTTGTGCTGTAAAGAAGGACCTGGAGCTCTGTCATCTAACAGGACCAACATGTGGGCAAGGCTGGCGCATGGAACCCTATTTGTTTATGGCACTTTGCACATTCCAGGCTCTACATTTCTTGTCACGAGCCTCATAAACACTTCAGACTGCCTGGCCCTCAGCTAAAATACCTGAGAGCACTGAAGCATGCCTTTAAAAGCCATTATGGCCCAAGATAATAGCACCCTCTATATGGACTCCTATGCCCCCTCTTTGAACCCTGCTCCATATCCCACTTTCCAAGAGGCATGGCTAGGAGCATAGCCTTTTCTGCAATTGCCTCCAGAGCTGTAGAATGGCCTCTCTAGGAAGGCCAGGAACAATTCTTTCTTTCCCTGGGGTTTTTAATTTAAAAAAAGTATGTATTCTGGTGGCTTTTGAAGTCTCCTGTGGTTTAATTTACTTACTTGCTGTGCCTCACTATTGTGGTTTTAAATTTTTATTGCAACTCCCCCCCCCAATGCCAATCATATGCACAATTGCGGGAAGTCTGCTGTTGCATGAAAGGATCTGTGGATTAAGGGATTAACCCACTTTTAGTCCAAGGCAACTGGCAGGCACCAGGCTGGCCAAGGCTGCATTAACCCAGTACTGCCTTTAGAAGGGCATTTCTGCTCTGCGTGGAGGAAATCAGCTGGCAACTCTTTCTTATTTCACTCCTGCCAAATCTGGTTAATATGATGGGAATGCCTTCATCCCAAAGCAAGCACTACATGGATCAGTGAAGGTTACCCGATTTGGGGGGGTGGTACTGAGCCCACCCAATTCTTGGATGGTGGAGATGAAAGGAGGATGGAGTTACCTGCTCCTCCCTGGAACTTTGCATCCATTCATCCCCCAAGTGTCACTCTGTGACCACAATTTACTGGTCTATACTTGAATACCTCCAAATGTGCCCCATATATATGGTGCTTGGCTCCTAAATTCAGACCCAGCAGTTCCAGCAGCTCCTGGTTTCAACCATGGCACATTACAAGTGCCAACTTTAGAATCAGAATGTGGTCAAGCTTTTCACCAAACTGGCAAAAAGTGTTACCTGCTGCTGCTGCTACCACTGCCACCTACAGATCTGTCCTGCCCATCAGGATTTCTGGCCAAGCTGCCATTTGATTCAAGGCAGTGAGTGCTGGTCCCGATGGACTCATTTCCAATGGAGCTGCTTTCTGTACTTCCACCACAACGTATCTGTGCGGCGGCTTCTTCGCAGGTACCATTCTGCTCAAGAGTATCGCCTTCCCGGTTCTCAATTTCGGCCAAGTTGGCCGGCAACCAGTTTTCCTGCTGGTCCAAGAAGTCATCCTGGAGCAGGTCCTCATTCATAGTGAGCGGACAAAGGGCTACAGTAAGGAGGCTTCTATTGCCATGGCCTGGTCCACTGTCAAATTCAAGTTCTCCTTTCTAAGCCACCTTGAAAACTGCATGAATCTGGCATTAGCAATCGCCCCCTTTTCATTTTACTGTTGAAAACAACGTGTTCATGTGACACCTCTGGATGGGCACAGTGTCCAGAATCACTGCATCCTCTCCATCTGAAGATGACCCAATGGCCCCAGATTTTTGTGGGGAGTTAGCTTCAGACAGCTCTCCCGACTGAGAGCTGCAGAAGCCTTTGGTTTCAACGACTCCATCTCCCCTTCGCTTTCATCCTGCAGCGCCTTCATCCTGGTAAAACAAAAGCCAAGTGGAGGGAGAGTGAGAGAGAGAAAGACAAGCTAATGATGATGAACATCTCCACTAAGAGAGAAGAATAGCCCATAACCAGATGAGGATGGTGCATCTTACTCCTTTTGAAATGTCTCAGCACTGAAGCCAGACTGCTGCATTTCCATAACCACATTTGGGTCCATCAGAAGACCTGATTACCACTGCAGCCATGGGAGGGAGACGCCCAGCACCCTGACACATAATTGTCCCCATATTTCAAGCACTCCTGGAGGCTCCTCCTGAGATATGGAACTTTGACTGTGCTCACTGCACAATTACAGGAGGGAAAAGAACACCCAAAGAGAGATTTTGCTTTGGTGGATTTCAGCAAACTTGCTTTTTTCGAATATATCTTTGTGGTGAATAGCTGGCTGACCCCACACACAGAACCATCCCCGGTGTGTCACACAAGAGCAGGCAGAGCTTGGTTCTCAGTGCTTCAGCCAAGTCACTGCTGCTGCTCCACCACACACTTGCAGGCGGTTCACCAATACTTGGTGAACAGAAACTGGAGTCAACCTGCTGAAAGGCTGCAGGCAACAGACTCCCTTTCTAATTAAATTGAGGGGTGTTGCCACCTTGCTAGGCAGCCTCCTCAAGAAAAATGCATCAAAAGCCAAAGAAAAAGTAAGCGTCTTGATGATCATGTGTATCTAAGCTAGAACTCCTGAACAGCACAACTTGAAAGGTATTCTTCAACAAAGAAAAGACGAGTTTACAGTAAGGACAATAAATTCTGCTATAACCGAATGTAAAGGTACCATAAAAGGCTTTTTCAAATAGACCGTCCGAGTTAATACACCACATGCTAAAAAAATCTGGGCAAAAAAACATGAAGTACAATCCTCAGCATGTTTACTGAAAAGAGAACTTTTGAAACTGCCACAGATTCCACTGCAAGTTCTGTTCACAACAGCTCCCAGGACACTCCAGGAGACACTGCCTTGAGTCTCATGCTCCTCTCCATTATTACATAATGCTTGTTAACACCCAACCTGAAATTCTTCTTATTGACTCATGGCTTGCTTGCCAAACCCAAGCAGAGGGACGTGATGTGCAAGAGTCCCAGCTTCACATTGTTTGCAGCTTTATCTGGGGACCAACAAAACAGTACTTGTGGAAGAAAGAAATAAAATTCAAACAAAAAACAAAAACAGGACCATGTCATGTTTTAAATGGTCTGGTGAAAGTGCCTTTTGGCTGAGCTGCTTCCTCGGGTCACAACAATGACTGTTTACGGCGGGGAGCCTGTTGCTGCTGGATTTTGGCTCCCACCAGCCCCAGAAGCCAGGATGGTTGAAAATAGGAGCTGCAGGCTTGAAACGTTTGGAGGGGCACAGATGCCCCACCCCTGGTTGAAGAAAACGAGCTCAGGGGGATATTCTTGGACTTGAGACTCTCCCCGCCCCCACCCAAAGTGCAGTTCAGAGAGTGAAAGCCTCCAAGGGAAGTGTGGAGGGAAGGAATCCACACCTTATTACAGGAGTATAACCAAAGCAGGAGATTCAATCTGCAGATAAGTGCATAGGTATGGAGATGACCCCTCCATTGTGCAAAGTTGGACCACAAAATGGTCTCAAAAACCCAGGTATTGCTGGGCTACAACTCCCACCCAACCTGACCATCAGCCACGCTGTCTGGAGCTGGAGGCGAACAATACATACTTGGCAGGGCCAGTCACTCCCTACCACTGTTCTAAAATGCTGTACAACGCTAACCATTGGGCATTAACTTCTGCAACACAGAAGCAACACAAAAAAGTAAGGGTAGCTGTGGTGGCTGTTAAGGGAAAAACAAACCTGCAAGTCCTCCATAGGGCATGACCTTTATTTGGGCAACCAAAATATCACAAAATAATACACAAGCTTTTTGAGTGCTCCAGAACTCATCACCAAGTGAGATGGTAGACGGAGCTCCTCAGGGCTTCTCCCAGGCTGCAAGTTGGCCCACAGGGAGGCACGCCAATCAGGACCGACTTGCCAAGTGCCACCATGAATTCCTACGAATTACTTCCAGGGCATTTTTTCACTTGCTTATATAACACTAGATGAAGCAATGGAAGAGTGAAAATGATTTGCTAATTGTTAGTCTGGTACAGGACCATAAACACCAGCAGCTCCACTGTCCAACTCCAGCGGATTGTAATGTTTTGTCAAAACCCCAAAGTCCATACTGTGCAACAAGCTTCTTATTTTCCTATAACAGGGTGGGCTTCCTCTTGGGAGGCAGGATTAATAATTTTTTCAAAGCCAGTGCAACAGAGGAAAAGCAAGCTTGAAAAGCACTCTCAGAAATGCTTGCAGGCAGTGATGTCACAAAAGACGAGCAATCAACTCTAAGCAAGAAAATAATAAATCCAAGCTGAATTGGGAGGGGGAGAAAAACACTGCACAATAGATCTTTTCTGGCAATAGTCCTGAACAGGGTAACACAACTTGCATAGAAGTTTTACACAAGATCTGCCCGCAAGGGATCTTGTGCACTCCACATCTTATTAAAAGGAGACTCTTAAATGAGGAGGGGCAGGAGGAGAGGTTTTTAAGTTTTCCCCTAAACATGCCTGAAAGTCTCATCAGGGAAGGTTGGGGGTTGAGTGGCACCTAGTAACATTGGGGGCATGAAGATCTGAATGAGGCTAGCATGAACAGAAGTGGGGGGAAAACAGGGCAGTGTGCCCCAGACATCTCTCTCTCTCTCTCTCTCTCTCTGTGTGTGTGTCTTAAAATGGAGGAAATGGAAATAGTGTTTAACTGACAAGTGCTGAAGCAAAGTTTTGTGAGGAACCTACTCATAACTACCTGCACAACTACTCAGGTCCCCTGGCTAACTGAACAGAAAGCAAATGAGCCACATTCCTGAATAATCTTAAATTATGGGTGAAGTGGAATTCCATTCCCACAATAGTCTGACATGGTAGCTAAGACCAAGCAAATTAGGCCTACAGATTTTTACTTCCTGAACTTTCTGGTGCTCTAGATTAGATGATGCAGAGACCATTGCTTAGTTTCAAAAAATGTTTTTGCAGCCAACTGTCTAAATCTCTCCCTGCTGCCCCAGAATTAATCTGAAACACATGTCTTCTTGCGACAGGTGAAGACCATACCTGTAAAGAACTGTTAAAGATGAAGGGAACAAAGAGTGTGTGCACGCGTACGTATATACCAAAATATTTAGTGGACATCCCCACAGCAGGAAAAAGATCTTTCTTTAAACAGCGGGCCCTATCCCAATGATCCCTATAGCTTAGCCCAATACTAATTATTATTGTATATTATTATGTTTATTTATTTATACTCCACCTTTTCCCCTGACAGGGACTATAAGTGGCTTATGGATAAAAATAAGAGCACAGTAAAACAACAAAAAACTGGAAAACAACTAATCATTGATAGAAATCAAACTATATATACACAAGGTATCACCCCCCCCCCGCCCCATCCTTGTGTCACCCTGTTCTCAATAGCCACCACTACAGTACGATTTGGTGGAGGAACAGATACAATGCTGCAAATCATGGAGAGGCAAAAGGAAACACAGCAAAAATGCTTATTATCATTCCTGGGAAGTGGGCTGGGGGGAGAGAAAGAGGTGGAGACCTGGGAGGAGTTCTATACTTTTGATTGCAATGTTTAAACAATGGGCGCATCTTTTCACCACCACCGCAAGGCACCGAGAGGCTGCTGTGCTGGTCTCTCCCAGCCCATTTCCCCGCCCCGCCCCCCTTGAGGTTTGGAGGCTTTTAACGCAACCGAGCAGCAGAAAACGACTCCAGGCGAAGTTTCACCCCGTCCTAGAGAAAGCAAAGCAGCTCCCCCCCCCCAAAAAAAAACCCACAGGGAAAAAAAACCACAGAAGCAAAACAGATTTCTCCTGCTCCCTATCATGGAGGGTCGGGGCTCTGGGAGTAAACGCAATCTTCAGACACACGATTGGGAAGAGAGAGCAAAAGCCAGGCAAGGAGAGAGACCTCAAGACAAAGGGGGGCCACGGCCACAGGGAGCTTCAACCGGAGCGGAGAAATATTTGACTGCGATCCTTACGGCAAACCCGCCCTTTTATCTGTCCTAGAGTTGGAAGGGACCCCAGGGTCATCTAGTCCAACCCCCTATAATGCAGGCGGGGCTCGAACCCACGACCCTGATATTAATAGACCCTCCCTGCGCTACCGACTGAGCTGAATTGAAGTGCGTGTCTTTTAGGTGATTCCTCCTCAAAACAAACACCAACTGGCAACTCTTTACCTTTACTCCTCCCCGCTCCCCCACAAAAAGGACCGCGTCCAGCCAAGTTGCTAGTCTTCAGGACGCACGTGGTGGCGGGGGGCAACCCGGCTCTGGGCGCCCCACTTCACCCATTCACTCACCCGCCATCAGCACCGACCTTCGCCTCCGCTCGCTCTTTTCCCTCACACTTTACACACATCCGCGCAACGTGACAGGAGCCCCGCCCCCAAGGCCCGTAGGCGGGCGCGCCATCCGCATGAGCGTTCTGATTGGACCGGGCCGCGGAGGGGCGGGGCCGAAAGGGCGGGGCTTTAAAGAGGGCCGGAGTTGCTATTGGTAGCGAGAGGGAGGAGCCCGCGGGAAGTCGCGCTTCCATGCCGCGTGCCTGAGGAGGGTGTCACGCCCACCGCCGCCTGCTCTTGGAACGAGGGGAGCCGAAAAGGGAGTTCTACGTGTGGTGTGCACACGCGCACTCACTCCTCTCCCGCGCGCATGCTCGGGAGCGAACGGTGGTTAAGCGGGTGGGATGGAGGCGGCTGCCCTTAGCTGCGCATGCTCAGCAACGGCCGCTTCGCCGTAAACATGTTTGCGAGGCGCGCCCAGCTGCTTCCTGCAATCTTCCTCGCAAGCGTGTCCTCTCGGGAGGGAAGCGGCTGTTCCTAAAGATCTTCTGCCCAGGCGGCTTTGGCTGCCCGTTGCCAATCTCTGTCGGTCTCCAAGGTCGCCTGGAAAACTCACGAGCCTGGAAAGGCGATTAAAAACAAAAAAATAAAAATTTCAAAAGTTCTGGTCCCAAGTTCAGCATTTCCAAAAAGGGAGCTGGTTCCACTTCGCAGTTTCCTCCTTTTACAAGACAAAACTTTTTTTAAATAATGTTTAATAGTTTTCAATTACAATCCAATAATAGCCCCATTATAACAATACCAAATTAGAAAACAATTACGAATACCAATCGTTCAAATTCCAAGTTACATATTTTAAGTGCCCCCCCATGTGGTAAAATTGATTGTTTGGTGATTTTCTTTATTTCTGCGTTCCAAAATCTTATTTCAATTACATTCCAGGGAACTATTTTGAGGTTGCGGTTCAGATATTCTTCAACTAATTCAGTGAACTTCACAAAACTAGTTCGCTCCAAGCTCTGAAAGTGTCTTACTGTCGTGGGCTTGCAAATGCCAGGATGTTTGCATTATCAACCTATCTGGACTGCTGTGTCCTGTTTTGCGACAGAATATGCAACGTCTTTTTTCCTGCCTCTTATTTTCATCTGACTTCCCCGTTTCCTGCCACCCCCCTGCCTCCATCAAACACTGATGCACACACTTTTGCCAATCCTGTTTGCAGCCCTTCATTCATCTGGTCAAGGGGGCTGCAGCCCACAGAAGCGCTTCTGCCAGCCTTGCCACTACATGGACCCCCTTCGGATGTTTTAAGCTCTCAGCTGCCATCCCATCAGGGCACTGTGCTTGGCTTGCATCTAAAACTCCTGGAGGGCACCATTTGGGGGGATGAAGGGAAGGCAGGCCTAGGCCCCGAATGGAGAAAGTGGCTGTGGCCCCTCAGCTGCTGCCACATTTCCAGCTCCCAGCCTGCTTAATGGTCAGGGGTGGCAGTGGGCAACATCTGAAGGGTGACAGGTGCCACACCAGTCCTTCTAGGGGTGAGAGGAGACCAGACAGTGCCTCCTATCCACTGGTAGGCTGCTGTGAAAGTGGCATGGGGGTGCTGCCAAGGAGGCAGAAGATCTGGCCTCCAAGGAGCACCGTACAACTGTTGCTATCGCTGCAGCAGCATGCAATGTCTTTCTTGGAGGCCAGATCTTTTTTTTTTTTTAAATGATATTTATTATAAGTTTAAAGATTACAAAAAAAGAGAAGAGGAAAATAATAAAAAAATTAACAGAACATACATTACAATAAATAAAAAGAGAGACATAAAAAAACAATACAACAAAAAAAGAAAACAAAAACAAAAACACTAAAACATATCCAGTATTCCATATCTTTACCTTTCATTTACTTGTTTCATCGACCTCCTCACACCTCCCTTTTTTGTATTCTAGTTCAATTCACTATTTCAGCAAATTCTTTCCATCTTTCTCAATTTTTGTTCTATAATTTATCTTAACGGTCTAACCTTAAATTTTTTCATTTTAGCCCATTATCAATCAGCTTTTACTTAATTCTTTATTACATTTCTGCTAAAACCATATAGCTTCATTCCAGCATCCTTCTAACATTCATTAATTTTGCAATGTTTTTGTAAATATACTTTAATTTTTTTCCAATCTTCTTCCACCAACTCTTCTCCCTGGTCTCGTATTCTGCCAGTCATTTCCGCCAGTTCCATGTAGTCCATCAGCTTCATCTGCCATTCTTCCCTGGTAGGTAGATCTTGTGTCTCCCAATACTTTGCGATAAGTATTCTTGCTGCTGTTGTGGCGTACATAAAAAAAATCCTATCTTTCCTTGGCACCAATTGGCCAACCATGCCCAGGAGAAAGGCCTCTGGTTTCTTCAGGGAAGGTATATTTAAATACCTTTTTCATTTCATTATAGATCATCTCCCAGAATGCCTTAATCTTTGGGCATGTCCACCAAAGGTGAAAGAATGTGCCTTCAGTTTCATTACATTTCCAACATTTGTTATCGGGCAAATGATAGATTTTTGCAAGCTTGACTGGTGTTATGTACCACCTATAGATCATTTTCATTAAATTCTCTTTTAGGGCATTACATGCCGTATACTTCATACCAGTGGTCCATAACTGTTCCCAGTCAGCCATCATAATATTATGTCCAACATCTTGTGCCCATTTAATCATAGCAGATTTCACCGTTTCATCTTGAGTATTCCATTTCAACAGCAAGTTATACATGCTTGACAAATTCTTAACTTTAGGGTCTAACAATTCTGTTTCCAATTTTGATTTTTCCACCTGGAAGCCTAATTTTTTGTCCAAGTTATATGCCTCCATTATTTGATAATAATGGAGCCTATCTCGTACTCTGTTTTTTAATTTTTCAAAGCTCTGTAGTTTTAATCTGTCACCTTCTTGTTCCAAAATTTCCCAATACTTCGGCCATTTGGCCTCCATATTGAGTTTTTTCTGAGCCTTTGCTTCCATTGGTGACAACCATCTTGGGGTTTTATTTTCTAACAAATCCTTATATCTTATCCAAACATTAAACAGTGCTTTTCTGACAATATGGTTTTTGAACACTTTGTGTGCTTTAACCTTATCATACCACAAATATGCATGCCAACCAAATACATTATTGAAACCTTCCAAATCCAACACATCCGTGTTTTCAAGAAGCATCCATTCTCTTAGCCAACAAAATGCGGCTGATTCATAATAAAGTTTAAGGTCTGGCAGGGCAAATCCACCTCTTTCTTTAGCATCTGTTTATATCTTAAATTTTATACGAGGCTTCTTGGAGGCCAGATCTGCTGCTCCTGTGGTCCTTCACCTTGCCTCATGAGTGTGCCAGTCCTGGTAGCAAGACTATTGGTCTCCAGCCTCTGCTTGCGGGCTGCCAGGAGCCGTCTGGGTGACCAACGTCGGAAAGAAGACACTGGGGTAGATGGACTTTTAGGTCTGTGGCAAGTGCAGGGCTCATTAGGTGGGTCCACAGCTATTCTGTGCACATGGCAACCTTACTACAAGAGCATGCACCAAACCAGGATTGGCCAACAAAAAGAAGCTGAGGCTTACTGGCACAAAGTTAGCTATTAAAAAGGGGGGAAGGGAACCTTCAAAGGAAAAGAAGTTGCAGAATGTGAGACGAACCTTTTCCTGGACAGTTAGTCTGTCACTATCTGGAGTGACACAGCACTCTTCACTTGAGAACTTCAAGAGCCTTGCAGCTGGACCAGGCTGTTACAAGAAAAAAACTGCTCCCTTTCCCTTATGGGGTATCCAAGAGCCCATACAGAGTCCTTATGTAGGTTCTCTATCGGTAGGAGAAAATAAGAGGCCAACCAGAGAATATTGAGAAGCAAAGAAGATAGTAAGCCTGATCCTTATTAAACTGTTGCATCAGGGTGCTCACCACCCCCCACGCAGGAGGAAGGAGAGGAACCCTGAACAATGGTGTGCCAGCCCTTATATAGACTTTATGAAATTGCCCACCCTGGAGCCCAAGACCACCCCCCAATACATCAAAGATACATCACTGAAGGGGTGGTCTACAGCAGAAATACATCACAGGAGGCGGTCTACAGCAGAAATCCTGTCTGGCAGGAAAACTGTTGATGGGTTTACCTGGAGAGCCTGGCCAGTCTTATGTGGTGATAAATACTTAATTCCCGAGTCCAGGTCACAGGCTCACCCTATTCATATCTTAAATGTGCCCTTAAGGTAGGATTTGTGAGCAAAGAGACAATGGGGAGGTTTTTCCCATTTCCTCCCTCCTTGCAGAGAAACATTTGGTCAATTTGGGAGAGTCAAAATAGCTTCAGGATTGTCTTCCTGTACCGTTTCAGACATGTGGAATATATATTTATGTACATGTTTGCCTTGTACATTTATATCTTAGTCCTTATAATTCTCATAACAAGGTCAAAGGGAGTCTACCCAGTTGAGCATCTGGGGCCAACTGGATGACTTTTCTGGGGAGCCTGCAAGAATGACCTGAGTGCAACAACAGCAGAGCTCTCCCCGCTCATGAATCCCAGCAACTGTCCTCCAAAGTATACTGTCTCCGAACGTGGAATTGAAACCAATAGCATCATGACCAGCAGAAAGCAGAAGTGAAGGGAGTAGGAAAATCCTATGCAGCTTCTCTTCCACTTTTACTTTATTACTTTTTAAAAAAAGAATGCACACCAGAAGCGACTTAACAATCCACTTTTTATTAAGCAGTTGCAAAGGAGGCTTCTCTTTGCCCTGTTAATAGTGCCAGGAAGTTGTGTGAAGCTTTGTGCCCTGGCCAAGACATACACACGTATACACAAAACAATGCTGGATTTCAGTCAAGGCACTGGCAAGTCTTACAAGGCAAAATTCACATCCAGTGTTTGGTTAAGCTTGAAGTTTAAAGAAATGTTTTAATAACATTTTATACAGTAAGAGGATTGATAACACATGAATAATCAAACATTTTTGAAATCATTACCATAATTCTTACCCTCCCAATGTATATTCCACCTTCACTTTAAAACTAGCAGGTTAACAACTATCGCAGGACAAATTTCAAGAAAAAGACTCCTTATAAAGTGCCTGCCAATTTGGTTTTGCTTGGAGTTCTTTAAGGCAGACCAACCTATTCTTCATTCATCTTCACCACCCCTTTAAAACTCTAGTTTTCTAGCAATTTGCACAACAAATACGTAAAAAGAAGGGGGGGAGGTAAATAGGCAAGGAACCGAGGACTACATGTTTGGCAATGCTGGTAAACAGTACAGACCCGGTCTCATTCATATATGCAGTTTTTGCTCATAAGTAGAGGGCGACAAGGAGAACAGAAGACCCAAAGGGGTGGGGTGTTGTGCGAAGGGTGCAAGGGGTGGGGGTGGGAAGCAAAAGTGAATCACCCAGAAGGCACGCAATCGCACACTGTTTGGCTCATGAACGGCTGTGGCACCCCAGAGTATCTGGCACACTGAAGAGGACAGAAGCACTCTCTGGCAAAATCTCTCAAGGAGGGCAGTCAACATCTGCATGGGCCACCCTAAGCAACATGAGATGCAAGTCAAAAGTACTTTCAAGGTTGCTTTTGACCCTCATTTCCCTAACAGATAATATATTCTGCTGGTATGTTGAAGCTTTTCTTGCCGGTTTTAGTTTTGCCAGAACCCCCAATGCCGAAACGTTAGTTAAATTCAACCAGAAATACGTTCTCAAAAATACTTTTATAATATTTGTTCGGGTCCAGGCAAAAGGCACTGAGGAATGGCAGCTTACTATGAGAAGAGCAGAAGGCACAGTGTTTTGTCCCAAATACTGCAAAAAGGTGTATTGGCACTTAAGTGCTTGGAGTGTGCAAGTTTCATGGTTGCTCTCCACCCGATCAGGAGATATTATCTAACTAAGGCAACAATGATTCCAAAATGGCACAAGAGAAAAAAAATTCTCCAGAAAGCACAAATGAAAGCTAGTTTCCTTCCCTGTCCAGGTATAGCAGGTGAAACAGATAAAAAATACCCATGATCTATGAAAACCCACCCAGAAACTCACAGCTTCAGTATAGATCATGATACCCCCAAGCCTTAAGATGTTTCACCCTCACTCATACAGGTCTTAGCAGTCTCAGCCAACTGCAACAGCATTTACAAGTTGAAGCGCATCATTTGAATAAAGGCACATTTGTCTATAGGCTACAGAGTTAACATTTCTATCCAAAATAAACGTTTGATTTGTGCACCCGTAGGAAAGCTTGGTATGGAGGAGACTGATGTTTCTTGTTGAAAACTGCTTCAAGTTCCAGGGTTTCCTCAAACAGCTCATGAGGACACGCTCCAAACTATATATTTTTTTAAAAAAATAATAATCACAAGGGGTTAGGAGAAGAAACATGATTTTTTGCTTCAAATCAAAGGATACCTGCAAAACTATTTATATTTGAAGAGTGTTCCCTTTATAAAAAGTGGTTGTCATCTGACACTGGGCAACTAGCAAAATTGGCCACCACAGAATGCAAAGCACTTGCCATTCACTTCCCATTAAGAACAAACTCAACAAAAGGAATTAGGGCGGCAGTTTTACCCTCCCCAACTGTATGTTATTGGGCTGCATGAAGCCAACAGCCATCAGACCAGAAAGTTATCTGCACAGTCTTGAGTCAATTCGTACATGAATCAGGGCACAGAGGCATTTGTGGCAGCTATTCCACAGTGCCAGGGAACTCTTTTTCCTGAAAACAGAGGTGGCCCTCTGGAGGCTGCTGAACTGCTGCTATAATAATAATAATAATAATAATAGTTTATTTATACCCCGCCCATCTGGCTGGGTTTCCCCAGCCACTCTAGGTGGCTTCCAACAAAACACTAAAATACAGTAACCTATTAAATATTAAAAGCTTCCCTAAACAGGGCTGCCTTCAGATGTCTTCTAAAAGTTTGGTAGTTATTTTTCTCTTTGACATCTGGTGGGAGGGCGTTCCACAGGGTGGGTGCCACTACCGGAAAGGCCCTCTGCCTGGTTCCCTGTAACTTGGCTTCTGCAGCGAGGGAACCGCCAGAAGGCCCTCGGTGCTGGACTTCAGTGTCCAGGCAGAATGATGGAGGTGGAGACGCTCCTTCAGGTATACTGGACCGAGGCTGTTTAGGGCTTTAAAGGTCAGTACCAACACTTTGAATTGTGCTCGGAAACGTATTGGGAGCCAGTGACCGGTGTTATATGGTCTCGGCGGCCGCTCCCAGTCACCAGTCTAGCTGCCGCATTCTGGATTAGTTGTAGTTTCCGGGTCACCTTCAAAGGTAACCCCACATAGAGCGCATTGCAATAGTCCAAGCGAGAGATAACCAGAGCATGTACCACTCTGGCGAGACAGTCCTTCACTGTCCTTGACCATTGGCCATGCTGGCTGAGAGTGATGAGAGTCCAGAAACATCTGGGAGCACCTCTTCGCTCCTTAGGGCTTTTACACACAACCTTTTAGAAGAGATCTCAGTCTGCAGTGGGTCCACTGTGATCGGAACAGAATATATAATACCTGGCTCCTCTTTACTACAAATCCCGAGAGAAAGAGACAGAAGAAAGCCACTTGACTGCATTACCAGTGGCCTTCCAATGGAGAATCACAAGTTCTTTCTTTGAAGACGTTTTTCAGGGGCGCAAAAGGCAAATGAAGCAGAGAGGTCCAATATATCAGTGAATCCCAGGCTAAGGAGCAAGGGGTCTCCAAGTCCATGGCCTCTATCTGATTATGGATGCCTTTGCTAACCTCCAGTTGTTTTGGACTACAACTCCCATCAGCCACAACCATATTTGCAAGGTCTGATGGGAGTTGTAGCCCAAAGAAACTGCAGGGAAACATGTTGGTGAAAGTTGGTCGATGATATTCCATGCCTAACCAGGACTGAAAACACTTACCAATGATGATGATTAAGAGAACGACCACCACTGCAATCAGAATGGCCCACATCTGCCAAGAGAAACAGAGCAGAACTATTAAATCTGCGAGCCACCACCATAATTTGCAAGTTTAATCTAGTATCCTAGTTTTGTCTAATTGCAATCATTCAACAGATACTGGCATTTAACATCATTTGGGAACTGTGAATTTGTTTGAGAAGTAGCAGCCTACTAATACAAGGAGTCCGGTCAATATAATATAGCAGTATATATTTTTACCAAAATAAATAAATAAATAAATAATAATTCAGGAACTGGGAAATTGTGTGCATTAGTTAACAGGGAGTAAAACACATAATCATGGAATTGTAGAGTTGGAAGGGACCCCAAGGGTAAACCCTGCAATGCGGGAATCTCAACTGAAGACTCCATGACAAGTGGCCACCTGACTTCTACTTAAAGGAGAGTCTACCACCTTCCAAGGGAGTCCGTTCCACTGTCAAACAACTCTTACTGTCAGAAAGTTCTTCCAGATGTTTAGTTGGAATCCCCTTTAACTGAAGCCATCGGGGTCGGTCCTACCCTCTGGAACCGGAGAAAATAAACATCCCACTGGTGTCCCTTTCCTGACCCCCTACAGGTCTTCAGTTTCCAAGAGGCTCCCTCAATCATCCTTTGCAGCTGTCCAGGGACCCAGGGGGAACCCCGTATCTTCTGCCAACCTGGTTCGCTCCGGATGTTCTGGACCTCAGCTGTATTCCAAAACACCTGGAGGGCCCCGGGCTGGCGAAAGCTGCTGCAGCCCAGTCAGAGTTACCTTGCAATTCTTCCACCAGTACTTCCTCTTCAGCTTGGCAGCATTTGTCTCAAACTGGGCAGCTCCGGCTTGCAGGGCATCCACACGGTCATCCAGCACGGACAGCTTCTCATCCCTTTCCAAAACCTTGTCCACGTTGACTCTCATGATATCCACCACCTGAGAAGTCAGAATGATGCTTAGCATGCATGTGTATGCCTCTATATACAGTGGACGCTCAGGTTGTGAATGTGATCCATGTGGGATGCACGTTCGCAACCTACAGCATTCACAACCCGCAGCGGCGCGTCTGCGCACGTGCGGGTTGCGATTCGGTGCTTCTGCGCATGCGTGACTGCCAAACCCCGGAAGTAACCCGTTCCGGTACTTCCGGGTTTCGGTGGGTCTGTAACCCAAAAAAACACAACCTGAAGCGTCTGTAACCCAAGGCATGACTGTATATACAGTCATACCTTGGAAGTCGAATGGGCCCCCTTTGGCCAGATTCAGCAGCTGGGGTCTCTGTGTATATACTTCCATGGATTAAGTCCACTGGCAGAGGAAAGCTTGGGCCAGCCTTGCCCATAGCCTAGTGCCTTCCAGATGGTATTGGACCCCGAAACCCAGCATCCAGTGATGAGTTGGGAGGTGACGAACATCTGGAAGGCTGGTTTGTGCTGTAATAAATTGTAGTTGGCCACACAAGACCCTTTGTTGATTTCACGGCAGCAGACAGTCAAACTGAACCCCTCTGGAAACAGGAAAACCACAACAGGTTGCCAAGTTGCTTGGCACTTAGAAGCCACAGTAAGTTTACACCAGCTAGACACCCCCCCCTTGAAGGTTACCCCCAACCCCCACAGAGTAGGTAGTCTACAGTATGCATCTTGCTGCAGCTTCACGCAGTGCAGCCAAAGAGAAAGAGGAAGGAAGAGGGCAGATGATGGCCAGCTTTGCTCATGTCTTGCAAGAGACAGATGAACCTCACCACACAGGGATGCTCAGGGGAGCCACAATGGTGCCACACCTACCTCATCCACCTGGTTCTGGGTTTGCTGAAGCCGGATGCTGCCTGGGGCAGCGGCAGCCCCTGAGGGGCCACTGGTTGACCTGCAAGTCAGAGGCAACAGTCAGGTTATCACGGCCTGCTGTGTGCTTGGCCAGGACAGAATTCCAGTGGTAAAGAATTCCCCCCGCACATGTTGATTCTTAGATTCGTGTCCATTTTACCACATGGTGTTTTGAAAGCAGCTCAGAATTAGCATTTAGAGTTAAAAACATCAGATTTCAATTTTATTTTATTTTTTAACACCCCCCCAATCTTTACACCTTTAAAAATTAAAACCATGAAAGAAGCAGCTTCCAAAAGACAAACACTGGGGGAAGGAGAAATGAAAACAGATGTCAGTGGCATTTGAGAGTGCAAAGTTTCAAACTGGAGGATTAGCTGTTTAAAAAACCAGTGATTTAAAGTTTCAGGAAGTGACCTCTAGCTCTCTTAGACCTCACTGTCTTTAGGATTTCAGCTCATGGCTGAATCATGTCTTCTTGCCAATTAAGTGTCAAGACACTTGCATGTTATTAAAATCTCAGCCTAGGTGCCATTTGTGATACTGAAGTGGAAGGCAAAGTCACAAGAGGGGGGCACCAGCTGAAGCTCCCATCATGCTGGGTGTGGTTGATGGGTCTTGGGAGTCGAACAGGGCTCACCCCTGTAATAAGGGAAAGCCACCCCAAGTTGCCAGGAGGCTGTCAACACAGTGACACCGCCAGACCCATAACAGGCTCAAAGACGGGATGTGATGATTTGCCCATAACAGTTAAGTCCTTTAAAGTCTGCAGGGTTGTTTCTCTTGCATCAAATCCCCACCTGAAAACTAAATTATCAGGGCAACACACCCCCCACAAAAAAACTTCTGGAAGCAGAGCTGTCTTTCCCATAGGGCTTAGTGGTGCGTCGCGCCAGGGCACCGGCCTCTCAGGGGCGTCCAAGCAAGTGGGGGAGCTGCGTGGCTTTGCCAGTGGCCTCCCCTTTCCCTGCACACCCGCCAGCTGCACCCCACCAAACATATGGCTGACGGGCATGCAACTTCCCTCCCAAGCCTCTGCAAGGATCGCTCTCCCGCAGCGGCATGGGGGAGACTTGCCCCGCCCGATAGCTGGCAATGCACGGCTTCGCCCCCCCAACTATCCGTGGTAATTTGGGGGCGCTGGGTGGATATTTGCACCCTGGCGCTGCATCTGCTAAAGATGGCCCTGTCTGGAAGCAACCAGTTTTGAAAGGGCACGATCCACCTCACTGATCACTCTCTTGTTAACAGAAGGGCATGCATTGCAGTTGACCAAGGGGGCTGCCCCAAACGTCCCTAACACAAGTGTTATGTACATATGCAAGAAAACCCTATTTTAAGTTTGATGGAGGTTTTACATTAAACTGCTAATATGAAAGTGTGGAACTTTCAGTGTTGCGTGCAGGTCTCCCTATGCCAAAACAGAATGGTGTAAAATCCTATCCATGTCGACTGATAAACAACCTCCAAAAGTGTCCAATATGGCTAACCCTTCCTTTGTAACCATTTTTAACTCCAATGCTGGGAGACAGTTATTAGGGAGGAAAGCCCCATTAGTCAGACTGTGGCTTGCTAAGGAGTAGCATTTACGCAAGTTTTATATTGCTTTTTCCACCCAGTTAGGAGCAAAATGTAATTAAAGCCATCAACACAAACTAATTCACACTGCCATTAAAATACCTAAGGGCACAAGCTTCTAAAAAAGCAGTCTAATGGTTGGGTCCCTGGGGATTTAACTCCTAAAGGCCTGGGTGAATAAATAAGGACTTTGCAAGCATCTGAAGACCATTAGTGAGGGGAAGCAATTCCATTTCCCAGGGGAGGGCCACAGTCAGGTGATGGGGCCACGCCACTGAGAATCCTGGTTAAACATAACATGGGATAGCACTGAAAGCCTCTTTCACTTTCACAGGTGAACAACCATCTCCATCCGAAAGTGAGTTTTGGAAATTCATTGGGGTGTTTCTGCCCAGCAGAATTGGTAAGAGAAGAGAAAGGACTAGCCAGGTTGGCGAGTCTAGCTGACTCTTCCTGGTGCCCCGCTGGTTGGTTGGTTTTCAATGGCACGGAGCCATCATGCCAAGTTGGGCCCCATCAGCCCAAATGTGTGATTTATACTAATCTCCTCCCAGCTGAATTCTGGTCCAGGTGGGCAAGAGAAACAGCTGTTTAACAGCTGGCACCAGAAGAAAAGCCAGAGCCTCATTTCATAGGGTGACCTGTATCCCACATGCTCACCCTGAACCACTTGAAATTCAACAGGGAACACTTTGTTTTCAAAAGAAAATTAGAATATACAACACCCCTTGCAAAGTGGTGACATTGCTCAAGTTCAACCTGTGGTTAATTCTTCGAGAGCGTCAGGGCTCCTGAGCGCTGGCACCGTGATTCATAGGGGCTGAGCCCCCAAACAAATTTAGCTCCAATTTCCCCCTCCATACTGAAAGCCTGAAAGATTACTCTTCGTTTGCCTTACAAGGGAACAGGCACGGTATGGATCCCTTTGCTTTAAGGCTTCCGCCCTAACCCAGCATGGAATTCAAGGGGATTTACTGCCAAGTAGACATGGGGCTGCTTCCCAAAAAGTTTTACTTGGAGCAGGCTTAATGCACTTAAGCCAGTAGCGTCTACTCCGAGGAGGACTAGCCTTGGAGAGGCGCGAGAACCCAACTTCGGCAGCGGGCCACTTTAGGGCTGCAGCCGTTCTGTGCGTCGGTGGAGACGCGTCCCCGAAGGCACTCTGCCTATGCCTAGAGGCCGCGCCTCTGCCCACGCCACGCAAGCCCGGGAAAAGAAACGAGAGAGTGTCCGGACAACTTTCACTACCCTCCGTGGCAGCCAGGAGGAACGGGACGGGCCAGCGGGCCGGGGTGCAAAAGCGAAAGGGAGGGAGAGCAACCAAGCAGCGGGCCGGGGCCTAAGGCCGGGGAGGCGCCGCCCCAAGCAGGGCAGCTAGCGGGGAGCCCCGACGCCCGCCCACCGCCCCCAGATCAGGATCGGTCCCCCTCCGCCTGCGAACGGGGCTCACATGGTGACGTTGGGGCTGGTGGTGGCGCAGCAGCGGCTCTCTCCGAATAACTTCTGCTCTCTGGGCTGTTGCTGGTGCCGCTTCGGGCTGCAACTTTTGCAGGCGCGGCCGCTGGGTGGGGCCCTGGGAAGCTCCGCCCCGCCGGCCGGGGAAAGCCCCCAGCCCCAGGAGCAGGAGGCGGAGGAAGGGGAAGCGGCTAGGCGCCTCCGAGAGCGCAACCCGCGGAGCTGGAAACCCGCCCGACGGCAAGGAGCAGCAGAGAAGCCTTGCAAGCACTTGAACGCGCTCAGCCGACGGCTTCTGGGCCTCTGAACCCGTCCGTCCCGGGTCTCTTCTTAGGGCTTCTTCGGAAACTCTTGGTTTGTGGCGTCTTCTTTCCCTGGACGGCCGTGGCTGGAAGGCTACTAGGCACGATGGCTCTTCCCCGCTCCCAGGCGCAGCAATGCAGCTAAACGGCAGTTGTTGAAAGCTACAAGAGCTCTTGCGCTCGGGTCCTACTTGCGCGTTTCCCACTGCTTCGCTGGACGGTGCACTCGATAAGCCACTGGCTTGATCCACCAGGGCTCTCCTTACTGTATGTTCTGAAGTGCATTGCGCTGGAGGGAGGCTGGTGAGCCTCCGGTGCTCGTCCTACTCAGAGGAGATGCGCTCAAGTTAAGAACGGAGCAGCCCATCACTAGCTGCATTTGGGAGTACCTGATGGGGGGAGGCACGTCTTTACCTGCACCACGCTTGATGTCAAATATGATGCCTAGTGCTGGGCAAGTGGGCATGTTGGGCGGGACCGGACCCTGCCTGCTTTTGATTTAGAGAAAGGTTGTGGCCACAAACGGGCTAACAAGGAATTCTCGGGAAGTAGTGATGGTCACCAACCTGGATGGCTTTATAAGAGGATTAGGCGCATTCATAATTCTTCTAAATGCTGGTTGCTGGAAGCCACAGGCAGGGAGAGTGCCCTTGTGCTTGTGTCCTGCTTGTAGGCTTCCCACAGGCCAGTCACTGTGAGAACAGGATGCTAGATCAGATGGTCCCCTTTTAGCCTAATCCTGCCGGACTTGCCTTATGTTCTTAGAACAAGGCATGACAGATTATGCTCATCTCCTTTTGTTGATGAGTCCCTAGTCTGGTAGATCAGCGGGATGCTGTGGACATTGGAGTACTGCATATTGACTTCAGCAGTGCTTTTGACAATTTCCCCCCATTACACTTGTTATCTACTGGTATCTAAGGAACTGTACTTAAAGAGCATTTACAAATGCCTCTTTGTTTACCTGGAGAAGAGTGCCACGCAGGGTTTGGACCTAGGTCTGCTGTTGCTTAACACCTTTATAAATGACTGAACAAAGAAATGGAAATCTGCAGATGACACCGAACTGGGTGGTGTAGCTAAAACACTGGAAGATGGAAACAAGAAGACAGAGAAGTGGCTAAAACACTGGAAGACGGAAACAAGAAGACAGAGAAGTGGCCAAAACAAATTTCAACAGAGATAAATGTAGAGTTCAGTATGGAAGGTAGGCAAAACCTGGGCACATATGCAAGATGGCTGACTCACGGCACAACCTGTCACTCAGCCAGTCTTCCAAAGCCCAGAGAGTATTTCCACACAGAAGCAGCTCTGACGTGGCCTTTGCAGTGCTAATGGAAAGCTAGCCTAGGCTGGGCAGAAAGTGCATTTGCATTGCAAAAGCCTTTCCTGTGATTCAGCATGGAAAAGAGCACTGAGGGCAATTCAAGCCTGGCATGTACAAAATACTACTGAGAATCTTAATTGCTGGAGCCCTCTGTAATGCCAGAAGAACAGCACTGATTATTTTGAGAGGTATGGCCTGGAGAACAGGTCCAATGAGGAAAGATGTTGGGTATGTCTAGCCAGGAAATGATATTAAAATGTTAGAGGACAGAGTCAATTTGTTTTCTGTTGCTTCAGAGCTGGAGGATGGGGGGGTGGGGGTCCTGCAGACCTCCAGATATTGTTGAACCACTGCCACCAACATGCCCAGAAATGATGGGAACCACATCATAGATTCTCCACCTGCTACTCTAGAGGGAAGGCCATGAACCACAGGGCTTGAAACATTTTAAATGAAACATTAAGAAATTTCCTGATGGTATGAGGACTTTGACAGGCCAACAGACTGCTGTCTTGCAGGGCCGGCCCACCGAGAGTTGCCTCAAGCGGCAGGGTGGGGAGGGTCAGCAGTCAGTTGATCACCTGCACTTGTTGCCTGTATCTGCTGCCTAGAAAGAGCAGGGCTGCTGGCTTCTAGTTTCCTGTGTGCCAGGGGATGGACGCTTCTCCCGACACCATGAAGAGAGACAGATAATCTGCATTTTCTGCGTTCCTCTTTGGTTGGAAGAGGAACCTGGCTGTCATCCACAGTTTGCCTGGCACTTGCTTCCCCATGGAATGTGAGGGCAGACAAAGGCACTGGGTGCATGGAGCAATCTGGCTGCCACGACCCCCAATCGCGTTCCTGGAAGAACAGGTTATCCTGCTAATTGGTTTTTTTTAAAAACTACAGGTGTGTGCTAGAGATGATAAACTGCAAAAACGAACACAGCTACAAGGATTTAAAAGGTTTGGATTGAGAGCGGATTTCATTCGGATGGTGGTGGTGGGGGGATGGGATCCCACGGTTTGCTTATATCAAAGTTTTTCTCTACGTTTATGATACAGTAACCTTTCCCGGAATGCAAGCTTTTTTTAAAAAAAAAGTGAGGAAGAAATTGGAATATAAATATGGAATTTAACAAAACTGGAACTGCATGTGTGAGAGAAAGGAACTGAGAGGGAAGAGGGCGGAATGCTACACTTTGAAAATATGGAGCAAAGCCTGCCTTAGCCACAAAAGAGTGTGTTTGACTCTTGGCCATAAATCAGCGGCAGGGAAGAAAGGAGTCTACCAGCTGTGGGAATAGAAGCTTTTGGACTACCTATTTGCAGTCTGGATTCAAACCGTTCTTCCTAGGCTGGAAAAATTGTGAAGGCGGCTTCGCGACTGGAAGCCAAATCATGGCCTGTAAGAATAGCCAGTGGCTGGAGGCATGTCCTGTGTTGTCACAGGGGCTTATGAGAAGCAAAAATGTCCCCCTCAATCATGGAAATGGGTATAGTTTTTATAACAACCCATCTCACTTATGCCCATTTTGCACTCCTGAACAGGTGCCCAAACCTGACAGTGGGTTTTATCCAAGGCTAGCCTGACTCAAGAGTAAACCCACTGAAGTTAATGAACATGACTAACTTAGGTCCATTGATTTCAGTGGGTCTACTCTGAGCAGGATCTAGGCAACCCTGTGCATTGAAATAGGAGTAGCTATATTAATACATGCATATCTTAAAAAAGAACAGACTTCAAGTGGGGAAATTTTCTTCGTTTTTAATTTACAGCAGAAAGAATATAAAGCATTCAGAAAACATTTTCCATATTTTAAGGGCAATTCAAAACATTTTGCATGGTTCCAGCAGCTGAGTTCTTCAACAGATCCATTGATTCAGTGATGCTTTTAACATGCACAGTTACAAAAATAAAACTTACAAAAAGAGACATCTATACTAGGTTTACATGCAAGTCTCGGGGACCCCCCCTCCCCTCTGTTTGGGCGCCAACTGCTGTGTGGAACTGCCATTAAGCGTGCAACCATAGAGGGGGTTCATGTTATATTCTTTATTTCGTTCACACAGGATCGTTCGTTTCACACGTGATGTCACACAAAGGAGCAATTCTGGGTTTGGGGGAGACATACAAGAGGGTCCTGGACTCAGGCGCTCAGGCACCTCAATGATTCAGGAAGGTGGCCCCGAGAGGGGTCTTCCTGTTTCTAACTGAGTCCCGCAACCCAGGAAAGGGCAAGCAAAATATTTTTATTTACTTTAAAAAAACTGATATACTGTCTTGGGAGCGTTCTCAAACCAAACATGCCCGAGGTCATTGATATGCCCAAAGGTGATGGCCCTGATTCAGCAAGGCCTTTTGGCACGTGTCAAACTGGAATAAACACACAGGTTGTTCCAACAAGGACCCCACCTGGAGCTCTCTGAGGAACAAGGGGAGGGGGGAAATGACAGCCGTAACCCTCAGCCTGCCTTGTAGGTCCCAAGCAAGGGCTTCTTGCTCCAGCCTTGGCAGCACCCCGAGAGCCAGGCTGAAACTCGGTCAACGCAACACCAAGCCTGCGGATCTGGAAGGGTTGAAGCGGAAACACCTCAAGGTAGCCCTGACTCTGAAGAACCCCCTTTTAGGACAAACGGAGGGGACAGGCTCCCAAAATCGCCACTCGGGTCATGACTGGTGAGGACGGAAAGCAACAAGGGTCAGCCCAAAATGAGACAACAAGCGCACCGTTTGAAAATGGCAAGCAGAGGGTGCTGCCAAGTTGGCGCCTGCTTCTGGCTCCTTGCTCCTCTTTGCCCCCCTGTGCAAAGGGCCCAGGAAGCCCAGGGCTGGCCTGAGAGGGCAGCAGCAGAAGCTGAGGTCTCCTCTGCCCGCCTGCCCAGCTTTGGGCTTTTCTGTGTTTCCCCCCTTTACTGAACTGGGCCACAAAACAGCACTTAACAAACGTACAGAGGGGTCTAAGCAGGAGCTTCAGCACACACACCGCAGTTATTTTTCAGTCTTGGCAGTGAAATAAAGGAATTAAAAAAAGAGAAAGAGAGAGATATACAATTTCAATGAGAGAAAAGGCACGGAGAGCTCTGACCCCAGGTTGGCTTTTGTCTTTCTTTTCGCTTTTGTTGCCACAATCTTTGTGTGTTTTAACTCTTCTTTTATAAAGATACCAGTTTAAAAGCTTCACAGAATTGTGAGTATTTTTAGGCTTCACAACAAGCCTCTGAGCAAAGACTACACATTGCATCTGGTGGCTGGGATCAAGCAAGAACAATTACTCTTCCATAAAGCAAAATGCCTAGAGAGGCCAGGCCAAGCGACCAACCCACTGGCAACGTTTCAACTGGCACTAGCAGGATACAGGGCATGGGGGGGGAGGCGTGCGGGATGGACGGAGGTAGCCAGGCAGAGTTGGACGGGCAGGCTGGCGGCCCCCCGCCGCCACCTCTGACCTGAGCTACACCCAGTCAAAAGCCAAAATAATCCATCTGACTTCAGGCGCAGCGGAGTGTAGTTCAAAAATCAAGATTTGCCCACCCCCTCACCCCTCACCCCCACTTCCCAGCGTCTACATTTCACATCAGCTTCCATATCGAAATGACTCTTCTAAAACAGATTTCTTTGGCTCCTGTCTATGTGGAAATAGCAATATACCATGACACCCCTACAAAACCTGCTTGCATCTTTTAAACTTTTACTCTTTTTTTAAAATTTTGTGCAATTTTTAGTACATTGTCTGACTTCCAGCAGGAAATATGGATATGTGAAACATATTTTTTTTCTACTTTCATACTATTTCTTTTTCTTTTATTTTTTATTTTTTATTTTATGTTCATTCTAAGTGTTCTTTATTGGAGTGAGAGTGTATGGTGTTAAGCTAGATACAATTTTGTATTCTTATGATTATCTGCTTTGCAAAATAACTTAATTTTTCTTAAGCAATATTAGCATTCACTTTACTTGGCACCATTGGCAAAAAAAAGGAGAAATTAAATAAAATATTAAAAAGGTAACCAAGAAGGTTAAAAGAAATTTAAATAAACTCCTGGTAGCCAAAATCAAATGTAAACATAACTCTTTTTTTAAAAGTAATGTTACTTTGCCGTTTTTTTCCTAAGTCTAAATACATTTTAGCTCTTCTGCTTCTGCAGTTTAGTCATGCGTTAGCAAAATGTTCTTCTAAAGAACATTTAAAATAAAGTTTCTTATAGTGAAATAAAGTTTTTTTTGTTTCATTTTACAGACCATAAGCCACTAATGCTTTGCTTTTTCATGTCTTCTTTTTGTCCTTGAATTCATGCACATCTGTTTTAGTATATACAATATGTACAAACATCCACACTCTTCTCGCTCATTCAGACAAAACTATACAAATACGCAAATTTCTCTTGCCAAGTTATTGACCCTTTGTGAATAAAATAGTTAGCAATTAATCAATATATTCCCTTTCAAATATTTATTTCTCATTTCCATTTCTACCTTCTCTCTATGTACAGAAACTGCCTAGGTTTTCTTTTTTTTTTTTGAGATGAAATAGCCAAAACAAGAGATTTACTGGCCGGAATGCAGCACCCGACTGCTCGCTCCCTTCGGTGGTAGAAATGTCCAGTCAGCTTATTTGCATGTGACTCTTCGGTCGAACAAGAGGTCTGCAGGTTACCAAAATGCTTTACAAATCATCATTGTTATTAAAGAAGTAAAAATCTTGCGTGAAGTAAGGCCAGAAAATAAAGTGCCAAATATGAGAAGTGCATATGGCAGCTGAGATACTTGAAGGCTCGAGAAAGAGAGAGAGAGAGAGAGAAAGAGAGAGAGAGCACAAGAGAGAGACAGAGAGACAGAGAGAAAGAAAAAGGAAAACCACCGAACCAAAAGGATCTTTTTGCTTGAGCTGCTCACCCCTTCTCTCTCCCCCGCCCCGCACCCCACCCTCTTGCAAAATACCCGTTTGCCTTAAAAACACTGACAGCTTTCTGGGAAAAGTCCCACGGGATACATTTAAAACCAGCAGATCTAAAAAGTTGCAGAGAGAGATTCGATGAAGAACAAAAAGACACAGGTGTGCAAAGGAGGTGATGGAGGAGGGAAGATGGAGGCCCCGCGCAAGACGGAAGGAAGGTGAGCAGCGCCTTTCCACAGGGAATCCCAACGGTTCCGGGTCTTGGAGATGATTGACAGGTGCAGGAATAGCATTCTTGGGTTGTGGGGTTTTTGCTTTTTTTGGTATTATTATTTGTACAGTTCCACACATTGTTTGTTTTGTTTTAATACAGCCCTATATGAAAAGGATAATTAATTGCTTCTCTTTTTTTTCATATTTGAGAGGAACGAAGCAACTCATGAAAACGCCTTCCGGGTGTCACTTTCCCCCCCATGATCCAACCAAAGATTTGAGTTCCAAGATGTCTTGCTGAACAAATTAAAAGTTGTCCATGAAAGTGCAAATGTAATGACTAAACATTACCATTAAAATCCTGCAGCCGAAATTCTCGGCACTGCAGTCAGTTTCTTTTTTTTTTTAATAATTTTTTTTTTTGTAGTTGTTGCATGTTTCTGCTAAAAACAGAAAATGAAAACAGTCTGAAAAGCAATGTCACATTGCTACGGGATGCTGCCGCCGCCGCCTCTTTCTTCAAGTTCCTTGGCCTTTTTCAATTCTTTCGCTCTGAAATGAAAGAAAAGGGAAAATGGGGGAAAGGTATGACGTTTCTGTTTCCAAAACCCTTGGTGTGAAAAATGAAAAGGCATTATGCATTTCTTTACTGTTATTTTTTGGCAGAGGAAGTAACCACATCATTTTTCTCCCATATTTCACTAATAATTTAAGAAAAGAAAGAAATTAACTGTATCCAGTTGTCACAAAAGGCAAGTGTCATTTGAAGCAGCTTCTAGGAAAAAGCTGCGGGGGGGGGGGGGGAGAATAGCTTGAGCTCTGAAAAGACAGAAGATCTATCTGCAGACTGGTAGTTCCCCTGTCTAGAATATATGCCAGTCACCTGTTCTGGATGCTGCTATGCTTCTTCTGAAATAACAGGTTTGCAGTTTGGGAGTGCTTATGGATCCACCTTTGTCCCCAGAAGCTCAGGAGGCCTCAGGAGCTAGGAATGTCTTTTACCAGCCTTGTTGGTGTGTCAAATACAGACGTTCTTGGACAGGGACAGACTGGCCATGGTGATTTATGCATTGGAAGCCTCAATACTTGATTACTGCAATGCATCTACGTGGAGCTACCCTCAGGCCTTGTCCAGAGGCTTCAGCTGGTTCCAAACACTGTGGCTAGACTTGTTGGGGGTCTGACTGTCGCCAGCACAAACCTCTGGTGCTCAAGTTTGTACTGGCTGCCCATTCGCAACCGGGCCAGTTTCAAGATTCTTGTATTAATTTACAATGTGTTTTAAGAATTTGGCTGCAAGACACCTGAAGGATGGCCTAATCCCTTATATCCCTGTTCGATCACTGAGGTCTTTGGGGGGCATCACTGTTAGCAGTCCCATGTGGCTCAGATGCATGTAGTCGCACATTTAGCGTGGGCCCAATTTTATGAAACTCCTAATTGCAGTCAGACAGGTCCCCTGCCTACTGAACTTCTGGCATCTACTAAAAATATTTTTTTAATCCCAGCTGGTCTTTTAATTGAAGTTTGATTTTATAGTTTTAACTGGTTTATACTTTTTGTATTGCTTATTTGTAAACTGCTTAGACTATTGTAGTTAAGTAGTATATAAATGAATTGTTTAAATAAAAAACATTTAAATGTACATTAAAAAAAAAATCCAGAGAGGTGGTGGTGCTTGATCCATATTGGAATCCCAGTAGGTAGCACGTAATGGTCTGTGTGCTTTTAACCCTTTGCCTTCTGCTGTGATCCCAATCAGGACCCTATAAACAAACAGGTGTTTTCGCCCAAATTCCCTGCTGCTCACCAAGCAAGGTTCCTGATCTGGATTGCCCCTTCAGACACATGGCATTTTGTGTAAAAAAGACCAGCTACATGTAAAATGTACAGCTATGTAGTGGTAGCAACATGGCAAGGGCTTCTTGTCTCTCCCTCAGCCCCACCTCTGGTCAAAAGCTGGCCAAGATAAGTTCAACATAAAGACCAGCCTTTCTCCTGAACCTTCTGTTGCAGTCAGCTGTAGGATCTCAAGGTATGCACAGGAACTCTCCATGAGACCAAGAATGATGCTCATTTCAAGGTGGGTTCAGACAACCTGCTCACAACCAGCTTGGCCATCTTTGCTGGACAGCGAGCATGCTGAAGGGATGAAAATATCATCTGGCAATGCACCTCCACTGGCTGAAGCCATGGGCAAGTTGTCTAGCGCCAACTGAAATTGTCAGACGAGTAACTCTTCCTGGTGATGGACTTATCCTGTCATTTCTCTCTTTATGTGCCTCTGTTGGAGACAACACTGGTCTGCCAGGCTTCCCAACTGGCTCCTTGGCCAAGACAGAGGTTGGAATGACCTTTCCTTTTTTGCCCCATGAAGCTAGAAACCTTTCCCTCTCTTTTATAGTTCTTGTCACTGTCCACAAAGCCCTTTTGTCAAGCGTCTTCCCACCTCTCTCTTGACTTGCAACCTGGCCGGTTAGGCACACCATGTTCACAGTGAGTTGAGGCAATAGACATGTTAAATTCAGAAAGAGGAGATACATGTGTCAGGCCAGGCGTGCTTTTCCCATGCAAAGCCCACATTTTCCCATTGTGGACCCATTCACTGAGGTAGAAGACCCACCTGCTATGGGGTCTCATTGAGGACATGCATGATCAATCGAAGCTGGTGGCTCCTTTGCAGACATGCTGAGTCATGCAAAGTCTAGGCTAACAGAGCACTTCTGCTGGAGTGGAGGGGATGCAAGTCATGCTTTGTTGGCACCATCTGTCATCATCAGCATGCAGTGTCTGGACTGGTGGAGACCAGTTGCCATTGTCTGGAAAATGCATGCGGATTCTCGCCACATTCCACATTTGCGCGAGTACAGATGTCATCTAGAAATTTACACAACGCCTTCCTTGGGACCAAATCAGGTGGCTGACTTGCTTGAATGCTGAGGTTTAAACACCAGACCAACTACTTAATGGATAGACAATTGTTGACTCTTGAGGTATTAAGAGCTTTGTGATGCTCCTTAGCTGAAATGGATGTACACTCTAGAGCTGCAGTTTCTGATGTGACAAGATGTAACAGTGGCCTTTAACGTGAGCCTCACCTCCATATACCTGTGCAGACTCAACTTGATGTAATGGATGTGTTGGCGATAGATGGGTGGCTCCTTGCTGTCTAGGCTTGCTGGCTGCCTGCAACCAGGTTGGGCTAGAGATGGATCAGGCCCCTTTTTCTGTGTTGGTGCTGGGGCAGGGGAGTGATACTAACTTGCTTTGAGCAACTGTTTCAAACACAGGTAGGTTTAAAATAATTTTATGCTTTGTTGGAAACACTATATCCAGTTTTACAACTATGTGCAGACTACTAAATCGATAATATATAGTGCTAATGAAATTGCAGGTTCAATACAACCATGACGCCACCAGCCAAAATCGCATCCTTCCTCTCCTTCCTCCTTGATGCAAAGACACTTCTCCCCGTTTTGCAAAAGACCCAATATTCCAATTTATCGTATTCAGCAAAATTTATATACCATTAGTCAAATCTCCTAATATTGCTCCCACTTGCTTTTGATTGTGTTGCTATTTTCTCTTATTTTGCAAAAAACATTAAGCTGCAAACATTTGAAGAGCACTTTGACTTTTCTGGGATATGTTCAGAAAAAGGCCTCCCATCCCAGCAGACCTTGGCTATGTTCTCGAACTATCCTACCATTTCAATGGAGATGGTGGTGAGGCTCAACAGGCCTAGCCAGCACTCCATGGAAGGGGAATGCACACCCTCAAACCTATCCCCCAATCTTCTGCAGCAGTAGGAAGGAAGTTTGGAGACCACTTAGGCCATTCTGAATAGGAGACACTGGCATGTTTCTCCTCCCAAATGGATAGGCATAAAAATATCCCTTCCACCCACTCTCTCCAATGTTTCATTGTGCAATCCTATTCACACTTACACCCGTGTAAGCACCGTGGAGGACACTGTGATTTACTGATGAAGAAGCACAGGAATCAACTACAAGATACAGTAGCAAGAGAAATCTGGTTCAAATATAGTTGAAAACACCCTGATTAGTTGAAAAGTCTAAAAAGTGGAGTGGGTATTTGTACACTTAGTGGTCAAACCCCGAGGCATGAAGATTACACTACAACAGAGGCAGACATCCAGACACCATAGAGTTAAACAAGCCCCACACAGAGCAGAATACTGAGTGGGATCTTCCATCTCCTTTCCCCATTCTAATCTGATGAGGGTTGGGCGGTTGCTTCCAGTAGCACCCAGAGCATCTTACTTGTGGGATAGAAGCTTCATTTACAATTTAGATGATATGGATGCAGCTGAGAACTTTAAACTAGAAACACTTTCACTGTGCATCCTTTCAATAAAGGATGTGGTCACACCCCCACACCCCGCTGCCAAGTAGATGCCTCACTCCCCCTCCAAGCAGAGAATTTCCTTTGCTGCTTTCTTTGATGAATCACAAGGGGGTTGCATAACATATTGAAGAAGCAATGGCAGAAGCAGAAGCCCTGAAAAGCCACCTGCGGACAAAGCCCTCTGCCCAATTATCCACCTCCCCACCCCAACTTCAGATGACGATATTGTGAGCAAAATGAGTTAGGTCTAGTTAGGCGGGGAAAATAACTTTGTAAGAGCAGAGAAATGGCTGAGTGAGTAAAAAGCACATTGCAAAGCTGTCTTGCATCACAGAGGACTCCAAAATGCCCAGCCAAAGAAATGCTGGATGAAGTGGACAGCAGAACTGGTTGGGGCAATGCGAAAGGTCAGAAACTGACCGGTGAAGGAAAAGGAGCAGAGGGTGGCAGTGGAGTGGGTGGAGCCCCAGGGTGGGACTTTAGAATCAGTTACCTGTTTCTCTTAGAGCAGTAATGGCTCGTGGGAAATTTGGGAAATGGGGGCTCCTCCCTTTTTCCAGATCTCTCATTTGGGTTGCAAAGCAAAAAGAGAGAGAAGGCCCAATAAGAGAGACACCCCAGAGCATGTGGCCTGCAACTTAACACACTGATTTGTACTTCGAAAGAATTCAGCTCCTGAAAGAGGCAAACGGAACAAGATTACTTTGGAAATGGTGGCTGTGGCTGCCTTGACGCAGACCACATGTGATGCGTTATTTTCTCATCCCTGCTCTTTTGGACAAGTTTAGACAAGTGGTGACGGGTGTCTTAAGTCACATGGACTTTGTGAGAACTGGGCTGCAGCAACCCTTTCTCCCTCCCTTCTTCAACAGGGCCTCCCCAGCCTAATTCCAGGCCAAACTTCCTCTTCCTATCTCTCTTCTTTGTGTAGTGAAAGGCATTTGTCTGCTGGCTGTTTCCCTCCCTCCCAGCCTTTCAGAGTTTCTCAACAGTTCCTCCTACTGCTCCTATTACTGGCTTCTCTCTGTGCTCCCACCTGTCCTGCCTCCTTGAGTGGCTTTCTTGCGCTTAACCCCAGATTGGCTTTCCAACAACAAATCCACCATTCTCTTTAGCCTCACTCTTGACCTTTGAAAGTCTCTCCCTGGTGTTGTTTCCACCTCACCGATGGATCTCAGGCCCTGATGCTGCAGGGAGATGCTGGATTTGCCCAAGGCATGAGAAGTCCAGGTTAAACAAGAAAGAAAGAAAGACACCATCTAACTATGCACTCTCAAGGTGGCACAAGAACTGGGAAACTGATGAGACTTCAGAAGAAACCAAAAATCCAGTGTCACATATAAATGGCTAGTGGTTAATTCAGGTTTCAAACATAGTAAGAGACATACTTACCAAAACACACTATTGTCAGTACTCAGTCACCCTTATTGAATATAGCAATGAATATACTACAACCTGTTTAAATACAGATGCTGCTATCAGTGGGACCACTCCCAGATCTGGAAAATTTATCTTTGCACCTGAGGAAGCTGCACAGCAGAGATAGCCAATGGGTTGCCCTTCAGAAAATATTGGACTCCAATTCCCCCTAGCCAGGATAGCCAAAAGTTAGGGATGATGGGAGTTGGGATCCAGCAAAATTGGGTGGGGGAACCATGTTGGTTACCCCCCATTCAATAGAGAACTGTGAAAACAGCAGCTCTGAAAGGTTTGCCTGTGGGAACCCTTCAGACATGTCCTTCATGGAGCTGTTAAGATGTACACTTTGGCTAGAGAGGTCTTTTTTATTCAACCATATTCATGAGAGGGCTGTACATATAAGGAAACTTACTCACTGAACATAGTATATATATCTTTTTGCCAATTGCCCATTTTTCTTCTTTAACATGAAATGGCAGCAACAGCTAAGCCTGCTTTGACATGCAAAAGTGCAAGGAACCCCTTATACAGCTATGACAGATGTTCCCTGAGCAGCCCCCAAGCTGTGGGGCCAAGACAGTGTTGCCTTGCCAGCGGGAAACCCCACCCCTTTCCCAATTAGAAATGTCTCACACAGCTGAGCTACATGCTTCCCTCCTCCACTGCTTCCAGGGAATGCCCTGTGTGCAAGTGAAGGGGCCAGGACCCCATTCCTGTGCAAAGCTCACAGGGCAGTGCCAGAGCACCATTGCACTAGTATGGAAGGGTCACCACTGGCAGAGGAACCATGAAACCCCATTGCAGGAGCTCTGGAAACAGCCATGCTGAACTACAGATCAGATCCCAGCTAAGGCTTCTCCACTCCAGGTCAGAGCTGTGGACAGCTATTCCTGTATCCAGACCAGCAGTGCATATTCTCAAGCCCAAAGATGCCTTGGAGGTCAGTCACTGGAACTGAGAGCTGGAGCAGGCAGACCGTAGTGCTCTGTTGAGCAGGCAGAGTAAGAAAGCCCAGAGTCCCAGGACTTATGTTATGTCTGTCCAATCCAGAGGCTTCATCTAGCCAGCCGATCACACTGACTCTGAGGCTTATGCATGCACACACATATATATACTCATGGATGGGTTATTAGGTTAGGCCCAGGTTTCAAACCTCAAAATCTTCCTATGCATTGTGACTCCTTGTCATGGCAAAAGCAGCTGCTGCAGCATTTGCCCACTCCTGAACCAGGACAGAGACCTGGACAAGAGAAGCCAGACTAGGCCTGCCTCAGAGCTTCTAACTGAAAGAGGCCAGCTGTGTGAGCGCTTTGTGCTGTGAGGTGAATGGGGGCTGTACAAATTCTCATGGCAACTGGGAAGGAGCAGCAGCAGCATTCAGAGATGTGTGTCCCGCACATGCACAGCAACGGCAGCCGCAGCCGCAGCAGGTGTGGCCTTGTATAGGAGGGCAGAGCAGCAGCAGCTCTCTCTCGTTTGCTCTTGTGGGGAAATCAAAGTAGCAGAGATGGTCAAGGCCGCCTGAAGCAGAAGTCCTGGGGGTTGCAACGTGAGGAGGAGGTGGAGGCACAGGAGTGGGTCTGGGCTGACATGAACCATGCTAAAAACAGGTGCCCAAAGCCACCTGAACATGCAACCACCTAATTCTCCCTGAAGGGACGGACCATGGCACAGGTGGCTCCTATTCCTCACCTCCACACACCTTTGTCCCTGGCTCAGAATGCCCAGGCAGAGTAGATCCATTTGAAACAATAGACATGGCTAAGTTAGGACCATTAATTTTCATTATTATATTTATTTATATCCCACCTTTTTCCCTGACAGGGACTCAAGGCAGCTTACACAGAAGTAGAAACAACAGCCTATGCTGAGTAAAACTTATTTGATGGGTGGGGTATAAATAAAATCATCATCATCATCATCATCCAACATTCTGGCATAGTGTTTTTATCTCCATTTTGATCTGCATATTCACTCCCTATTTTATATTTTCATTTTGCATAAAACTGCTGATTTGGATTCCTGGGCTTTTCTGAATCCTGGATACCTTCAACGGCGGGTGATCCATCTCCCGACATTGGACTATACAACTGTTGTTAAGGCGCCTGGGAAGGCAGGAATTGTCAAGTAGGAGACATGGGAGTTCATCTAGCTGTTTTCCTACTCCTGAGATCAACAGAGAGAAGTGGGAATCCTATACTATGCCCCAAGTGACATACATGGTTGGTAGCAAGGAGAGGGAGAGACAAAAAGAGAATGGGACACCTGTTGCTACTGGGTTATCTTACAGGGTTGGTGCGCCATGGCAGGTCCAGATTTGGTGCTGATTTGTGTGGAAGTGCCCTGTGGTTGCCAGTGAGATTAAAGCTCTCGCTTCCCTTCGACAAATCTGCAAAATTACTGAAGGACCTGATTGGACTCTCCTCCACCCGCCTAAATAGAACATAGTTGAATAACTAAAATGGTATTTTGGGGTTCATCCCCTAGAATGCTTTTAGGTCAGCTGTCAGATCAAGATCCTTTGCAAAGCAAAGATCCATATTACAGATGCTCAGCTGATGGCCAAATGTAGCAGCTTTCATGGCTTTTGTTGGGAAGTGGCTGCCTGCACTTACTACTAGGAAAGACTCTGCCTCCTGCCGCAAGGCCTCCCTCTCAGCACTTTGGGGGGCTCTCTCTTACTGTGCCTGCCTTTATGTGTTTCTGAGTCAGCCCCAGGCTCTGGACTCTCATGTCCCCCTCTCTCATCAGCACTGTGAGTTTTCTCTTTGCTCACCCCCTAGGTGCCTAGTCCTAGCAGCAACTGTTTCTACCTGTCAGAGCAGCTGTCCTAACACCTCCCTTCACAAGCTGTGCTATGGGGCTGCTCCATGGACACAATCCTGAAGCTATTTATCATGCCTCTAAGGCCAGGCTGATAGGGACGCGGGTGGCGCTGTGGGTTAAACCACAGAGCCTAGAACTTGCCGATCAGAAGGTTGGCGGTTCGAATCCCCATGATGGGGTGAGCTCCCGTTGTTCAGTCCCTGCTCCTGCCAACCTAGCAGTTCGAAAGCACGTCAAAGTGCAAGTAGATAAATAGGTACCGCTCCGGCGGGAAGATAAACGGCGTTTCCGTGTGCTGCTCTGGTTCGCCAGAAGCGGCTTAGTCATGCTGGCCACATGACCCAGAAGCTGTCTGCGGACAAACGCCGGCTCCCTCAGCCTATAGAGCGAGATGAGCGCACAACCCCAAAGTCGGTCACAACTGGACCTAATGGTCAGGGGTCCCTTTACCTTTAAGGCCTAGCTGAACTGAGAGACACCCCACGTCCCCCTTGCACGCTGGGAATTCTCCTCACTTTGCAGCCCTGTAAAAATTGCCAGGCGAAGGGAGAGAATGAGGTGGTGCAGTGGCATTTTTTACTGTAGGATACCAAACATGGCATCATCAACAAACTTAAGGGACAATCAGTAAACAAACATGTTGCTTTTTCTTTTTTCAAATCCCAGCTCGGCAGCACACAACTGTTTTAAAGGTATTGTATAAAAGGGAAAGCTCCCTCACCATTACCAAATGTGCCAGTAGATTTTGTAACGGGAGAGTCAAATGGCATCAAAATGGGTTCCACTGTCCAAAACCGGTGTCCACACCGCAGTGAACAGACCCTGCCATTCACACACACTTGTTACAAAGTGTGTTCACATAGGTGTGAGGTGACTCTCCAGCCCCTTTCAAAAGCAATTCTTCTGCATCAGTCCAGCCTTGCATTTGTGAATGGGAGGCTTCCTTGCCCACAGTACTGAGGCAGTGGACAGACTTCCATTTGCTCAGCATCCATGCACTTCCACCACTGGATTGTGAAGCCATACACACACAATGGTGTCAGCCACAACCCACATCTTTCCAGTAGTTTCTTGAGAAATACTTTATTTGACGGTGTTTTGATGGTGGCGTTGAGAAATTATCTTGCTGGGGAACTTTAGGATTCCAACACAGAACTACATGCCAAAGAGTTCCCCGAGTAGAGGGAATGGCTATTAATCCAATTAAAAAACTACCATGTAGCTAATAAACTCCTACTAGACAGCCATAGAAAGAAATGTGACAAGCTCAACACCTGCAACAGGATAGGAAGACATATTCTGGGAAGATGCGGTCACCACTTGAGATGTAAGACTTTCAGAATTGTTGTGGGGTGTGTGGTTTTGTTTTGTTTTGAGGAGAGGGCTTTTTCTGGACAAACATCAGTGGGTTTGTTCACACCAGAGTTTATTGTGTGTTTGCAGCTGTTTGCTTTCCCATTTAATTTGTATTATCCACATGATGTTACCCTCAAACACCAATCCTTTCCCAACACAGGGGGAATGTGACGTTAGTGGAAATTGGGCTCCAAACTACTGCACTTGGAACTGCAAACTATTTATTTAGGGGTGGGCGGATCTATTTTCACTTTCTGCTACTCACCTTTCCATGCTCAGTACTATCTCAATACTATCATTTCTTTTCCAGTCATATTCTTAATTATTTTCACTGCACTCCCGAATGGTGTACAGCCGTGTGGTTTTTTCTCTTTTGATCTCTCAAATTTGCACAAAACCAGAAAACTGTACAACCAAACCACACACACACACACAAATCTGCACCAAATACTGAACAGTATTAATCTCAAAGTATGTGCTGAAAACATACAATTGTTTTCTTTTCTGGCACACTCCTGAATGGAGGAGCCTTAGGAGGAGCCTTCCTGGCCTTAGATATTTTCTTTTGATCCTTCAGATTTGCACAAAGTCAGAAAGCTACAAAAGTGTGTGCTAAGAATTAAAAATTGCCTGCCCAGTTATCTGTACACATGCCCTGTCAGTATTTATTCGGCACAACTGAATCAGCAAATTAGAAGGCAGGGAAAAACGCAAAAGGGAATGCTTACTGACATGAACAAGAAAGATAAAAGTTCTTCCTCATAGGCAAATTCATGTATATGCAGCCGTGGACTAATTCAAATGTGGGGTGGGGGGGGGGGAAGTGCATTAACAGCTCAATAATGCTCAGTTGTGGACAAACCCCATGATTAAGCCACTAAAGGACTCAGCAGAGAATGGAAAGAAAGCTATACAAGAAATCTTAAGGATGATTTTCTTCATCGCTGCTGCCAGCTTCGAGGAGGAAAGTTGCCATTGAATCTTGCTGGCTACTCTGATATGGTTCACATTGTAAAATAATGATATAACTAAAAGAATATATGAAATAAAATCTCATATCTGAGGCAGTCCCAAGAACAAGATGCCCAACAAACTGCAAGATTGGCTGGGTGGAGAACAGACCCCACAACAAATGAGGAACAAGGACAGCATAACCTGTAACTGTGCAGAAAAGCAGGTAAGATGAGGTGCTTGGTCCTCCAGGGTCTTCCCCAGCACTGCTGCTGCTGGAGATGGAGATGGACATTCTGCGTGCAAAGCATGTGCTCTCCTGCTCCAGACACATGAAACTACCTGATTGTAAGTCAGGCAGTGGATCCTCCTTGCTGCTCAGTGCTGCCTGCTCTGATTGGCAGCAAGGGCTCTGCTGAGTCTCTTTCCCAGTCCTGCAATCCAGCAGCTCACATCCAGCCCTCCACTCTTTAGCCCCTACATTTCCACTGACTTTCAGAAGTCATTCATGGAGCAAGATGTCAGCTTTGTAAGGACATGGAAGGAAAAGAGAGCCTGCATGATGCCAATGCAGTTGTGCGTGTTGCTCTCAGGTCAGACCTGGGCTGCCTGATCCAGGCTGGGGGCTTCTCCCAGATTCTGAACTACAGTAGACAGCAGCTACGGTTAGGCTATCAGTATTCATCAAATCCATAGACTTCATACTACCTGCCAACGGCAAGGGCGGATCCTGTGCCTTTAGAGGGGCCGCCCACCCATGATGTTTAACTTGGCTGAGCCCTCATCCCCCAGAACCCCAGTTCCTGATTCCTGGCCTGAAGTGCTGAGAGCCAGCGCTTCCTAGGCTAGAGCAGGAAGCTCTCACTCCTTTCTTCCCTCCTGGCAGAAGAGGAGAAAGTCTGTTCAACAAAGTATTGAGGCCTTGCGCTGGATGGAGCCTCGCTTTCAGGCTATGGGCAATTTTGTATAGACAGAAGCAGATACCGTCCACAGAGAATGTAGCTAGGTAGGCTCAGTACAGCTGCTACTGGGGGTGGGGGACCATGGGACAGAGATTTCTGCCCCATTCCCTCTCATTGATCAGCATGCCCCATGATGGATGGACAGGAGTGTTCCCTCCCCACCCCTGCTCCGTTCATGCATCTGTAACAGCTACTGCAGGTAGTACGAAGCAGCGGTGTTAGTAACCGCAACAGTTAGTTGTGGCATGGTCAGTTTCCCCGATTCAGAGAGAATTCAATGGATGTGAAACTTCATGGTCATCATCTCAGCTGCAGCCCCATGCAAGCAAGCAGAAAGCAAAGAGAGAGAGACATATATATGTGTGTGTATATATGTATATATATATAGTGAGATATATATAGATATATCATTTTAAATGGAAGAGAAACAGTCCAGCAGGCAGCTAAACTCACCCTTTTGTACCGCCTATGGTCCACCAGAGGGCTTCAGATGCGCAAAACGATAGCAAAGAGCTATTAGCATATAGATGGCAACAGGTAGACACCTTTTATTCAACAGCTTCAGATCAAGGAGGATAGGCAAGCTGCCTGCTCTGGGGAAGGGAGAGGGAGAGGAGAGGGTGGCCATGGTGGGGGTGTCAGATCTCAGGGGCCAGCTTGCAACAACCTACATGCTGGGAGGGTGGGGCTGGTTGAGTAGCACCATACAATATTGAGCAAAACCCAAAGGTGGGTCTATTTTATTGGAGCTGGGTGGGAAGTAGCATTGAGGTTCCAAGACCCTCCTTCTCTGACTCAGAAGACTAGAACAAGTTTTCTTAGAAAGACTTTGTGATAATCAGAAAGAAGGTGTTCCTTAACTGTAACCCCAGGGATATGGTGGGCTGCGAACGCAGCAAGAAGTATCCAAGCCGTTGTCAAAACCTTGTAGCCATCTTGGCTCACTGACCAAAACTTCACTTTCTTACCAAGGTTCAAATTAAGTAATGAAAATCCATTAATCAGAATCAAAATTCTGATTAACAACAGATTCAACAGAAGGGTGCTGGCCACTTTTCCAAAGGGCCCCCTTCCCTCTGCTTCTTGATCCCAATATGCCGTTTTGCCACCTGAGATGTTTTCTGCTGGAAAAAGCTAGTCATGCCTTATTACTTGTTTCAAAGCCAAACTAGTCATTTCCTGTGCACAGGATGTGAAGAAACACCAGCAGATGGGGCTACAGGTATGACATCTGGACTGCCATTTGGTAACCTGCTAGCCCCTGGTGTACATCCTTAAAAAGTGCTGTCAAGTTCAAAGCATATTCAGGGCTTATCCAAACTTCCTCTTGTTCCGCTGCTTTCCTCTGGGGAAAACCGCTCTTTAGCACTTAATGGGAGTGCAATTTGGGTTTTGTCTGGACTGAAGTTTGCTCTGATTTAGAGCTAGGCAGTGGGTTTTCTGTAGGAAAGGAGTGAGACAAGTGGAAGTGTTGATGAGCCCTTGGAGTCAGGCTATCACAAGCTAAAGAGGCTACCACTTTGCTTTGTCATATCGCCATTTGTCCCTTCCATAAGAGTTTTATTTTTGGGGGGTGGGGGAAGGTTTGCATCTCGCCCTCACATATGGTAGGAAGAATGGTACAAAATACACAAACAAACACAGAGGTCATTGTGGGAGCAACTCCTGTAAACCAGAATGTTTCCAACTAATACATGGGCAGTGGTTATTTTGAAGGTAGTATATATTTGGAGCTCCAAAATCTTTTAACAAAGTCTGTCAAACAAAGGTTCTTTGAGTAAATGGAGCAGAGATGGCAATACAAGTGAATTAGTATCCAGTTAAACAACAAAAGACATCAGATGAGAAGGGTCTGCTGGATCAGGCCAGTGGCCCATCTAGTCCAGCATCCTATTCTCACAGTGGCCAACTGGATGGTTATGGGAAGTCTACAAGCAGGACTTAAAAGCAGTCTCCCCTCTTGCAGTTTTCTAGTGACTTGTATTCAGAAGTATTACTGTCTCCAATTGGGGAGGCGGAGCATAACCATACTGGCTAATAGCCACTGATAGCCTTATCTTCCATGAATTTGTCCAATCCTCTTTTTAAGCCATCCAAATTTGTGGCCCTCAATGCCTCCCATGGGAACAAATTCCATAGTTTAATTATACACTGTTTGAAGGAGTACTTTTGTTTGTCTGTCCTGGATCCTCTAACATCCAGCTTCATTGGATGTCCACGAATTCTACTGTTACAAGAGATGGTTATTACATCAAGATAATATTGGGGTCTTTTTGTTAGGACTAATAAGAATGGACCAAGCAAACCTTTGAATTCTCCAGAACTCTCTGTCCTATTCAGAGTAGACCCACTTAAGTTCATGGGCATGACTAACTAAGGTTCATTAATTTACATGAGCTTACTCTAAAAAGGGGACGTGGGTGATGCTGTGGTCTAAACCACAGAGCCTAGGACTTGCCGATCAGAAGGTTGGTGGTTTGAATCCCCGCGATGGGGTGAGCTCCCGTTGTTTGGTCCCAGCTCCTGCCAACCTAGCAGTTCAAAAGCACGTCAAAGTGCAAGTAGATAAATAGGTACCGCTCTGGCGGGAAGGTAAACGCCGTTTCCGTGTGCTGCTCTGGTTCGCCAAAAGCGGCTTAGTCATGCTGGCCACATGACCCGGAAGCTGTCTGCGGACAAATGCCGGCTCCCTCGGCCTATAGAGCGAGATGAGCGCCGCAACCCCAGAGTCGTCCGCGACTGGACCTAATGGTCAGGTGTACCTTTACCCTTACCTTTACTCTAAAAAGAGCTTAGTTGGAATATCCCAAAGGCTGTACTGTTTGGGGGCTTCTTAGTTTAGATAACAGAAGAGTAAGAAGTAGGTAGGGATGAGATGGGGTGAAATTAGTCAGGGGTTTTTCCTTCCTTCTCCTTCTCTCACAACAGTATAATTTGGGGTCACTCTGAACTTGGTGGGCAGTAGATTCAGGACAGAAAAAGAAATTACTTTTGACACAGCATGTAGTTAACTTGTGGAATCTGATTCTACCAAATGTGGCTTCAGTGGCTTTAAGAGGGGATCAGGCAAATTTATGGGGGTTGAAGAGGCCTGCATTACTGATTTCAATAATGGGTTGTATCTAATGCTAGTCCAATTCGGAGTACACTCATTGAAATTAAGGTAACAAATTGAGCCATGGCAATTAATTTCAATGGGTCTATTATGAGCAGGGCACAACTCAATAGTTTTAAAACTCATTTCCTCAGTTGTATTTCCTGAAAAATGTGCACACTCATTAGTTGCTATAACCATTAAAGCATCTTGGTCTGAGACTGAAAAGTGCTTTTATGTACCACAAAACCTGTTGCTCTCTCTGTGCACAAGAAAAGAAAAAAATCATAGAATATGCCTTACTTGAAGACTAAGAAGGCCCCGTTTCAGCTAGAAGGAGCTGGTAACAATATGATTCTACAGATCCAGCCCCACTGAGTTCAGTGGAGCTTACTTCTAAGTAAGTGGGTATAGGGTTGCAGACTCATTGCCTTGAGCAGCTTTGAACTGTTGCTGGGAGCCATGAAGGCATCATACAAAGGCTTGTCAACCTAAGACAGCTTCTGCACTTAAGTGACTTCCCACCACCCCAGCCCAAACTGCAGGTGACGTGCACAATTCCAGCCTAGCAGCAATTCTACCTGAAGCTTGGCTGCCCATTCAAACCCCACAATCTTTGTTGGTTGCACTCATTTGCACTCTGCAGTTTCCAGCATCACCCAACTAGTCCTAAATCTGAAATGACATACTTTATCCTGGGTCATATGCAGAAAAGCTCTTAGTTCCCCTTCTGTTCCTTCTTAGCACATCCACCCAGTCACTTTCCTCTTGCCTTCCCCTCCTCATGTGCCAAACTCTGAAATTTCATGTGGCCTTTCTTCATCCTGAAGCAACAGGAGCACCCCCTCTACACCCCACTGCTTGGACTGACAGTCCTCTTGGGATGGATCCCACAGAAGCATGTCCTATTGCCTTACCTGGGGATACCACAGACTTATACTGTCCTGGGAGGGAAACACAGGGGGCTTTTTTGAACCTAAAAAACCATTTCTGCAGACATTGAGCCTGTCAGGAAAGGTGCTGGGTTCCTATTGACCATGCCCACATCATCAAAGCATCAACCACACAATAAACTGCCAGGGCAGTTTAGTATCTGATTTTTGAAATGATCATTAATATTTCTTTAAGGTATAGGGAACCACTAATACAAACATACAGTATACATCTGTATATGTTTAAAGGCAGGCAGCTCCCTGAAGCATGTAAGAGGGTCCAAACCAAGAGCAGATCTAGCACTCAACAGTGAGTTGATTTACCCAGATTTACACTGTAGGCAAAGGTTCACGTGGCTGCAGCCAAGAGTGTTGTGCCTGCCTTTGCCCTCAGAGGCCCAAGTCAGCTTCCCATGGACAACATCCATGGACAAACCAACACTCATGATCCAACCAGGCTCCAATTCTCTGGGGAGCACCTGAACTTTGTTTCTTGCCACAACCATTTGCAGCCACCCATGTGATTGTCCCCACTACCTTCCAATCCTTGGTCTGTAGCCCCCAACTAGGAATCTTGGTGAGGGCACACCTAGAAACTGAATGCTGGTGATGTCTCACCTGTGGCGGCAGCGTCGTAAAAAACGCATGATCTTGCGAGCAGCTTGGTCCTGCTTCTTGGTGAGCAAGCTGCTTCTGCAAGGAAGGAAGGAAGGAAGGAAGGAGGAGAACATCAGGGTCCAGGAGACACCAAGGAGGAAGTGGGGAGGGGAAAAGGCCATCTAAGTAAGTGGTAGTAGAGCATCTGCTTTCAATGCTGAAGATCTCAAGTTCAATCCCAGACATTTCCAGTTTGGCTGGGAAAGACTCTGTTCCCCTTTCTGGAACCTTGAAGAGACTCTGCCAGTCAGTGCAAACAGTACTGAGCTATATGGACCAACTGCCTGCCTGTGGTATATAGAGCAGTTTAATGCTCCTACGAGGGAGACTGTCCAAACTGATGTCTGTAAAAACTTTAGCACTTTTACTCATAATAAGGGAGGCTGTCTGACAAAACACTCCATGTATTTTTTTTACTAATGTTTCTTTTTATTTTGTCTGTTTTACTTTCTCTCTCTCTCTCTTCTTTCTTTTTTATTGTCCCTTTTTGTGTGTGTTTTTATTCTTTGTTTTTCCTCCTTTTCTGGAGTCGTATGTTTGGAGCCTTTATTAAGGTCCAAAGACTGTATACTGATGGGGTGGTCAATGGTCAGTGGAGGACCCTGGGTGAGAGAGAGTGAAAGGTCAGTCTCTCAGGGTGAGAAGCTGGGAGGAGAAAGGAAAGATCCCAGGTGAGAGCTGGGAGGAGCTGCTGTCCTCTGTGGGTGGTAAGGCTAACAATTAATTTTAAGTGAGGGCTCTATATTTTACTTATTCAGTTTGTATCTTTTGTAGTTGTAATTTTACTGTATTAGAGAAAATTTTAATATATTTATTTTTAGAAAGAACTATAAAAAACCAAAACACTTTATGAACATGGGTCTTCTTCCTACAAGGCCTTTGGCTAGAATTATTCAGCCACCTGCTTTGATGCATATTGAGTCATTCTGTCCTTCATGACTGAATGCCACCCTCCTGTTGTACTTACCGATCTTGCAGCCTCCTTGCATTAGAAAGCCCCCACCTATCTGAGCTGCCCTTTTGTCCCTTTGCCCATCAGTGCCCCTTGCCTTTCTTAGCCCTTCCAATTGTGAGCTGGCAGGCACTCTTCGGTAACAGATGCAGAATCGTGGCTTCTGAGAGCAATAATGTTTGTTCCTATGCATTTGCTTGATTCATCGGGGGGGAGGGCAGAATCTAGGTTTCCTTAGTGCATAATTTATTCTTTTACTCAAGTGCATAAGCATCAATCTCTGCCTTACACCCCCTTCCATCCAGCCAGCCACTCTGCCTGGTATTGGCTGGCAAGTCAATGTGGGTGGAGGACTGCCCAAGATCAGTGAGGACTAGCCCTTGCCCTGTCTAGCTTCTCCAGCATGCCCACCTCACCTGAGCTTCTGCTGCACGAGAGCAGCCGTCCTGCGACTTTGTCTCCTCTTCCCACATTCCTTGTAGCTGCGGTAGAACTGCTGGATTAGGACAGCAGCTCTCCGGCTCTGCTGGAATTTCTTCTGTTCGTAGTAGCTTCGGAATTTGCTCTGGATGAGGATGGCAGCTTGTATCATCTTTTTATAAAGTGCATACTACAAGGGGAAGAGAGAGAAAGAGAGAGAGAGAGAGAGAGAGGCTGAAGCGCTCCCAAGGGCAAAAATAACAGTCACTCAGGGGAAAATCCAGAGATGGGCACAGAAGACTTTCACTGCAATAACAGAAAAAGTACCCTCCTGCTTTTACTAAGCAAGGCACATAATAGGGGGAAAGATTGCATCTATAAATTCCATTCCTTGTTACCCTTAACCCCCGTCCCCTCCACTAGTTCTCCACACAAAGCAGCTCAATCCCTTGAGGATGGGCAGCTGAATATGCAAAAAAGGCTCTGCCCTGAAAATGCAGAATGTATCTCAACGCAAGGTGGATCATCTGTGGCAGGCCTTCCACACCTGTTAGTCATCTCTGGATGGTGCACATGTATGTTCCACAAACTGGAAGCTGACTGGACTGGGACTTTTAGCAAATATTAACGTTTCCCAATTAAGAGTGCTTTCTATGGACAATGACAAAAATATTTCAATTACTCCTCAGAGTATGGGGGGGAAATGTTTTTTTTAAAAAATCTAATCTTCTCTAAGACGCGGTTTCCATTTATTGTGCACGTGTAAGAGACAGAGAAAGCACACAAACCTGCACACTAGGCCAAATACTTCACCAATTTTCAACCTAATAGTGGGGTGGTTCAAACATGCTATGCGGTTGGTCATGTTTAACATGAATGGGCAGCATCCAATGCAAGGTGGACAACATTTCCAGCTCTGTGGGCCAGGCCCCCATGGACCAACTCTGACAGGTAGGTGATGCCAATCAAATGATGTCATAAGGGTTATCCCACTTGCACCGGAGAACCCGTGCACAAAGTGGTCTGCAAGCCCTGAGCAGCTGATCCAGCAGGCTTTCATTCTCTTACCCAACAGCTGATGCACAGGAGAGCTGACGCCTGTCTTCCCTTGGCATTGTACAATTAGGGTTTCCAATCTGCCTGGAGCCAAGAGGAACAAGCACAGAGCCCACTGAACAAGCCATGAGCCTTGGCTTAGTATTATGTGTAAACCAGCGCCACACAGAAAAAGTGGGCTCTGTGCCTACTTGACACACAAGGCTTGCCACCATGCTAGACTGGGCCAATGGTTGATCTAGCCCCTACTGTCCGACACATGGATCACTGAATGGAGAAACTGGACAAGATGAAGCTGCCACTCCTAGTTTCCTGGCCGCATAAGCTACCTCTTGGGGGTGGAGTGCCTCTAAACCAGCAAAGTGTACAGAACTGTTGGTGTTTGTGACTGAGGAATCTCTCCCCGCTGCTCTACCCTAACCCACCGCCAAATTGTGCTTGAACCTCTCCCCGCAAATTGCCAAATCTGCACTGCTGCCAGATGATGTTCTCTCTCAATTCTCCTAATCAAGGAAGCAAACTGGTACGTTCTCCGTATGGGGAGCAGTTTAGGGGGTCACCACACTTGTAGGTGAAGGAAGAAGGTGCTGGGAAAGAGGGGATAGGAGAGGACTCAGGCCCCCATTCTGGCCCATCCTTGGCAAATTCTGTGTGCCTGTGAAATGGTAGGAATGGAAGGCCAGTGTGCCAAACTGGAGGTGGGCTTCCAGGGACCAGACGACTTCCCTGAATTTTCAGCTTTCATTTTTAAATTTAAAAGCACCTAGCCCACTTCAATTATATAAACTTAAAGGAAAATGGGCAGGCTGTTTCTGAGCCAGTTTCTTTCCCTGCCATCCAGAGCTTTGGCCATTGAGTGCAAAAACATACAAACGAAAAAGCTAAGGAAATTAAATTAGACTTCATGATTTTAACAACTTTAAATTTAACCTATTTAGCTACTTGTAGAAGTCCTTCCTTGCTTTGCAGTGATTTGCGGTCTCTCCCTTTGGCATGCACCCCAAGTCTAACTCCCTCCCCAGCAAATTCTGTGATGCCAGGCAAGGCCCTAAAAATGTGCCCCTTTCATAAGGGACAGGTTGCCATTCATAACAAAGCAGGACTGTTGGCATGCACGCTCCACAGCAGGATGCAACCCACGTGTGCTCTAGCAAAATGGACAGACCCTCTCCTTGGCTTGCAATGAAAGTGAAAAGCTCATGAGCCCAAATGCTGGGCATTTTCAGTCATTACCTTCAAGGCTATCCAAGTAAGCTTGGGAGGGGGAGAAACAGAAAATACAAGATTAACGTTCAACGGCCTGCCATGTCAGTCATCATCAGCACAGAGTGAGGGGCTCTGCCTCCTTAGGAGACCTGGGTGCCTCCAGAAGAGATTCTCTCAAAGCAAATGGGTGCTGCTGGGGGCCAACAGCCACATTCAGGTTCACCCACAACAGGGAGGGAGGAGGGTGTGCAGTTGTTGCTGCTGCAGCAGCAATTCCATGGGGAGTCCTGCTGTGGGGTGAATGTAAGATGGCTGGGAAAGGGCTCTTTGCTTGGGAGCCTGCAGAGTTGAGCTTTACCAATTTCCTCAGAAAAAGCTCTGCCATTGGTGGTTGAGAACTCAGCCACTGCCAAGCCTCTGAAGGAAGCCATTCCTCAGCTTTTGTTTTTAGAGATTCTCTCTCTCTCCTGCCTTGAAAGTTAAACACCACAGCAATACCCCAACTTTATTGGCTATTGGGGACAGCTGCAGCAACATAACATGGAAATAAACCAGCTCTCACCCTCTCTCTGTGGTGAATCTCAAGCAAAACCAGTGGTTGACAATGGCTGGGATCCAAAGTGCTGTGCAAACTGAGCAGATATCTTTAGAGTCCTCCTCATAACCTCTGCTGCTCTACATTATGACACCACAGCATGAAGCATGGCAGTTTGGAAACAAAAGCAGGTTGCTGGCAGCTACAGTAAATACAGCTACATACTTGATGTATGCAACACCTAAAAAACTAGCAGAATCTCAGGGCTTCAAGGCAAAAAAGGCCATCAACATGTGTTCGAAACTATTCCTGGGCTGTTCAGATGGCAAGGTGGGGTGAAGATTGCTGAACTGAATGGGGTTGGGGACTAGCATGTCAGACAGATGGCTAGGACAGAATATTTCCCCCTGATAGCTGATTTCCTAAAGTCCTTCTTATACATTCCTTTCCACATAAAGAGGGCCCTGGCCTCCCTCACAACCTATCTGGCCCATTAGCTCCCATACCTTGCCACCACCTTGAATCTGTACATTTACTCAAATACAGAAAAAATGCAAGTTAAGCTTCCATGCACATATTTACAGAAGTTCGACTCAACACATTGATCTGGGGGATTACTCTGAGGCTTCAGGTGGAGAAGAAAGGATGAACAGGACTGAGGTCTAACAAGCTTTTTTTAAAGGTGTCATGCTATTGATTCCCACCCCAACCTGTGGTCTGAAATGGTGCTGAAACTGTTTGACCATGCAATGAGCTGTTGGATCAGAGGGCCTCTCTCTTTGGGATGCTTAATTTTTTCACAAGAGGTATGAGGCAAAGGAAGCAGGAGTAACCCAGGCTCCCTAACTTGTGGAGGCTGAAACTTGGGTACACTCCATCTTTGAAACTTCTGAAGTAGCTCTCTGCTGAGTTATAAGAAACAAAGCAGTCCAGGGTAGCTTCTCACACTTGCCTGGTGGTACCAATATAAAGCCATCTGCAGCTCACCTGTTTGTATTTCCGGTAACAACGCTGAATGACAGCAGCGGCCACTTCCTGTTGCTCCCGGAGGGGGCGTCCCTGCAGGGGAAGGGGACAAATGGTAGAGGTAATGGGACTGCAAGCAGGACCTGAGTGCCACAGCATATAAGTGCAACGGTGTCAAGGCTGTAGATTATTCTCTGAATACCTCAGAGAAGCACCCTGTGAGAACTGGAACTCAAAGCATGGAAAGAAGTGTGGTAAAGAACATCAGGCTGCCCAATGCAGAAGCCTCTGGAGCACCACCTGACACAACCATGAAGTGCATTTTCCTGCTCCTGCCAGTGACAGCTCATGTTTTGTAGTGGGGAAACAAACACTATAGGAGAACATAGAGCAAACTGAACAATGTATTTGCAGCAGGCCCAGACAGAGGGGGGGCCATATGGGCCACTTGGCCCGGGCCTCTGATTCCAAAGAGGGCCTTGGTCAGCATACATTCCCTATGTATTTTTAAAAAACACTATTGTATATCCATATTTTCCATTTTGTCTTTATATGCAGATACGGTTCAAGCCTTGAAATAAAATTATTTGTCAGCATAACTTTTGTGAAAATTATTTATATACTTACTTATTTATAAGACTTCAGTTATCCCCAGGGTAAAAAAAAAAGGGGGGGCACATTATCTACCTGGCCCGGGCCTCTGCCTGCCTCTGCAAGGCCCTGATTTGCAGCATCAGCAGGGGAGGAGGGCACCTCCCTTGAACCTTCCTGGGCCATTTTTGTTGCTGCCCCCTTTAACACATGCAGGGGCAGATTGGACAATCATGTGCCAAACACCAGCCCTGGGCTTCCACTTCACTTGCCACTGTGCTCTAAAGTAACTTCTTTCTGTCAGCTGGCATCGGAGTGCCACTGATTCCAAAGGGAGATTTGGAGGCTTCCATGCACCCCTGATGCCATTTCCCTGCACCCACCCCTACCAACAGCGACTTCTGCCCTTCACCTTGTATTTCCTGAAGACCGTCTGGACCAGCTTGGCAGCCTCATAGAGCTCTCTCTGCTCGTGATCGGAGAGGGTCAGCTGCGCAAACTCGTTTTCGACTTTCTCGCTGGTGGAGGCGCTTAGGAATTCTGTCCAGTCTGTTGCCGAAGGGAGGCTGGGCTTCTCAAAAGCCATTTCATTGACTGGTGAGCTTGCAGGGCTCAGGCTGGTGTTGGAAGAAGGGGTCAGGGGTCCAATGTACAGGCTTCTGCAAAAAGAGGCACAGAGGGAAGACGGTCATAGCTACACAAACACCAAGACATGCTGGCTGGCTGGAGAAAAAGAACAAATCCAGGATTTGGTTCAGATTAAGGGTGGGGAGAGACAAGTGAGTTGGTCACATCTGAACCATACAGTGAAAGCACATGGTTTCCCCAAAGAATCATCGGGCTGTAGTTTACCTCCTTACACAGTTATGATTCCCAGCACCGTTAAACTACACTTCACCCTCTCTGAGGCAGGGGCTAAGTCTTGGTGCAGTAAGCTGCAAGCTTACTATTTAGCATTCCAGTGATGTTTATTTCACAGTACTTGAGGGTTAAGGGTTGAAACTTTGTTGTAACTAGTTAACTTGCTCCACACCCAGCGAACCTGAATGGAACCTGTTTCAGGGATGTTCTGAACCTTTACTGGCTTGACTCAGAAAAACAAAGTGGATTAATTTTAGCTGCTGTAACCCAAAATTCAGAAATGAACTAAAGCATCTAACAGCTGGGCACTGGCTAGGAGATTCCCCCCCCCCCCCAATATGGCAGCACCAGCAGCAACAAGGAGCCCCCCTCCTCCCTGGTGGGTTTTCAATTTTGCAAGGTGAGGGCCAGAAAAGTCAATATGGGCCAGCGGGCATCACAAGCTTGACCAGTCCTGGTAATACAAGGCCACAGACCTTATTTGAGCAGCACTTGGTAAATGGTCGACATCCGCGAGGTAACTGGCCAGCCAGCTCATTGAAGTGCTAATGGTGGCGCTCTCCGTCCTCTCGGCTGGTGGCGCCTCCATCGGCACAAAGTTTTCCCGCTTGATCCTCTCTGGGGTCGCTTCGATGATGTGCTCTGCCAGAGTCATCATGGTCACCTGTGAAGTGAGAAGGAAAGCTTTTCAGGGGCATGTGGGTGGAGGTAAGGCGAGAACAGCACTTCCCACCACCTCCCTTCCTGTCAGGTCTCAGAACCTGCTCCTGTCAGACCAAGGAGGAACACTGTACATAAAATGCTTGTGCTTGGGTTTTGAAGGTAAAAAGTATTCTGCAATTGGCAAAGGTCGAGGCCTTGTCCCATTACACGATGCTGCAAGTCTATTTAGCAGTAGCTGGTGATGACAAGAGAATCTTATTATGCTTGGTTCAGATAAATTCATTCTGATTGGTCTGTGTGGCTGACAGCAGACTCTGATTGGCTGGAGATTCTCGTCAGTTGGGAGTTAAATGTCAGTTGGGCCCCATTTGCCCTCTACATTTAAACCATTTTAAACTGTCATGGCTTCACTCAAAGCATCATGGGAAACTGCAGCTTGTGAAGGCTGCAGAGAGTTGTCAGAAGACCTATTCCCCTCACAGGGCTATAATTCCCAGATTGGTTTAAGAGTCAATCCCTCTTCCCAGGAAAACTCTGGGAATTGAATCTCTGTGAAAGAAGGGGAAAGGGGTGTCCTAATAACTCTCTGCACTTTTATCAAACTTAACAGTTCTTGGGATTCTTTGGGGGAAGAAGCCATGCCTGTTTAAAGTCACATCTTTTTGCTTTAAATGTATCATGCAGGTTGGGTCTTAAGAAAGAGCCCGTCGAAGTTTGACAGTTGAGGGAAAAGGGGAGTCAATAAGGTGTGTGAAGAAAAGACCAGAGAAAGAAAGCTGAGGCATAAATACTATTGCTCAGTGTGTTATTAATACTCATTTGATGACAATGAAGGGAAGGGAGTTAGCTTGAGAGGCTGCCCTGTGTCTTCCCACAAGCAGGTTTTTGAAGTTGACCAAACAGTCCAAACAGCCAGGAGTACAGTTTGCCCCCAGGAGCTGGGGTGGGTGGTGGGCAAACTTGTCTATGGTGGATGTTTAGGGAATTTGGGTTGAGGTGAAAGAGGCTGGGGTCAGCAACAGCAGCACTTCGTGAGCCTTCAGAAAGTGTCAACAAACATCTTTAAGACCCCTTTGCAAATATCCATGTTTCCCTTATGCACACAGCATTCCCCTTAAGAAGCCAGCCATCTTGGTCAGGAGTTCATCCTGTCTCTAGTGTAAATGTCCACCTCACCCCTAAGCTGGCTATATCAGCTACTAGGAGGTTTGGAAAGCAGTTCTGAGCGTGTTGGTAGCAGTGGGAAATGAAAGCAGCACAGCTACCTAAACCTTTGTTTATTGTACCAGCAAGGCTGAGGGAATTGGGTTCCCTGATAGGGCTTGTAGTCAGCAGTAAAAGCAGAGCCTCCCAGTCCCTCAGAATAGCAAGGAGGGCTGACATAGAATCTTTTAAATGGTCAGGGAATATCATCTGACCCACCTTGGCCTTTTTTGCTCTACTGAGGGCCACATGCAGTGGGCAGACCCCTTGCCCTTCTTTACACTCACATACATGCTAATAGACACCCATTATTTCCTCCCATCCTTATTTATTTCAGATGTTTATATTCCAGGCCAGGTTCAAGGTTCTTCTGCTGATATACAACACCCTGAGTAGCTTAAGCCCAGGGTACCTTAAGGACTGTCTGAACCTTCATATATCCCAGCCTGATCACTGAGATTATCCAGGTGAGCACTGCTAGTTGCTCCCCCATGTTACAGAAGCCCAATGGGCCTCAACCAAAAATTGGGAGTTTAAGTGCAACAGGTTCCATGCTGTGGAACACTCTTCCAGCAGAGATTTGGCAATGGCATTCTCACTTCCAGCTTTTTCATGAAGTTTTTTTTTTAATGTTTAAACTACCTCTTGCATAGCTAGTCATTTTAATGATTGTTTTGTTTGAAGTGCTTTTGATACCGGACGGTTCACTCTCCTGGTATGTGTTTTATGAAGGCTCACCTGCAGGTCATCCATGTGATGCAAGCAGTCCTCACTTTCTGTGCCGTCCCGGAAGGAGAGGAGCTCTGCGTCAGCCACCTCCCGCTCCGCCATCATCAGCACGCTCATCTGCTCCCGCGGATGGAGCCGCTGGGCCCCTGAGTCCTTCCCCAGCGCCAGCCCCTTGGGGCTGCCTGCCACCTGCATCGCAGGCACGCCAATATACGCCTCCTTTGGGCTCCACTTGGCCCCTGCCTGTGTGCCGGAGCCGTGGTAGCCAGCCACTTCGGAGACAAGCTCCCGCGCATAGTCCCGCACCCCATGCCTGGGGCTGATTGTCTCTGGGAGGGATTGCTTAGCACTGGAGCTTGGCTTCCGGGCACTCGGCTGCTCCAGGCTCAGGGCGGTGGAAAGAAGCTTCTCCTGCCGAGCAGAGAAGTAGTCGGGGTTCAGTTTGTGTTTTTTGGGCGCGGGGTACTCCTTCTGGCTCTCGCTGCTGTAGTAACTGGAGGGCTCGGACCGGGGCCGCCTCAGCTCTGGAACCAAACAGAAGACAAGTGAGGATTCAGCCATGCGAGTGTGCATGTGCATGTGCTGCTCCCATGAAATGTGCCCTGCGTTCAGTCTGCCAAAGGGACCATGAGGTTCTGGAGGCCTGGCAAGCAAGTGCCCAAGGTGGGGAACAGCAGAGCACCTCTGCATCAGCTCTGTATGGAGATGCACGCAGGCCCCCTCCTTATGACAGAGGGGGCAGGCACCTTAATTTCCCCACATATGTGAATAGCATCCCTGCGTAAAAGGGCACATTTGGTGGACACTGTTGAGAGGGGGCAAAACTGGTCTCTAAACTGGCCTCACCCTGAGTCTGTTTCTAGATGATAACAGGAAGGCAAGGGTCTAGTTGTGATAAACCAAGAGGACTCAATCACCTGCACTGGATGAACAGAACTTGTTAAGCTGGGGTACATAGTGCCTGTGTTCTGCTGTTGCACTGCCCCTTCCCTCCTCAGTACCAGATGTCAGGTGTAAAGTAACCATAGCTTCCCATTCCATATAAACCAGGAAACCATGGTTGCCAGGGCTGGCACAAACCAGGTTCTGAAACCACAGTAGAAGTTTGTCTCAAAACCTGGTGTGCCCCCACCCTGGTAACCAGCATTTCCTGGTTTGGACAGAAAAGGAAACAATGGTTAACGCAGGAAGTCTTCATGGTGTGCAGCAAGAGCAGAAGAAAGAAGTGGATGGAGCCAGCAGGTAGAAGGTTTGTGTGTAGCTCAGCTTATTGAGCCAGGATACTGACGTCCAAAGTTAACCACGGTGTGATCGTCCTAAGTTTCTGGGAAACAAATGAAGGAGGAGGAGAATGGGCCAAACCTTTTCTCCAAGGAATGTGATGGAGGCCTTTCAAACAAAAACAACAACAACATCGTACCTGTATTGGAATTGGAAATCACGGTGACTCCCTTCTGGGGCTCCTGAGAGGCCACCATCTCACTGTGCCACTGGGCGATCCAGTTCTCACTGCTGGGTTCCTCATGCGAAGGACAGGGGATCCGGGGGGTTTGCCTGAGTTGGGCTTGCTCCTCCCGCTGCAGGTGCTCGAGGCACTCAGCCAGCTTCACGTGGCCCCGAGAACGAGCAATAGCCAAGGGGAGCCTCCCGAGGGAGTCGGGGATAGAGATAGCGCGGCGGTCCCACTTGTAAAGGACCACAGCTGCATCCATGTGGCCCAGCGCGCATGCCCACATCTGGAAGAAAAAAGAAGTTGGGTGGGCAAGGAAGAAAAGGAGAGGGGACTGTGGCAGACTACAGGACCCACTCAAAGAACTATCTGTTTGTAGGCTTGTTAAGTCTTGGTGTGTGCACCCCAGGATATGACAGCTCCATTGTTTCACATTCAAGTCTCTTGGAGTTGGACACAGCTGGCAAGCCTACTCCATCACATATGCTCAGGGAAAGGGAGTGGCATGTTAAGGATGCAAAACTTGTGCAATGATCCCAGTGGGAAACTCATGCCACCCTCTCCCTGGTTACCACAAGCTGCAAAGAAAAGCGACTTTGAGCACCTCGTGGGCAGGGCATAGCTACTTACCAGCGGCGTGCAGGAGAAATGATCCACGTTCAAGGGGTCCACTTCCAGCTCTAGGTCGATGCTGTCAGCATGCTTGGTACTGGGGGCCCAAAAAGGAGACTAGTCATTTGGGGCTGCTTACTCAGGGGAGGGGGGGAATCTTTGCCCCAAAGAAAATGTGGGCGGCAGCTCGACTGTGGTGCTTTTTTTTATTAAGTTACTTGCAAAAAAATTAATTGTACATTTGAATTACATATTGAAGAGGGGGAAATTACAAACTAAACATCCTCCATAGCACCCCCCCTTTTACCCCACTTAAAGACATATAAACTATAAATAATAACAGTATTTATTATAAATAATAACAGTAAAGTTTGTATAAGCACTGGAGTGGAGAGAGTCTGAAAGTTGCTGATGTCAATCTAAAGAAAAATGTGTTTTTTTTACAGAAAGTGCCATTTCCCAGATTACACTGTACCATTTTAATACATTTAAACACTTTGTTTCTTTCCAATTTCTGGCTAGCAATGTTCTTGCTGCCATTTAACTAAGCCTTAGTTCGTCTCTGCTGAATACACCTAACAATGCTATTTCTAGTGGTTTTTTCCCTCTTCTTCTTTACAGGTTTTCTCAGTATTTTTGTTACTTCTACAAATATTTCATCCCAGAACTGGGCAACTTTGGCACTTTACCACCACATGTGTGTGAAGGAACCATGAACCTGACATCCCCTGCAGCAAGCAGCTGAGTAGGATTTTGGTGCTTTTTTTAAGGCATTAAATGCCATTTTTGTATTATTTTCAAAGAAATTTATTTTAGTCTTGCTGAATTTGTTTTACAAGGATTTTTTCTCCCATAGCTGCCCAATCTTCATCCAAAATAGTTCAATTCTAGACAGATTCCCACACTGTGACTTTCAATCAAGCTTCCCCAAGTGGCAAAGGCCACACACCCAGAGTGCTCAGGGATTTAAGAGTTTCTTTTTTTGCTTATTTGGACCCAATAATAGATTGCACTCATGTACTGTGAAGATATAGCTACCACAGCAATGGGAGGAATCATTTGCACAAGGGGTAGTCAACTAGTCACTTGAGGGCTTCAATAGCCCTTAAGGGGTTCCTACCAAGTCCCCAGGACAGCCCTGAACCCCAGGAGCTGCCTCCTCCTATGTAAGCAGCATAGCCAAGTGCCCATCCCCAGAACCTGCCCCTGCACCCCCCCAGGTGCTTACCGCCATTTAAGGAGAGTCTGGATGAGGGTCGCATAGCCCTGGGCTGCTGCCAGGTGCAGGAGGGTCATCCCCCGGAAGGTCTTGGAGTGGATGAGGTGCTTGGATTTGGCCCAGCAGGCCCTGCTCATCATCTTCTCACACACAACCACCACACGGCTCTCAAAGCAGTTCCCCAAGGTGGCTGCCCCCGAGACGCACTGCAAGGGAGAGATGCACTGGGCTCAGGGGCTAGCTCTCAGGAGAGCAAGCCAAGCAGTGTGGGCAGAGAGTCTAAGGCTTCTTAATGGATTTTGCCATGAACAAATGACAGCTTGAAGGGTGGAAGAGTCTGTCCTCAAACAGCTGGGGCTTGTTGGCTCTGTGCTATGAATGGGTCATGTCCCTCAAACATGGGAAAACACAAGGAAGTGCAAGTCTGAGCTTGTGAGAAAGGACCATCACAGCTTTCCCCAAGAATACAGCTGGGAAGGGCCCAAGGAGCTAATGCGGAAGATACGCTGGTTGTTGCTGCTGCTGTTTTGTTTTTTTTAAACTGTCTATGCATTATTTTCCCCCTTCAGAATGAGCAACCAATTACACTAACTACAATATTAGTGGCTCTCATTTCTGAGCATTTTAGCTTCTTTAATTTCCACATAGTAGCACATATCTCTCCTTACTTGTTGTCTTCAAGGGGCAATTTTTGTACCCAAAATGGACTGTTCATCTTCATTATCAACACTGAACATAGAAGATAAATAGCAAGCTGCCTTTTGCTGAGTCTGACTATTGGTCCATCTAGCTCAGTACTGTCTACACTGACTGGCAGCAACTCTCCAGGGTTTCAAGCAGGAGACATTTCCAGCCCCACCTTGGAGATACCATGGGAGGTTGAGCCTGGAACCTTCAGCATGCAAAGGAGGGGCTCTACCACTAACCTACAGTGGGTGGTCCAGCATCATGGAGCACAAAGCCTCTACCTTAAATGTTCCCCTCCTCCCAGATGGTACTGGTGGTTTTTCGTTTCGCACCATTAGCAGCCACTTCAAAGTCAAGAGGGAGGAGGAAGCCTCCCTAGAGTGGCACAAAAGTCTGAAGAGACTGCAAAAGTCTCTTGAATGTAAAGTACTCCTGTGGGGCACCCAGGAACACAGCCAGGGGGCTCAGCATGTACCTGTGCTTGGCTACCTCCATTGCCGCTGCCGTTGCCCCCACCACCACCTACGCCTTGCTTGTGCTGCTGCTGCTGGGACCCAGTCATTTCGGCCATCCTCCGCTCCATCTGCTCAAGTCGCTCCAGGATAGACATCCTGAACTGGTTCTCTGCGGCAACACAGGAGAGAAACAAAGAGAAAGAGTGTGAATCAGAGGGCTACTCCCATTCCTGACATGGGGAGCAAAAGCAAAAGGCAAATCACTGACAAAAAGGTCCCAAGTCTTGAGAAGTTTGTGTGTGGAGTAATCTGGGGGAATCAATGTGCTAGCAATTCTTCTTCTGCATCACACTGTCCTGCTTCTGAGTGCTTTCTTGGGTTTTCTCAACCACCCAAAACAGAATCAGCTTCTGTATTTAAACATTCTCAAAAAGAAAGCAATGCATGCCCAGGGTCTTTGGCCCTGTTGGCACCTTCCAATGGATAGACCAAACAACAGCTAGCAGGCATGTAGGCTAAATGGGCCCTCCAGGTTGCAGGCGTTTATCTTTGGATACCAAGGCACTGAGGACGGCCAGCTTGCATCCTTCCAAACACCCCAGTGAAACAGTGAGGAACCTCAGGCCTGGGGGACTTATGCAGCCCTCTTGGTGTATCTGGCACCAAGAGTCTCTGCACAAGCCACATCCACCACTGACCCTACTCTGCACTCTCAGGATGCTTCTGCCCTTGAAATGTCACAATGCATCTTGCTTGCCCAGATTTCATGTAGAAACCGTTCGGCCAGCCATGTTACTTTTGAGTCATTGACCCTGCTTCTCTCTCAGGTGGGGGAACAGTGAAGCAATTATATATAGGGTACCAATGCCCTTGGAAGACTGACACTCAAATGCAGAATGCAGCTGCTGGATTGGTGGGTAGAGCAGCCCCAAGGGGCCAAGCATCACCAGTCCTGAAAGTGCTGCCCTAAACAGCTGGGACCCAAGTAACTCCCCCCTTCAAATACCAACCATTCCAAGCCCTACAATTGGTGCTGCCACTTCTGGTAGTTGTTCAACTGGCACTGACTAGCGACAGGGCCCCTTTGGTGGTGGTTCCCCATCTGTGGTCCTCCCTGGTGAGATGCCTCTGTCTCTCTCAAAACTAACATTTAGGAGGAGTTTAAACACATTTCTATTTGATAACTGAGAAATTCTGATTCCAGCAAGCTTGACATTATTAGCTGTTGTTTTCAGATGTCCTTAATTGCTTTAAATGTTTTATTTTTAACTACACTGTCTTCCTGCTTTGTTGTTTGCCTCCCTGGGATCTTGGTGGTGCTGGGGGACAGAAATTTGACAAGCAAATAAATATAACCTAGTTGGCCATTCCCCTACCCCAGATTCTTCCAGGCATCACCCACATGTTTGAGGGCCTAATATCTGCAGCCTGGAGGAAAAGGACTTTGCTGTACAGCATAATTATAGAATGACAGAGCTGCAGGACATCTAGCCCAACCTTGTGCAAGGCAGAGATCTGCAACTACAGCACCCATGACAGCACCCTAACAGGATAGATAGAGCCCATCACCTCAGAGGCTGCCTTCCTTCCACAGTGGAAGATCCTGTACCATGAGGGGCATTCCTCCTTCCCATTTGCACCCTTGGCCTCTGGGCTTGCCCTCTGGAGCAAGGGAGAGAATCCATGTGCTCTACCTTAGGTTGTGGTCATCAAGTGATGAACCTGCCTGGAGGAAAACCAGCTCTCCCATGAATCCAGCTAGGGACTGAGATCCCTGACACTGTCAGATTTCGACGGGGGGGGGGGCACTCCCTCTCTTGGGATTTCACTCCACTTCCAGGGTGGCAAACCAAGGCAGGTGGTTCCACAGCCCACCTCTTCTGGCTGAGTAGCCTATTTTTGGGGAGCACAAATAGTGCTGAGTAGCCTATTTTTGGGGAGCAAAAATCACCCACCCGCCAGCTAGCTGTATACTAATCACACTATTGTCCAAAAAGCGGCCCCGAGGGTCAACCAGTTCAAGGAGGCCTGGCACTTCCTTGGGGCGGGGGGCGGGGCAGGCTTCACCACTTTCTTGTTCCAATCGCTTTCTCTCCCCGTCCCCCGCATTTCAAAATAAGTTTCCTTACGTTTCGGAAGCCCCGAGGGAGAGGTCGCCGCCGCTGCTGGCGGTGGGCGATCGGGAGCCTCCTCCCGAAGTAGGGGATAGCGAGGAACTTCCGTGGGGGGCGGGGGAGAAGAGGGCGCGTTCCTTCCCCACGTGCGGCTGGGAACTTTCCCCGCTCCTCGTCCGCGCCTGGCGCTCCCCTGGAGTCCGCTCCCACCTTCCGCGCGGGCCCCGCGGTGGCGCAAAGAAAGTGGGCAGGGCGGGAGCGAGGCGCACTTACCTGCCAGCCAGCTCGCCCGCCCGCCCGTGGGTCCCTTCGGACGCAGCCCGAGCGAGCGAGCGGCCGGCCAGCCCGCCGGGCTCTTTGGGCAGCCCTCCTTTTCCTTCCCCGCCTCTGCGCGGCCAATCCGCAGCGCGGAAAGTGACATCAGCCCCCGCTGCCGCCGGGGAGCGCCCGCTCGCCACACGCGCGCCGGAGCCAATGAGGAGCCGTCGGGGCAGCGCAACAGGTGCCCGGCCCGGGACGCCCCGCGCCGCCGCCGCCCACCTCGCCCGCGGAGCCCAGCCCAGCCCTGCCTTGCCTGCGCCGTCCGTCGCGGCCCCGCCATGCCCGGCCGGAGCGCACGAGAAGGAGGAGAAGGAGGATGCGCTCGCCCCGGAGAGCGAGCGACCTGGCCAGTCCCGCTCGCTCTTGCCGCCGCTCTGCGCCCGCAATGCAGCCGCCGGGGAGGGGGCGCTCCGCATTATGACAAAGCGCGGCTGGAGCCGCCTCCGCGCGGCAACGCCGCCCCCCTCCCGCCGGGCTGAGCCGCCCGCCTCGCCCCTTCGCCGGCCCTGGCTGGCTGTCGGCCGTCGCCCTCCAAGCTGCAAGGCGCTATGCCTTGCGCCGTCCCCCTCCCTTCTCCTCCGCGGGCTGAAAAGTGCCCCCTCCCCACGGCTTGCCTTCGGGTTGCTCCTGCCGTCCCTGGATTCGGCCTCCCTGCTTCCCCCACTCCCCCCCATCCCTGCGGGTGGGCTTTGGCGGGAGCCTCCTCCAACTCTTGTGCTGGGGCATCCGTGAAGCAAAGGGTCTGCGGCAAGGACGCATGGCTAAACTGGGGTGGGATCGACGTTGGGACGGCCTTCCCTTGGGCAGGTCCCCTTCAGCATACGGAGCAGAGCCGGCAAGGCAATCCTCCCCCTTTTCCTAGATCAGCTATACTTTCCTCTCTTCCCACCCCCAAATCACACGAGAGCCATTATTCCCTGCCTCCCCCTCCTGCATGCCGGTGCCCAGCTCAGCCAAGCCAAGCCTGAGAAATGGCTTTGGGCATTCCTGCATTTCAGGGTGTGACACGCTCCCCATTTTGAAGGCTGCCTCAGGAGACGATGGGCTCTCCTTGGCTGGAGGTGGAACGGTCACCAGCTGCTAAGGAGGCTGCTATTGCAGATTCTGCACTGAGCCAGGCATCACGTGTCTCCAAGGTCCCGCCCCAGTCTATAATACAACTTGTCTACATCATTCTTAAGAGTGTGGCACTCATACCTGGACATAGTCCTCCAGACCAGGTTGGACTACTGCCGAATAAATTAGAACTATTACTTCCCAGGACTTGGAAACTATGATCCTATTCATGTTGCCTAAAATTATTTGCCTTTTTTTTGCAGCCATATCACAGTGCTGGCTCATGTTCAGGTTGTAGCTGATTACAATTCTGAGATCATTTTTGCATGTAATGCTGCCAAGGCAGGTCCCCCCCCCCCAAATGACAACAGCAACAACACTTCAGGGTGCCTCTCTCTAAATATAGAACTTTGCATTTGTTGCTGTTATTTTTTTAAAAAAATTAGTTTTGGCCCAGTTTCCTGTTCTCACAAGGTCTGCGGTGATAGTAGCTCTCCCTCACAGTTTTGCATCATCTGCAAATGCTCATTGTGTCTTTGAGCAACCCTCACGCTTGCAAGGATAGTGGCCTAGCTCTTGCTAAGGCATTGCAGCTACACCTGAGTATAGTACATCAGATTAAATGTACCTGAGGGATCCTCTGATTAACTGATCCTTCCCCATGAAGAAGAAATGTCTGCAGAAGGAGCTCAGAGCCCTTCCTCTCCCCAACAATTTTCCACATGGGGGGTTTGTTGTTTTGGCACACAGGGATATTTTGTCATGTGGCTCCCCCATGAAATGTCTGGAGTGATGCAGCCCACAGACAGCTCAGAGCCCCAAAGCAGAGCTGCTTTGCAGGAGCTGCACCTCCTCCCAGGTGTCTCCCTCCCTGGGCAGGTATTCCTCACTGCTAGCAAGTCGGGTTTCCTGGATTTTCTGGAAGTGTTCAAAAAGAAAGCTCCCTGGACTGTCTTTTACCTGCCTTGCTGTTTGGCAGACTTTTATGGCTTTGATTCTTGTTGCATTTGAATGGTAATCATTTCCTACCCCACCACCACCCCTGTGCAAACGGAGCCAATAAAATTTGATTAGATGAAATCAGAATGGTGCCCTATCGTCTCCTGTAGGAGAAAAGGGATCTCTGTAGCACCCTCCATCTCTCCCACTCACATCTTTTAGCTTGGTGAGCCTCAGTTCCCCCAGGAAACCTGAGCAGTGCATTTTCATTATCCCCCATTTCACCCTTTAAGCTACAGAAAATCCAGGTTGCCTGAGTCAGCTGGAGGTGGAACTCTTTGAAGAGTCGCCTGGGAACAATCTGGGTCAGCTTCCCCACCGCCAAGGAAATTAATAGACCGAGCCTCTGGCAGAGCATGGCTTTTTCCACAAAGGAACAGGTAGAAGGAGGAGCAGAGCTCCTGCCATCCTCCCGCTCATTTGCACAGCCTTCCCCAAGCTGGTGCCTTCTAAATGTTTGGGTTACAGCCTTCCTCACAATCCTTAACCATTGGTCATGCTGGCTTTTGGGGTCGCTCTGAGTTGGAGGCCAGCATCAGTAATCTGGAGGGCACAAAGCTTTGGAAGGCTGGTGGATGTGGTTGCCTAGGGGAGGCACTGTTTTTGGAATCATGGAATTGTAGAGTTTGAAGGAACCACTCTGCAATGCAGGAATCTTTTGCCCAACGTGGGGCTTGAACCCACAACCCTGAGATTAACAGTCTCATGTTCTGCCAACTGAGCTATCCTAGAACTTGTGGCATCCCTGTTACTGATAGAGCACATCTGGGGCTGCAGAGTTCTGAAGCACCCCAGAAACACTTGTGATTGCCCTTGCAGTCACTTCTGGTTCTATACATCATTCTTAGATTCTGGGCTTGCTTTGGAATGAGATTTATCACTCAGGAGTGCTCCAGAGTCACAGGGGCTGAGACCTGCTGGTGGATGGGCTAGTTAAGGTATCTTTTACAAGACAAAACCGAAGGCAACAGCTCTGTTTGCAAGGAAGGGATTCGCCAGCGATCAAGCCTGACACTTTCCCCATCTTCAGGAGATTGGAGCCCCCACTGCACAGTCTGACCTCCTGCCCCCAAGACCACCCACCACTCTGGAAGCTATGTTTGCATTTCTCACCATCCAGGGACAGCCAGTCATGCTGAGAGGAAGGCAAGGGTGGCAGTGCCCGTGCTTTGTACTCAAAGACCACCGAGTTGGAGATGATCTGGTTGTTGAAGGCCACTTGCAGAGTGACGAGCCCCGTGTCATGAGCTGAAAGGCAAAGGGAGACGGTGGCTTTTAAGAAAGTGATCCCAACACACGGAAGCCTTCACTGGGCACCTGCAAAACACACCTTTCTCATTGTGTTGGGGACTGTGGCAACTCCCTCTCCTCCCCACCACCTGCCCTTTCTGGAAGCAGAGGCTGGCTCTCTGTCTGCTGCAAAGTGGTAAGGTAAAGGTAAAATTCCCCCGGACAGTTAAGTCCAGTGAAACTATGGGATGCGGCGTTCATCTTGCTTCAGGCCGAGGGAGCCTGCGTTTGTTCGCAGACAGCTTTTTGGGTCATGTGGCCAGCATGACCATTTAAACAACAAACTGAACTGAACAACAGGACAGCTTAAACAATGCAATAAAACTGGGACGGCAGCAGCAGGTGGGGAAAAAATCTATATGAAAAGCAACAGATCAGAAGACAGATCTACCGACACGACAGTCAAATTGAACCTCCATGCTCAGAGGCCGTGTCCCTACAAATAACAGATGCTGGAAACGAATGGCGGGGAGGGCTTCCTTACTCCTCCCCAACTCATAGGTTTCCAGGAACCTGGCATGCTGCGGTTGGAAGCCAAAGGCTTGAACTGGCCCCTGAAGGACCAGGTGTGCAGCCTGGGAGTCATTTTAGACTCACAGCTGTCCATGGAGGCACAGGTTAATTCTGTGTCCAGGGCAGCTGTCTACCAGCTCCACCTGGTACACAGGCTGAGACCTTACCTGCCTGTGGACTGTCTCGCCAGAGTGGTGCATGCTCTAATTATCTCCTGCTTGGACTACTGCAATGAGCTCTATGTGGGGTTACCTTTGAAGGTGACCCGGAAACTGCAATTAATCCAGAATGTGGCAGCTAGACTGGTGACTGGGAGTGGCCGCCGGGACCACATAACACCGGTCCTGAGAGATCTGCATTGGCTCCCAGTACATTTCCGAGAACAATTCAAAGTGTCGGTGCTGACCTTTAAAGCCCTAAATGGCCTTGGTCCTGTATACCTGAAGGAGCGTCTCCACCCCCATCATTCAGCCCGGACACTGAGATCCAGCGCCGAGGGCCTTCTGGCGGTTATCTCATTGCAAAAAGTGAGGTTACAGGGAACCAGACAGAGGGCCTTTTCGGTAGTGGCGCCCGCCCTGTGGAACGCCCTCCCATCAGATGTCAAGGAAATAAGCAGCTATCTTATCTTTAAAAGACATCCGAAGGCAGCCTGATTTAGGGAAGTTTTTAATATTTAATGCTGTCTTGTTTTTAACACTCGATTGGGAGCCGCCCAGAGTGGCTGGGGAAACTCAGCCAGATGGGCGGGGTATAAATATTATATATTATTATTATTATTTGCCCCAGCTCTTTCTGATGCAACACCTCCAGCACAGTGGCTTTAAAACACACACACACTCTCCTGGATTTCTCACCTGGGCAATAACAGCGCAGCACCCCCGGCTGTATCAAGGAGGCCGGCACTGAGATCTGGTCAAACAGGCAGCTGTAGTTATTGCTGGCCTCCTGCCAGGGCCCTGTGATCAGCACCTTCACGCCCCCCTGCAGAGTAAAAAAGCAAGCAGAGCAGGGAATGGGGGTCAGGAGGAGTCAATCTTGGATCACTCTTGGCTGCCTCCTCTCGGGGGCTCCCTCCTCCTCCTGCTCCACAAAGTTACTGGCATTTGCCACAGAGAGAGAAAATAAGAGTCATATGGATGTCAAGGGGCTCTCAGCCCTGGCGGCCAATGCCTGCTGCATGTGGGACAACCAAGACCAGGCAAGCAGGCAGGGCTCCATGGCGAGGTAGGAGGGCCTCCCATATCTATGAGGTGGCTTTCAGTTGGGAACTGGAAGTGTGGAGCTGTGTGTGGTTCAAGGTGCCCAACTGAGGCTTTGGACTACAACTCCCATCATCCCCAGCTGTCACGGCCATATTGTAGCCCCAAACATTGGAAAGGCACCACTCAGCAAAGGCTAGCTTTGTGGGAAGCAGAGAAGAACCATGTGCCACTCCATCAGATACTGTCTTCCTTATTTCCTCCAACAAAGTCCTGTAACCAATGCCACCTAGTAGACAGGAAGTTAAGTGTAAATGGGGCAGATGTGAGCTGGTATTCAGCTAAGACCTATGCAGAGTAGACCCACTGAAATTAATGAACCTAAGTTGCTCATGTCTGTTAACTTCAATGGGCCTACTCTGAGTAGGACTAGCATTGAACACCACCAGCAGGGGTTCAAATACCACCCTTGGCTTCAGTGGCCTAGAGAAGTCGGTCTTTGCCTCAGTTCCCCATCTGAAAGAATGGAAGATGCAGCAACCTATTGTCTGATGAATGTTATCAGGCATGTTCACTGCCCAGCTTTCTTCCCAATAAGGACCTCAAAGCTTGTTGCCATTCCACCTGAAGGAAAGCCCCTTGAAGCAGGAGAAATAAAAACCAATCCATCAATACTGGAACCACAACACAGGAGAGGGACATTCAGACTTCCTTTCCAAAGCGCTTCCAGAAGAAGGGAGCTGCTGCTGCAAAGGTCCCTCTCCGCTCACCTGTAGCTCCTGAGTCAGGCTGAGATTCTCAGGGCCCAGCTAGACAGTAGGAGAGAGAAGTGGATCACAGTCTCCTGATTTTGCTAAAAAACGTAAAAGAGCCTGGAGGAGCAGCAACAGGGGAGGGCCATCTTAACCCACTCTCCCTCTGCCTGTTTTTCAGAACAATATTGTGCCTGACTCACTAGGAGGAAAAGACACAATATTTCCCGCTGTGGGCATTTTCAGTGAGAAGTGGCTCTGTGGGGAAAGCCACAGTAGCTTGCTGCAGCTGCTGCTTATTCTGCAAAGAAAACTGACCCTTGACTCTGAAGGGAGGACTTATTTTAGCCTAAGTTGCATGGGAGAGGGAATCAAATGTGGGCCGGGGGAAGGCTAGGCCTCTGTCCCATTGCTGCCTCTGTCCAAGCAAGTAGGACCAGAAACATCTTCAGGTTGCAGAGCCGCCCTGCATTGGTTTCTGCCAAAGAGGAAATGCCACATTTGGGCAGGAGATCTAAAAACCTGGAGAGAATCCGAAATATGCTTCTCCTGTGCTGACCCCCAGTGGCAGAAAGGCAGGAAAACACTTTTCAAAAAAGTGATTTTACCAGCTTGGATTGGGAGGCCCTCGACACACACATTGTTAATACTTTCCAAATCTACTTCTCTAAAGAGTCAAAAGTGTGGATGCTGTGAGCAGGTCTGGTTGCAGCTCCTTGGCCAGTGCACATTTAGTGTCCACCCTGGGAGTCTTGGTGTGCAGTTGGAGAAAGGTAACACAGAAGGATGTGTTTCATGAAAGGCATCCCATCAACACGCAGGCACTTTGCTCTGGGAATGGACTGGTTTATTTCTGGGGTTAAGATGAATGGCTTTAGGAAACAGGGCGGAAATGTTCACCCATTCAGTGAACACCTGCCCAGTCTGGTTTGGTTTTGTGATGTCACCATGTGGCTAAAGCTGATTGGCTGCGTGGCACTGCCAGGAGGCCAGCTCTCTACCTGCCTTTCATCCAAGGTGCATTTTGCACTTTTCTGCCCGAACAAATGCTCTACATAGGTGAGCGGGTAGCAGGGCAGCATTCTGGGTGGCTTCAAAATATTTCTAGGCTGAAGCTGGCAATTGTGTCACTCACCTAAAAGGTAAAGGGACCCCTGACCATTAGGTCCAGTCATGATCGACTCTGGGGTTGCGGCGCTCATCTCGCTTTATTGGCCAAGGGAGCCGGCATACAGCTTCCAGGTCATGTGGCCAGCATGAGTAAGCCGCTTCTGGCGAACCAGAGCAGCACATGGAAACGCCGTTTACCTTCCCGCCGGAGCGGTACCTATTTATCTACTTGCACTTTGATGTGCTTTCAAACTGCTAGGTTGGCAGGAGCAGGGACTGAGCAACGGGAGCTCACCCCATCGCGGGGATTTGAACTGCCGACCTTCTGATTGGCAAGTCCTAGGCTCTGTGGTTTAACCCACAGCGCCACTCGCGTCCCTCACCTACCTACTCCCAATAACCCCAATCTCTCTCTCAGCCTAAAACAGGGAGGGACAGAGGCCTTGTTGGGAATGAGAGACTGTAATGCCTATTGGAAAGAAGAATATAGGAGCACCAGAGGAGCCCAGCAGCAGCTCGATCAGGTCCCAGAATCCTGTTCTCGCAGTGGTCAACCAGATGTTTTTTTCTGGGAAGTCCACAAGCAGGACACGAGCACAACAGCAGCAGCAGCAGCAGCAGCACCCTCCCTACTTGTGGCTCCCAGGACTGGCATTCAGAGGCATAAAACCTCTGACAGCAGAAGCTCCCTCTCCCTTGCATGCTGTGGTTTTGGATTTCCTTCCTTTCCAACTTCCCTGGAGCACAGAAGGGACAGTCAGGTAGAGAGGTGGGGCCCTCCCCTCCTTGGCAAGCCAAATTATCTCATTTCCAAAACCCAGGGCTTCTGCCCCCCCCAGCCGCAACTCACTGGAACTCAGTTCTGGCATCTCTCAGGTGGGCACCTTTGCCATTCTAAGATAACAAGGAAGGTGTTCATCATGGTGAGTTCCTGCACCTCTTTTTCTAGAAAAAATAGCACTGCCAAAAACCCACCAAGGGCTGAAAAGCCAAACAGCTCACCTCTGGATAAGACCACTCGGGCGAGTAATCCGTCACCATGAAAAGGCGCCCGCTCTGCTGGAGCATGCCCAGGGTGCCCTGAGCAGCAGCGGCTGCTGCCGCTGCCGACACCACCTCAGTCACGTGCATGTAGGCCAGAGTGCTTGCCCCATTCTCTGTGCTGCTGCTGAGGTGCAGGCTGGCTTGCTGGGGGCTGCAGCAGGGGATACACATCTCTGCCTGGCTGTAGGAGGCCCGGTTGGCGTCCTCCGGCTGGGACAGCCCACTGCTCTCGCCTGATACCAGCTGGTGCCCGTAGATGGTGTTGCTCCCACCTTCCACCGAGATGAAATCATTGATCAGGTCAGAGAACTGGTTGCTAAAGGAGATGTCAAAGTGGTCCAAGCTCAGCTCCATGTTGGAGGAGTTGTTCAAACCCGGGTGGGCTACTGGGTAGAGGCCTTGCACCATGTTCCCTTGGAGGATGGGGAGGCTGTTCCCATTCCGCAAGCTGCCCCCGTTGGTCTCGGGCTGCATGTAGTGCTCTGTCCCGCCACAGGCCTGGAGCTCCCCCGTCTTCAGCAGGTTCTCATTCCCATCCGCCTGCGGAGAGGTCTCCATTGGGACCTCGCCTTCGGCCGACATAGCCTGGAAGTTTGCCTGGAACTGCATGAGCTGGAGCGAAGAGGTGGACTCGATGCGAGCTTCCACCGTGCCGTTGCAGTTGGAAGTGCTCTGGGAGGAAGCCTCCGTCTTCACGTTGGGGAGCCCTAAAGGGTTGACAAAGGAACTGCTTGCATCGTTCAGGTTGTTGTGGCTGTTTTGCTCCAGAGGCAGAGGTTTGCTGGCATCCTGCAGGAAGAAACTGGGGGAAGGGGTCTGGTGGACGTGGGGGCTCTGGACCGCTTGGTTGAAACCAGAGGAGTAATCCTTGTTGGAATCGATTGCGCTAAAGTCCATTTGTTCCAAGGTGGTACTGGGGCTGAGGCCTCCGCCGGACGGGAGCAAACTGGAACCGGTCGTAAGGGTGAGCGAGTTGGACGAGGAAGAGGAGGAGAACGCTTCTTTTGACATCTGTTGCTCAAAGGACGTGTCCTCCGTCTTAATCTCCTTGGTGAGGGCTGCACTGAAGTTGAACCCGCGCTCTGTCGTGGGGGACTGCCTGATGTTGGGGCCCAGGCAATCTGCCTTGGGGCCTCCTCCTCCATACGTCTGCCCCTGCTTGGGATTGTTAAGGAAGCAGTCCGGGTCGAAATTCATCGTGGTTTCTGGGATCTTCCGGCCACTGTCGAGAGTGGTGGAGAGCACCAGCTCTTCGGAGACGCTGGCGGGCAGCATGGACAGGCCCTCTGAGCTGCTGGCGGTGGGGAAGGTGAACTTGTGGCCATCCGAGCTCACGGCCAGGACCAGCCCTTGGGCAGCTGCGTCCGAGGAGAGGAGGTGCTGATTGGGACCCGCGGTGGGTGACATTGTGTAGACGGCCTCACTGGTCACATCCGACATGAAGACCGTGGCGCTCTGCGACAGGTTGCCCATCACTGAGGCAACGGCCATGCTGGAGACCCCGGTGACAGCTGGGCTGTCCGCCACATCGGGGTCACTGTTCAACCCACTGCTGATGGACACGGGGGAGTTCTGCGTGGTGTCGGGGACTTCCACCTGATTGGTTGAGGAGACCTCTGTGCTGTTCTGATGCAGCAGGACCGGCTTGGCCACTTTGCCATTCCTTTTCTCCCGGCTGGAGGACTTGCCATGGCTGTGCTCGTTCTTCCCTTCAGAGACATCGTTGTTCTGCACCTCGGAGTGGGCGCTGTACCCGCCTGACCTCGGCTCGACCTTTGGTGAGATGATGCGGTGTTTGGCACTGTTGCACTTGTGGTGCACACTGCTACCTGCGCCTGTCCCAAGCAGAAACAGAAGGTTAATCGTGGACTGGAACACAAGTCAGCTGGTCCTTATGCCAGAAGTTTCTCTGTATTACTTTCTAATGCAGAGGGATGGCTGGGACTGAACAGCTGAAGCTTTCTACAGCCGTCAGCCTTAGAGCAAGAGCAAGATGGGCAAAAGCACCATGAAAGGATCAACCTGTTGGGGGATTCAGAGCTGCAGCCTGAACATGGTTTGCCTACAGCTGGATTTGTGCCTTTTGGACTAAGACGTGGGCCAGAGGGAACTTAGCTTTTCATTGGTTTTGATATGAGACTATACTACGAGGCATCCTGTCTTTGTTGGTTGAAGGAATGGATGGCATTAGAGAATTCACATAATCTAGACTTAGAAGGTCATGGTAATATCTTTGGTTGGCATGCTTATTTATGGTATGAAGAGGTGAAAGTACATAAAGGATTTACAAATCATATAATTAGGAAAAATTTGTATAGAGTATGGGATAAATACAAACATTTATTAAAGGTAAAAACCACTTTGGCTCTCACTGTTGGAAGCTATAGCAGTAAAGAAAAAGAATATGATAGAAGGGTGGACAACTTATAGAAATTTATTAGAACAAGAAGGAGGAGAGTATAAATTAAAAGAATTTAAGGAACCACAAAAAGAAGGGGAAGGAAGTCAAGTTTTGAAATGTTAAAATGAGTGTAAAATTATTGAAATGTATAAATCTGAAAATCATAAAAAAGATTCATAGTTTAGGTTAAAATGCATACAAAAGTAAGCATTTTAGAATAAAATGTGTACAAAACACATATTTTAAGATAAAATATACAAAAATAATGTAATTCCTTGTGTGATTATTTAAAAGAGGTTTGTAGTCTGAAGAAGAAACAAGATGGAATATATGTCTGAAATTTGGGGCACATACAGAATGTCCCCTTTTATTGGTGGGGTGAGGATTCAGTCGTATCCTGGCAAGTGCAGGCCGTGCAATTATAATCAATTTCCAGCTCTTGCACAGACCTGTTTCCTCAAAAGACTGGACATTTTGCACTAAGCAGAGTGACTAGCAAATATGCTGGGAAGCGAAGGATAATACTTCCTTTGACAAAATAATGTGCCCTCCCCACCACCAAATCAGGCTGAATGCTCAGTAAAGGGACAAACTGGAAGTTACCTCCCCAAGTTGCCTAGAAATCGGCTGATTTGTCCACCTCTCATGTCTGCCGTCTCTCTAATGTAAGGTCCTGTTTAAGGTATTATGGCTAAGAGCCCTTCAACCCTCCTGCCCCATAGGGACATGGGGAGCGCAGGCAGGACTGGCCCAAGACATTTTGACACTTGAAATGAACTACAAAATGGTGTTCCCCTCTCCACCAGGGAAGAAGGGGAAAGTGAAGCTTGACATCAGGAACAAAGGAGGAATAATGGTCTACACCAGAATCTGCTGCCCCTGTGGATTCTGCCACCTGAGGCAGTTGCTTCACTTTATCTCAGGTGTGAGCTGGCCCTGAGCACAGGAAGATGCCTTATATAGAGTCAGAGCATTGGTCCATCCATGTCAGTGTTGTCTACATGGACTGGCAGTGGCTCTTCAAGTTTTTCAGGCAGAGGACCTTCCCAGCTCTGTGACCCTCCTGCGTGCAAAGCAGGTGCCTTGCTTCCCCGCCAACCTACATCCCACCCTGATTCCGCCCTCCCACAAATCCAGCACTTTGTGGCATTCCAAAACTGGGAGAGTGCAGAACGTTTTTGCCCTGCAAGCTCCTGCTCCTCACCCAAGTTGCCAGTGCAGAGGCAATTGTGCGTCCGAGGCTGCGGTTTGGTCTGGTGGCTGTCCAGGATCTGCTGCACCAGCTGCTCCACAGAGAAGCCCGAACTGCTGTTCCCATTGCTGCATGTCCACTTGATGCCGTGAACTATGGAAAGAGAGCGAGAGAGAGAAAGGCAAGAGGTGAGGTGGAAGAAGCAGCAGCAGCCGTTGACAACCAGCAGTTGTCCTGGCAGATCCTTTGCTCTGGAGGATCTTTGGTTGGGGGATAGACTGTGCGGAACCACATGCTTCATCACCTCATGTCCCATTAGGGTAATTAGCGTTGGGAGCGAGAGGATGCCCCTTTTCCCCTTTCATGTTTCTCCAGGGGGCTTTGCCCTGCTTCCCACTCCTCCTTTGCTGGAATAACTCCTAAAATAAATCCCAGGACAGGAGTGTACACCCTTTGCCAAATATTCAACTCCCTTCAGCTTCTTTGCATTCCCCCCACCCCTCTGTGTACCAACCTATGGAAATATGTGCAGGGATAATTCTTTTTTTCTTTTTCTTCTGTGCCACCCACCCTGAAAAAGCGCTCTTGGCATGAATGTGCGCATGGTTTCCTGCAGGTGAGTTTTGCTGTGTTTCAGCCATGCACACAAGCGCAGAGACACAACCTCTGCTCAAAGAGCATCTTGGTGGAATCAGGTCACACTGAAGCAGCTCTTGTGCAAGGTTTTCATGTCAGTAATGCAAATGTGTGTGTGATGCATTGAAGGTTGTAGTGATGTGTGCATGCATGGCCCTTTGCACACCACCTGGAAATAAAAAAGAGAACTACAGAGAATCCCTGGGCCTTCAGTTCAACTTTGGAACCAAAACAAGGAGAATTTCAGATGCCTCCCTTGTTTTAGTTGCAGCCCTGCTTAGATAAACAGGCAAGAGGCAGAGACTTGCAGTTGAGAAGGAAAACTATCTGTCTTCACATGGGGCATATTAGGCGTTGGGCCAGAAAGGAAGGAAATCCTGGAAAGAGAAGGTGTGTTTTGAGAGAAAAGAAGATGACACTGAAGTGGCAGGAGACAGAACAACAGACGAAAACAAAAGGAAGCAAATTTTTAAAGACTCTTCAGCATTAGGCTCCAGTCATGACTTCATATGCACTAGCCAGTAGGCACCACACCTGTCCTTCAAACACATCTGTGAAATATGTCTTTGCTTCCAGCTTGTGGGGTTAGTCTGCCAGCCTAGGGCTTGCCAATCAGAAGGTCGGTGGTTCGAATCCCCGCGACGGGGTGAGCTCCCGTTCCTTGGTCCCTGCTCCTGCCAAGCTAGCAGTTCGAAAGCACGCAGTGCAAGTAGATAAATAGGTACCACTCCGGCAGGAAGGTAAACGGTGTTTCCGTGCGCTGCTCTGGTTTGCCAGAAGTGGCTTAGTCATGCTGGTTACATGACCCGGAAGCTGTATGCCGGCTCCCTCAGCCAATAAAGCGAGATGAGCGCTGCAACCCCAGAGTCGTCCGTGACTGGACCTAACGGTCAGGGGTCCCTTTACCTTTAAGCTTTGCATAGCCTGTGTGCAAACAGTTCAGAGCCAATATTTAATCAATGGCTGGCCTGAGGGACCACTGCCTCCGGCACAACTTTGCAGGGGCTCTGGAATCCTTGGGCTTGCGACAGCTTCTGGGCTGAGTGCAAAGTGTGGCGTCACAGATTCGAGAGCTATGTTTCCCTTGCAGTGCACGTACGGTTCTGCGTTCTGCTGTTGACAGAATCATAAAGTTGGAAGAGACCCTTTTTTGCTGCTCAAGAAGGTACGACGGTGTTTTGTGAGGTGAAGGGCGGGGAACGCTTGCAAGGCCTCTTCAATTTGGCTCTGAGTCTGTACAGAATAGGGAGAGGTTTCTCCACTGGTCCATCCCCAGCTCTCTGAAGAAGAACAATGCTGGCCTTCAACTTTGCTGTTTTTTGGCCACAAATCCTGTCCCCACGCCCCACCTTTCCCTCATTGGGTCACCAAGCTAGGCTGCTGTTCCTTCTCCTCCAAATGAGCTTCTTTTTCTGCTGCTGCTCCCCCTTCTGTTGTGAAGGTTATACGATGAAAACCCACTGAAGGGTGACAGATTGCAAGGAGAGAATTTCAGGATGCTTAATGTAAATTACCGACTGTCTTGGCACATCCAATATGCAGATTGTCTCGCTTTCCTTGCGCAGCACAACCCCCCCCCACCCCCGGCTTTTTAAAGAAAACCTCCTCTGAGCCAGTGAGTTGTTAGCACTGAATATAAAATACTATCAAGATGGCTTTTAACATGTCACGCTCGGCTTCCTGACACATAATGAATCAGTGGGAAGGGGTGGGGGGGGGGAGAGAGCATTATGAAGGGAAGGTTAATAAAACAGCCCATTGCCACCTCCCTCCCGGAAAGGCTGGAAGATCAAAACTGCTTGGAAAGCACACCAGATCTCATTGGAGTTTGGGTAGAGTGATGAATAAATAGCGAAACAGAATCATCCCCCTGGATCCTTTGCTGCCACTTGAGGTTCAGTGGCCCAGAGTGCCTTCCATCACCTTCGGCTGGTGGCCCAGCTACGCCCCTATCTGGACAGGGATAGCCTAACTACCGTTGTCTGTGCTCTGGTAATCTCAAGGTTAGATTACTGCAATGCATTATACGTAGGGCTGCCTTTGAGGACAGTTCGGAAACTTCAGCTAGTGCAGAATTCAGCAGCCAGGTTGCTCACCAGAGTAAGACAGTTTGAGCACGTTATACTGATCCTGGTCTGACTGCACTGTCTATCAATTAGTTTCTGGGCCCAATTCAGAGTGCTGGGTTTGCAAAAAACAAAACAAACCCAGCCAGAATTTTACTATCCCAAAGATGGAAAAGCGACGAAATACCAGTGAAAAAACATTGGCAAGAAAAGTTGATGGAATACGCAGAAATGGCGAAGCTAACTGACTTAAAGATAAGGGCAATAACAACTTTAAAAACGATTGGGAACCTTTTATGATGTATATACAGAAACAATGCACTGAAATGAACTCACTGGGAGGATTCGAGTAATACACTTACAACAGACAAATACAAACAGAAAGTATAATTATGAGGTAAAAAAGAGAAGAATAGATAAATGATACAACCTTAATTTTAATATATAAGGAATACAAAATTATAAGCAGAAGAAACAGATATGCTATAAATCAGGAAGGGAAGTTGGGGGAAGTCGTTAGTTGAAATTGAAAAATGTAATTTGAATGTTTGATTATGCTACAATTTCTTCAATAAAATTAAAAATGTTTAAAACAACAACAACAGTGCTGGGTTTGACCTAGAAAGCCTAAAATGGCTCAGGACTGCCTCTTCCCATATGAACCTACCCGGACCCTGAGATCATCCTCTGAGGCCCTTCTTTTTGTGCTTCTTCCTCGAGAAGTCTGGAGGGTGACAACATGAGAACGGGCCTTTTCTGCAGTGGCTTCCCATCTGTGGAATGCTCTCCCCAGGGAAGGTTACCTGGCGCCTTCATTATACACCTTTAGGCACCATGCAAAAAAGTTCCTTTTAAACCAGGCCTTTGGTTGATTTGATTGACATCCTATGCCCTTTTAAAATGTGGTTTTTGGGGGTAGGTGAGTTATTGGGTGGTTGTTTTTATTTTGATTATTTATTTTGTGGTCTTACATTTTGATTTTGTTCTGTGAACTGCCCTGAGACCTCCGGGTATAGGGCGGTATATTAATTCTAACAATAACAATAACAAAAATAACAATAACAATAATATACAATGCAGCTTCACCAGACACATACCCTCTCATGCACACACATATAGACCAGACACAAAGGCATCTATCTGAAGGCAGCCTTGTTTAGGGAAGTTTTTAATGTTTTATCGTGTTTTTAATATTCTGTTGGAAGCCGCACAGAGTGGCTGGGGAAACCCAGCCAGATGAGCAGGGTATCATCATCATCTTTCACACAGATCCATTTCACCTATGCACAGCCATGCATGCAACTCTCCTTCTGTCTCTCACAAACCACACCCCACAAAATATAAAACCACAAAATATATAATCAAAATAAAAACAACAACCCAATATCGCCCCAACCCCATTTTAAAAGGGCATAGGATATCAGCTGGGGAGAAACACATTTCTGTGCTACACACATATATGACTGCAGTAACATCTACAACAGCCCTGTAAAGTAGGGCAGCATATTTATCACCTCTGGGGCTGATGCTGAGAGAATATTGTTCTCATTGTTCTTTGCTCTGGGATTGAAAATAGTCAGTACAGACCTGGTTACAACTGTTTGGAAATAATATAATATAATATAATAAAATAAAATAAAATAATGGCTTACTTAAAACTCCCTGACCTTCAAACCAGGACTTTGTGGCTTACCCCATGACCCTTATGTAGCCACTCCTGTCTTTATGACTTCCATGGAAATATAAAACCACACATGTGAGAAGCAGGGCCACAGCTCAGCTGTAGACTACAAGTTTTGCATGAAAAGTCCCAGGTTCATCACCTGGCATACCCTCTCAGGGAGGGCTGGGGAGAAACCCTGTTCGAATTCCTAGGCCATGGGTAGGCAAACTAAGGCCCAGGGGCCGGATCTGGCCCAATCGCCTTCCAAACCAGGCCCACGGACGGTCCAGGAATCAGCGTGTTTTTACATGAGTACAGTGGTACCTCGGGTTAAGTACTTAATTCGTTCCGGAGGTCTGTTCTTAACCTGAAACTGTTCTTAACCTGAGGCACCACTTTAGCTAATGGGGCCTGCCGCTGCTGCCGCGTCGCTGGAGCACAATTTCTGTTCTCATCCTGAAGCAAAGTTCTTAACCTGAAGCACTATTTCTGGGTTAGCGGAGTCTGTAACCTGAAGTGTCTGTAACCTGAAGCGTATGTAACCTGGGGTACCACTGTAGAATGTGTCCTTTTATTTAAAATGCATGATTTGATTTAAAATGCATCTCTGGGTTATTTGTGGGGCATAGGAATTGGTTCATTTTTCTTCTTCAAAATATAGTATGGCCCCCCACAAGGTCTGAGGGACAGTGGACTGGCCCCCTGCTGAAAAAGTTTGCTGATCCCTGTCCTAGGCAGCCAGTGCTGGTCAGAAGTTGGGTGAGCTGCTGGTCTCAGTATAAAGCAGCTTCCCCCATTTCTCCTGTGTTCTTACATTTCCAAGAAAAAAAGTACTACCCAGTCTCCAAAGCCCCTCACTGTGGACACACAACAGCCGGGGTCTCCTTGGCGACTGCCCATTTGAAAAAGTAGCATGTGCCTTTTCATTCCAGACTC